ACCCTGTGGCACTATGCTGACCCCACCTAGGAGGACCCAGAGATGGTGGGGAGAGCAAAGACGGGAGAAGTACGTTACCCCAAGTTTCAACGTAACCAAGAGAAGAACTAAAATAGGGACCCGTCTATAATAAAGGGGAAATGGTGGCAGAGCAGCAAGCTACATCCTCACTTGTCACAGCGAAAAGCCAAGAGGGAACACTGACAGTTGACCCCAAGCGAGATAGTGGTACCCGCTTGGTATTGGAGGGTAGAGAGGAAATCACTGCAAAACCCTGACATGGTGAAAAATGGTCCCCCCTGCACTGTATGTTTAGGTTTAATGCTCTTTCCTTTCATTTGTTATATTTCACAATCTCTGTTTAAAAATAAAGTAGTCACTGCTTTAGGGGCAGGAAGACCCCAGGAGGGCTTGGACAGGGGCACATTCTTCAGGATAAGCTCTGCCACGCAAGCTGCTATTTCAGCAACGCGAATGTCTGTCTTTACGTGCAAGAAACTCCGGCGACAAAGCACCGAGTGACGGATCAGGCACGTTCCTCCCACACGTGCGCAGGCCTCGCTGGAACTGCGGGTGCAGCGGGTGCAGCGGGTGCAGAACGCGAGGCGATGCTCATGTTTTGTGTCTTGATGGGGTGCTGTGTCGCACAGGAGTCTGCATTTCTCAGAACTCAGGGAATAGTAGACTGAAGATGTATGCATGTCATGGTAAGTTTTTACCCAAAAGGAAGTGAACTGTAAAGGAGTACGATTAAGTATGTGCATGCTGAAGTGTTTAAGGGTGAAATGTACCGATTTCTGCAACTTCCTTTGAGATGCATCAAAAACTCAGGGGAGTGGACAGCTATGTAATGAAGCAGAGTATAATGTTAATTGCAGAACTTAGATGGAGATACAGGTGGTCACTGCACATTCCTGTCGGCTGCCCTGTTTGAACATTTTTTATAACAACATGTGGGGGAGAAAGAGACACGTACAGGCAGGAGTATAACCATTCACATGAAGAAGTACTTCTCAGAAACAGTTTGAAGTATTTTCTCTAAGGTGTTGTTCTGAGTGTGCTTTAAACAAAAATCACTGGAGGACATGCTTATTGATTTTAGAGAGAGGGGAGGGAGAGAGAGAAGGAAGGAAACATCAATGTGAGAGAGAAACACCCATGGGTTGCTTTTTGCCTGTGCCCCGACGAGATTGGGGGTGTCCCTTCTCCCCTGTGCTGTGCTGAATCTCGTTTCTTCCTCTTCTGGTTTATTTCCTCCTCCCGGGGTGAACTCATGTTCCAGCAGCTTCCTGGGGTATGGTGTGTGGGCGGTAAAACACGTTTGAGAACTTCCCGGGCTGAAAATCTTCTGATTTTACCTGCCTGTCGTATCAATACTTTGGCTGCGAGAAGAATTCCTGATGGAAAATCATTTTGGTTCAGAATCTGGAAGGCACGGCTCCGGCAGGCGTTCCACTTTCTGTTTCCTGAATGACTTGTGCTTTCTCTTTGGGAGCTGGTGGGGCCTTATCTGCCCCTGCTGTTCTGCGGTTTTGCAAGAACAGACTCAAGGGCTGGGTGTGTCTTCCCTCACCGGCAGGCCCTTTCCCTCTGGAGACTTCTGGATTTCAGGGCTGGGAAATTTCCTCCTTTGCCTTCTTTTTGGGCTTTCTTTCCTATCGTAGGATAAGCATCGGGCTGGTTGGGGCTTGAGGGCCGCGCTTCCCTGACATCCTCACAGTTTCCCATTTTCCAACCCTGCCCATCTTTCAGGTCCTCCGAGAGATTTCCTCAACTTGGTATTTCAATCCTTCTGTTGAGATTCTCCTGCCAGCTTGCTTTCCTTATCTAACTTCTTTCAAAAATCATCTGAATGTTTCTTTCTTTAAAAAAAAAAGTGCTCCCTTCTTATTTATGGATGGGTTATCGACAACGGTATTGACAGCCTTTTTAAAAATAGTTTCCTTCTCCCTGCGCTGTTTTTTTTTTTTTTTTCTTAAATGTGCTTATTTTGCGTGTTTCGATTTCTAGCTTCTATTCTGGAAGTTTTGCTCATACCCTTTAATCCATGGCTGTCTGCTGCCAATTGGAGGCGGGGAACTAAGAGCCAACGGGAAGATCTGAAGGAGCTGGAAGGCTCCCTGAAGACCCCTCCCATGTTGCTATATCCCTGAGTGGAGCCCTCCACTCTACACCCTCCTGCTCCGAAGAAAAGTGCCAGCCAGAGCCATGAAGGAGGGGCTTAGAGAGGCTCAAGGGTCAGCCTGGGCTACTAAACACTCTCTGGTTTGCCCTCTCTAGAGAGAGCCCTGAAGTCTTTGGAGGGAAAGAAGGCAGCCACCTTGCCTTGTACAGAAGTGGAGGCCATGCAGACCGCCTGCCACTGCCCCTTCTTCCTCGCCCCGTCCTCCTCCTTCACCCCAGCTCCACAGGTGCCGGGTGTGGTGGGTCCCTGGCCCTTGGGGAAATTCTCTGCTGTCCATCTGCTTTCCCCACAGCCCGTCTAGGTGGCTAAATCGGTTTCAACCTGTCTGTCCCCTCACTCCAGCTTCTATTATCTCTTGTCGTCTTTCGTATGCTTTCTGTTGTAGGACTATGGGGATCTTTTTTAAAAAATCCCTTTTCTGAACTGCTAGTGGCACTTTGGGTTGAAGTGAGATTAAATACTTGAATGTAATTCCACCATGTTAACCTGGAAATGAATACCATATGTTCATTTGCCTATTAAGTGTCTCTCCCACGAGAATGTAGGTTTCCTGATGGCAGGGGTCTGTTTCGTTCAGCTCATGCTTCCAACCCCTGGACAGGGACTGGAGCAGAACACGTGACTGACCTTGAATGAGGGACCTAAGCAGGATACATACATGATTGTATCCACAAAAGGCACTCGAGAAGCAACTATGGAGCACATTCAGAAACACACATGGTCTAATGTCTGCTTAGTTTAATTTTAACTTTTTTGGACCATCTGTTGCCATGGAGAACATTACAAATAGATGCTCAAAGCCAAATTTGGAGGAGTTTTCATTTAACTCGGTTTTAAATTAACGCTGATTTCCATTATGTGGATTGCACATTAATTTTATTTTATAGTAACAATCCAGTCTCTTATGCGGCGGACTTTCACATGATCAGTCTAGAGAAATAATGATGTAAATGTGGTTGTGTCGTGTTGGCTGGCTCAAAAACTCACGTCCTGTCTGAATATGGTCCATATTCCAGGCAGCCTGCGATTAGCTCTACATTATAGACCTGGAGCAATGCCCAGGCCTGGCTCCCTGGGTATCATCTGAGGACGGTCCTCACCTTCTCACTTCCAGGACTTGGGTGTCCGTGGAAGACACTTTTCTTCTTACTGCATCAAGACCCACCAGAGATCCCACCCAAACTCATCTTTCAACTCTCATCTCTTGAGGAAACCCCTTTTATTAGCCTGAATATAGTTTTTTGCCTCTTGATGTTACCAGACAAGGGACCTGGTCCTGAGTGGGTCTGCCTAGGGCCAGCTGGTAGTGTGTGGGTTCTTGACTTCATAGCACGAGTCCATGTGACTGTAAGGGTCCATTTGTTAAAGCTGGGGACAGTCACATGGACTCGTGCTATTTGTTAAAGCTGCAAATCAAAGGGTTGCTGGTTGGATTCCCAGTCAGGGCACATGCCTGGGTTGTGGGCTAGGTCTCAAGTGGGGGGCGTACGAGAGGCAACCACACATTGATATTTCTCTCTGTCTCTTCCTCCCTCCCTTCCCCTCTCTAAAAATAAGTAAATAAAATCTTTAAAAACAATAAAATAAAAATGTTCTAATGATAATTCAGTTTGACTTCACTATTTTGTTTAAAGCATGTTCAGGATGTATATAAAATATCTGAGCAGAAATATACCAAAATACTGGCACTTTCATGGTCTGCTAACAGAACATTGTCTCCAGGCCTTGGCACCAAGTGACAAGGGAAAAATCCTGAGATGTTCTGAATTAAATTACGGAGGACCAACAAATGAAAGGCACAGAAGTTAGCCTGTTAGTAGCTGGGGGCCAGCTAAAGACACTGCTCACAATTCCTGAGCGTGAGGTTGGAACTTTGATTGGACTTCTAGGGGGGCTATTTCCGCCATTATCTAAAAGGGGGGATAGTCAGGAGCCATCACACCCCAGAGGCTTCCACTTCTTCTTTCCATGTGAACTTTCTACACTATTGCCTACCACCCACCCAAAGGAGCAAACGCTTCCTTTTTGTGGACTCTGCGCCTATCCCGCAACTGGCCCTGCTTCACCTTCTCCCACCCGCTTATCTGTAGCCAATGCACATTCTTTCACAACAATCTACATCTTTTTTCCCCAAACTGTCTGCGAACAAGAGCCGGTCAGCTCCAGGACCCAGACACATTGCCTTTTCCATCGGAAGCTGCTGCAGGTGGTTCAGACTCCATGCCCCAGGCCGTGGTCTGCTTTTCCAGCTAGAAATGCCCCAACGAGCCCGTTCTTTTTAAAAAGCCTTTCAGCGGTGGAAGTTAAAATTTCTGTTCAACAAAAAGCATAGGAAATAACTGCTCAACGCATTGAGACACAGAAATGTGAGAGAGAACGTTCAGAACTTTTGGCTGAATGAACCTAGGTTTTGTCTGAACAAATGGTGTGACATACGGTCTTAACTTCTTTATACTTTGGGTCCTGAATTTTCTAAAAGGGCTCTATCTCATACAAGTTACGATTCCCGCATATAAAGGACAGGTCCACTCCCCCACGCGGGGTTCACACCGGAGTGGCTGGCAAGCACAACAGCCGGGCCCCGGAGACCTAGGTTAACTCTCTAGACCGAACGCCGGCTTTCCGGGGTGGGACCGCGACGTCGGCGCGCAAAGATGGCGCCCCACGTGCCCGGCTGGTGCCGAGCTCTCCCGAGCACGTCCGAGCGATCCCGGGAGTCTCCGAGCGCTCCCGAACGTCCCCGAGCGTGCCCGAAGCCCACAGCAGTCCTAGGAGCGCGCGGGCGGGAAAGCCCCGCCCCAAGCTTGAGAGCGCCGGCACCGGGGAGGGACGGCCGGATGTGAGTGGAGCGGCCATTTCCTGTTTCTCTGCCGATTTCCCCAGCTTTGGGTGGTGGCCGCTGCTGGGCTTCGGCTTCCCGTAGGTGGAAGGCGAGGCGGCGTGGACTGCGGCCCCGGCACCCTGCGTCCTGCCGCCCGCAGCCGCGTGCCCGCCTGCCTATTGCGCCCCGAGCCCGCCGCTTCTCGCCTGTGTGCCCGGTCGCCGCCTCCGCTGCGGCCCAGCAAGCGGCCCAGATGCAGGCCATCAAGTGTGTGGTGGTGGGAGACGGGTGAGTACGCGGCCCGGGGCCGGGGGTCGCAGCTGGGGGGCTGGGGCTGGGGCAGGACAGGAAGCGAGGGCGCGCGTGGGGCCTGGGCTTCGGTCTCTTCAGGGCGCGGGCGGGGGGCGCGGGCCGCCACCCCTTCCTGGGACCGGGCGGCGCGCGCCTGGTTCTGGCCCTTTTCTCTCTTTTTGGTGGGGGAGGGAATCGCCTTAGGCGGCCGGAGGGAAAAGTGAACTCCACCCTCTGCTTTCTCCCCGCACCCGCTGACCGCCCGGCCAAACTCACCCCGCGGCGCTCTGCCACCACCCTCCGTAGCTGTGGATTTCGTGGGCTTAGAGAGTTCTTTTTCCTAAAAAAAGGACTCTTTCCTTGGCTTTTATATGAACCTCGCGAGCCCCACTGAAAGCATCCCGCCGCACGCCTGGCGGTCAGTCGGTTCTAACTGCCGAGCGTTTGCCCGGCTTAGTTTGGGGACCCTAAACTGATTGACCAGGGGTTCCTTCCACAGGTACTTGGTCACTTTTAGGATTTTTTAAAAATGGCCATTTTTTTAAATGGTCACTTTTCGTCCAGTGGAGAAACTTCTAAGTTTCTAGCTGCGAAGAGCTGGATGTGATTAAGAAGGTTCTTTTTTTCTGAGCGTGATGTCATAAAAAAAGAAATTGGCCTTCGTTTCTTGCATTAGGAATGGGGTGTAGCAGAGCAGGCTTCCCGGGCTGAGAGGCCCTGGGACTCGGGGCATTTCTTTTCATTGCTGTCTGGTGGTTACAGGTCTTGGGGGAAGACAAGACTTGTCTTATGCAGTGGTTTTTTTTTTTTTGCCCATAGAAACAAGAATCTCAGTGTAATGCGAGCAAAATTGTGTGTTTCAGCATTGCTCGAGTAGTTAAGCGTGAACAGGGAAGCTCCGAGAATTAACTACCAGTTTCATCAAACTCAGGATGCAACTGGTGCATTTTTTGACTCACGTAACGTCACGTTTCGGCATCGCTGGCCCCTTTCATTACTCTTCCCTAACTCGTGCTGAGCACTGATGTTGCTTTGATGCCTCTCCATGAGTTTATGAATTCTCAGCGTCTTTCGATCAGCTAGACATTTGAAACTGTTACTGTAAGTTTTAAAAAAGAGGGTCAAATTGGTGAAGTTTTAATAACTAACCATCGTGTGTAACATTCCTATTGAAAGTTTAAAACTAAGACATAAGTACAAGCAGATATATTTCGTTTATGTAATACTCACCGATGGGGACCTCTACGGTCTTTGCTGGCTCGATCCGGCCAAGTACTTGTTGACTGCCTGCTAGGGGATTCGGATCTGTCCTGCAGATCCCCGCCCCACCGCCCCGCGGAAACCCTGCGGTGTCACTGCCCCCCAGAGCACTGCCTCGAGGGGAAGTCATGCGGTTACTCCACGACACCGGCTAATGAGTCCTAGCTGTCGAGTCACTGCTGCGGGGCTGGTGCTTGCAGGCGCTGCCCGGCTCTGTGAGGGCAGCAGCGTTAGGCATGAAACCCGGTTCCTGGCCTTGCGTGTTTTAGTTTTTTAATACTGTATTTGACATCGATGTTGACCAGGGCTAAGTGATGTTCGGAGTGAAATGTGCCTTTACAAGAAAATTTTAAGCTGTATTATTTAATGGAAAGAATGGAGCAAACAGTACTTCAGTACAAAATTTAGATACCTCATTTTCTATACCAAAAACATTATTCTGCTTTTACCCTAATAAAACATCCCTGGTGGTAAAGTTGGAATGCTCGCTGTAAATGAGGGTCTAAACTTAGCGGGGCTAACACTTAATGTGGGGGGTGCAGGCAGTTATGGGCAGTTTAAGCAATGAAGGCAGACAGGTTCCACGAATTGCAAGCTTCCTCATTTAAAAAATATTCTTGGGAGTCATCTCGGAGTTGCTTAGTTGGTCAGAGCATCCGCCCCACAGGCCAGGGCTGCAGTTCCATCCTGTTGGGGCACATACACCAACCAACCAGTGAAGGCATCAGTAAGAGGAACAAGTCTGTGTTTCTCTTTCTTCTTCTCCCTCCTGTCCTCTTTCCTTCCCTTTCTCTCTTTAAAAATCAATAAATTAAAAAAAATTAAAATATTTTTAAAAGCTGTCATAACCATGTTATAACTAGGATCAGTTAACATATATTCTTTTCATGGATTGTTTCCTATATTGTGATTTAATTGGCATTGCCTCTAAAATGTGAGATAAAATTTGATACTTTAAAAAAAGATTTTACCTATTTATTTTTAGAGAGGGAGATACATCAAGATGTAGTTGCCTCTCACATGCCCCCTACTGGGGACCTGGCCTGCAACCCAGTCATGTGCCCTGCCTGGGAATTGAACCAGTGACCCTTTGGTTAACAAAGCAGTAATCAACCCAGTGAGTCACACCAGCCAGGGAAAATTTTGATGTTTTTTAATTTTGTCAGTCCTTCCTTAACACAGGGTCTGTTGCTTTTATTTGAGAGTCCTCTGTCCCAAGATTTCCTCTTAGCCTTATTTGGGTAAGACAGCATCTGACACAAGTATTTACAAACAGCCATTTTTGATAGTGTTGTTTTGCTTTGGTTTACTGGAAGTCTGGGGCTAAATGACTTGAAGCCCTCATTTCACTCATTACAAACTGGCACCCAGATTGGGCTGGCTAGTGGGCTCTTCACCCCAGGATCTAATTTAGATATTGCTACCCAGGGATTTTTTCAGTTGAGTGTGAAGAGTGTCTTGCACGATTTTGTCCTGTTAGAAGTGTATTCACACCAGTTACTCTCCATTTCTGTTGGACAGTCAGTCAGTAATGGCATGATACATGCGTTTTGTTTTGTTTTTTTTAGCTTCATGAATTGTCTTTCTGTATTTTGCCTTGAGGCACACGGTGCCATATTTTTTATCCGTTTGTAAAGGTGTTTGAATTCCTCACTGGCTTCCAAATTTAGATTTAGCATTTGATTCTGATCTTGGTTGGTGAAATGATACAAAATGCTTTTTTGGGGGAGCAGTTTTGGTAATGTGTTATTGTTTATTATAGTCCTAGCCTATTCGGTCATTCTCTTATTGGATGGTTAGTTTGTATATGACTTATCTTTTTGTGTGTGAACTATTTTCTTAATTGAATTTATTGGGGTGGCACTGGTTAATACAATTACATAGGTTTTGGGCCCTGGCCAGGTAGTTAGTTGCGTTTGGTCCCCTGTCAGGGTGCATGCAAGAAGCAACCCATGTATGAATAAATAAGTGGAACTACAAATAGATGTTCCTCTTTCTAAAAACCAGTAAGTTAAAAAATACAGATTTTGAGTATACAATTCTGTAATTATCTGTATGCTGTATTGTGTGTTCACCACCACAAGGGAAGTCTCCTCCCATCGCCGTTTACCCCCCTTACCTTCTCCTGCATCTCCCCACCCCGCTTCTCTCCGGTCGTCACTGTACTGTTGTCTGTGGTGTTTGCTTAGTTCCTCCACCCTTTCCACCCAACACCTCTCCCCACTGACAGCTGTTTCACATGACAATCTCAGTACAAGTTTGAGGTTTGGTGCAGTGGAGGAGGATCAGGCATCCATTTTTAGAAACCTTAAATCCACCTTCTCTGACATGCTCCATCTTTGTACCTGCTATCTATCCAGTGTCTCAGCACGCGCTGTATTCTCACCTGTGCATCGCCAGGTAGCTGTCTCCCAGTGGTGGTCTTCCTAGAAAGGAGATGTTTTATCAGGAATCCTGCTGCCGAGTCCTTATTGGCCGTTGCCAGATGTCATCAGAAGAAATATTGTTCCTTCAGCATCTTAATACGAAAAATTTTTAGACATACATCAAAGTTGAAAGAATTGCCCAATGAACACACATGTACCCACTACTTGGATTCTGTAATCAGCATTTTGCTCTGTTTGCTTTATTACATAACTTTATTGGAGGGAATATTTTCTTCATTTTTAAATTATTTATTTATAGAGATGGGGGAAAGGAGGGAGAAATACATTGATCTGTGAGAGAAACATCGATTGGTTGCCTCTTGCACATCCCCAACTGGGGATCTGGCCTGCAACCCAGGCATGTGCCCTGACTGGGAATTGAACTGATGACCTTTCAGTCTCCAGGCCGGTGCTCAGTATACTGAGCCACATCAGCCAGGTCAAGGAGGCAGTGTTTTAAGTGGATTTAATAGAGAAGTCCATTCTGAAGGAGACTGAGGGTGATAGAAATTCTCGTTTTGAGCACTGTCTTTAGCTGACTCAACTATCAGCTAACCCCCCCCCCCCGTAAGCTTGCGAGTTTCAGAAGGGCCGTTTAGAGTAAAGGCTGCTTTGGATTTGAACTTGGTTAGAGGTAGAATCTTCAGCTTTGAGTGTTCTAGAAACTACACAGAGTTCGATTTTTTTTTTAAGCCTCCAGTGGTGGTAATGGGTGGTTTCCTATACATTGGTCACGGCGTCCTCTGTTTGTAACAGAGCATCAGAATTCGCGGTTGGGTTTTGTATTTTTGTAGCATGAAAGGACTTATTAGTTCATATATTTTCTGAACGTATTCTCTGCATTTACACATTTACTGAAGGCTTACTGTTACCCATTCCCATTTCCCAGTAGAATTTGAGGACTTTCAATTCAAGGTCTTTTTAAATTTTTTGAACTTCCTGGGTTCCTTTTTTTTTTCTTCCCACATCAAGGAATTGCTGATGTTTCCAGATTTATTGGTAATTTTTTTAAAGTTTTGGTTTGTGGATTTCAGGAATTAACACTGAAATTTACCCAAGATATTTTGAGTAAAAGGTTTCTTTAAAATTCTCCTAATAGAAAAAGGAACCATAAGTTCCTGGGCTTGATCTTGGTTATTTGTACTGGGTGGGGCCGATCGATGCACAGGCAGGTCAAAGAAAAAGTGCTTGTTGTGCAAACTTTCTTCCAATAGACTCAAGTTCATGTTCTAGAGTTAAGGCATTTTTCAAAGATTAAAAAGAGGTTGAGTTGAGCAGTTAATATATACAGCTGGAAATTCTAAAGCAAATAGTAACTTCCAGAATTCTGCAGCAGCATCAGTGCAAGCTGTGACCAAGTGCGGCTCCGGTCTTCCTGTGAGGAAGCCGTTACCTTGCCTGGAGCCAGTGTGGGCTTTGGCCTCTGGGGTGTGTGCAGAGTGTATTTAAAAGGAGGCAAGTGACCATTTTCTTTTTTTCTTTTTATCTATTTTTTAAAACTAAGGAAATATTTAAATCAAACATTAGGCCTGTCCTTATTTAAAAAGTTACAGTTTTATAGTTTAATAATTTCCACATAGAAAGCAGACTTGTAGCAAACGCTTGGTAACAAAACTTCAGTCAATATCAGGTTCTGTCTTTACCTTGAATTCCTTTACAGTTCAACCCTTCAAAAGATCTTCAGCCGAAGACTGCCTTTCAGGAAAAGGAATTTAAAACACAGCAGTCCGTACTTGCAGCACTGGCTAAGTCCCTCACACATCTAGAAGAGACAGGCCAGGCTCTGAAAGGAAATGCTACTGCATTTTAATGTGAAAGTTAAAGTCTTAATTGCTGCCTAGCCTGGACATAAAATGGCAATAATATGAATATTTTTGCGCACGTTTGTAATTCTGAAAAGAGGTTCACTTGTTATGGTTTTAGACCCCTCTCTCTTCCCCAGCTGCCACATCCAAGCTGTGGCCGGGCCACACTTGTCCTGCCTCAAGTCTAGGGGTCACCTTTCTCTTCCCCCAAAAGCCCCTTCTCCGCCCCGCCAGCCAGGGCTGGTTGCTGGGACGGAGCAGCTGCTTCCTTATCTTCCAGCACCGGCTTCCGCTGTCTCTCTGCAGCATCAGAAGCTTCTCCTAAACATGCAAATCCATGGTGTCTGGGCAGCTACAGACCTTGTGTGACTGCCCAAGTAGGATCAGGTCCCGGGTCCTTAGCAAGAAGTGACAACCTCTCCCATTTTCTTCTGTAGCTTCCTTCTTTGTTCTTCAGTGATTCTGGGCTCCTCTTGGTTCTGGTCTCCCCGCTTGCTGTTGCTCTTGTCTGGACTCCCCCTCCCCTCAGTCTCAGCGGACACTGCCACCTCCTCTGACGGTCCCCCTGACTGGGTTCCATCTCTTTGCTGTGTGTTTCCAGAGCATCTTTGATAATGCTTGTCACTCCTATAATCTTACATCATGATGATATTTTTCTTTTTTAAATTAAGTTCCTGCATAAATTCCATGAAGTCTGGTTCATTGCAGCACTTAGTACACTTCCTGGTATAGCAAGTTTGTTGGTACAGGTTGAAATGGAATTAATACTCAATGGTTTTGTGATGGAGTTGGTAGTTTTGCACCCATTTTACAGTTGAGAAAACTAGAGGCATAAGGAAGTTGAAACTTACACCAAATTCCAGCCAGTGAGTGATAGAGTTGGCCATGGGTGAGTCTCAAATCCAGGGTAGTGACTTCAATTCTTAGGCTCCTGCTCCTACAGGTTTATTTTGACATTCTAAGCTTTTAACAGAATGTATGGCCAGTGAGTCATCTCTGTAAACAGCCTTCAGGAGTGGGAAGCTACCTCCCAGTGATATAATGTTTGACTGTGAGGTCTTTAGGGTGGGGAGTTCCAATTTTGTTAAGCCCTTAATAATGTTACCAGTGAAACAAGTATTGACAAGACTGGATGGGCCTGTAATCTGCCCTCGTTGAGAGGTTTTTGCCTTAGGCTAAGAGTGCAGGGAAAAGAGAAAAGCACATAGCTTCTCTCAGGCCGAAGGTTTTACTGCTCAGAACTCCAGTGTGTCCTCGGAACAGTGGGGAACTGTGGTCGGCCGACCGAGGACAGCAGGGCCACGGGCTCGGGAGGAGGGCATTTGGTGAGCCCGTGGGAGGCCAGGATGCGGGCTCTGGAAGCTCCTGAAGCTCCTCTGTGAGTGTTGGAGGTCTGAGACTGTTATTTGTTTTGTTTTGTTTTGGCTAATGGTGCAGCAACCTTAATTTTTATGTGATGTTAAAAAATTTTTTTAACTGGTTGGGAGACTTCCAACTCCACTGGGACTTGTGCTCAGGGGCGCACTGTCCCCGTTAGCAGCTGTGCAGGAGGCCCTCCTGCCTCCGACTTGCTCCTCCCTGCAGCTGCTTGGGAAGTTCCCTCCAGCATCCCTGAGTTGCTAGTGAACATGTCAGGATATTGTGTTCGCAGCACTCAACGCTGATCCGTGAGGGTGGGGGCTGGGAGGTGGCAAGTGAACACAGACCAGTTGGAGACCAGTTCTGTGTGGCGGTGATGACTAAGCCTCTGTGGAGAGAACATTCAGCACTGACTGCCCAGGGCGGGGGCGGCGGCTGCAGGAGGGGCTAGAGTTGGAGCTGCCAGTCAGCGGCAGCAAACTGTTACTTAGCAACAAAGTGGAAAGCTGTGTTTGCACATTAGTTTTCATCAAAATCATTTCAGGATAGAATGAGATTCTTAGATGAAAGACTTCTACAGATGGTCACAGAAAAGACTTTCAATTTTAAGTATTTTTCCTCTTGAACTTGTGCTTATTTAATAACTCTCTGGACTATGAATGCTAATGTCACATACAGAATAACACTACACACATAACCAGAATGTGAAGGTTCCCGAGTCTGCCTTTCTGAAGAATTCTGTTTGTTTACATTTCAGGATAAAAATATGTGTGTGGTGTTAAATAAAACGTTATAGAAATGGTTTCCTTTATGCTACGTACTTGGTGTATGCCCCTTTTTCTTTGAATTATTTTAACAGGATAATGAAAAACTAGGATTACATTCGTGATAACCAAGCAACTGACACCTCTTTTCTCTCTTTAGAGCCGTAGGTAAAACCTGCCTGCTGATCAGCTACACAACCAATGCATTTCCTGGAGAGTATATCCCCACTGTGTGAGTATTTCCTGTCGAACTGGCAAGCAACACACCTGTGGTGTTTTCTGGACGCCTCTGACCTTTGTTTTTCTATAAAGTCATTCTTAATCCTTACATGAACAACTATGATTACTTTTTCTCTCAAACATTCACCAAAGTCTACATATTTGGGCTTTTAAGAAATACTTAATGTAAAATTTCCACATAGCAATGAAACACACAACTCTGCTAATTGATTTTTAGACATTTAGGAACCAAAAAAAGTTAAAGTGATTGAAGTGTAGAGGCTGGGAAATTGAAGAGTCCCAGATGGCGGTGGCTGTCCGGGCTCTGTGTGTGAAGGATTGAGGCGCTGGAAGGGACCTGCTTCCTTGTGTTGTAAATGGCCTTTCTTGGCAAGTTGTCCACTGCCTACATGTTGCTGTGGGTACTGGGGCCGTGCCCTTGAAACTGGGGGGGTGGGATTGGCTGCAGACTGCTTATTCCCTGTTGGCCACGGAATTGGGTGACGATGGAAAAGTGCTTTTTTGATGATGGGTGACTCCAGAGCCCAGCCTTGGAGCGCCACCCTGTGGCCACCATGAGCTGTGTCACCATGGCTTCCTTCCCCTGAACAAACACCCCAAGGCCCGTCTGCCCCCGGAACTGACTCCCGGGGCAAACACTCCCCCGCGGGTGACCCCTGAAGAGGCGTGTGCTTATTTTAATGCACATGGAGTCGTCCTGTCCTACTCCAGCTGATGTCCCCACCGGTCATTTGGGTTTGCGGGGGTTGGCTGTGCAGACAGTGCTGTGTTAAGCATCATCGTGTGTGTGTTTGTGCACCTGTGATAGGTTATTAGTAGTGGGGTTGTGCCGAATTTTAAATATTGATACCTACTACCCCTTTGCTGAAGGGTGACCGCCATGCCCAGCTGTGCCTGAAACAGCCCCTGCACAAGGCTGTGGCTGCAGACCTGAAAAGGTGCTTCATCATGTGCATTTCTGGTCGCCCGGGGGGTTCAGGTCTTTTGAATATGCCCTCTCCATTTATTGTCTTCTGTGAATTGCCTGTCAAGATTTTTCGCTTATTTTTCTAGTGAAATTTTTTCTGACTAATTTTCTAGTGAAAATTTTTCTTTTGTATGTAAAATATTAATTTCTGTCTCTCGTTTGTCCTCAGCTTTGTTGTGGTGTCTTCCACCCTAAACGAATGTAACATTTTGACACAGACGCGCCCTCTCCCCTTTCCCTGTGTTCAGCGTGTCTCGCCGGGAAGACCAGTCTGACCTGAGAGATGCAGGATGTTCTCCAGGAGTTTTTCTAGAACTTTTGTAGCTAAAGTTGTTATCTTTAATTCATTTAGAATGTATTTTTCGGTCTAGTATGAGACAGGTACTTGATTTTTTTTACCCAGATGGGAAAAAAGTCACCATTTAGTGAAAAATCAATCCTTTTCTTATGAGGCAGAATCTCTACACATCAGACCTTTTCTTTATGAAAGTCAGTTTGGTCATTAAATCCTGCAAACCAGCTTAGCCCCTTCTCAGACCTTGACTTTATCGCCCCAGTGCAGCAAAGACCCTGCATTTGTCTCCCAGGTGCGGGGTCTGGAGTTCCACCATGTTCTGCGTGGTGGCTGCTTTTTCTTCTTAGAGAACTACTTACGGTACAATCCGTGCAGTGATTTCTTGTCAACCTATTTTCCCATCAGCCTGTAGGCTTTTCTGGGCTGCCTCTTACAGTTAACTGATTTCTGTGTGGCAGCTAAAAAGTATGGTAAATGTACGTGTAATTCGGCACGTGCACTTTGAAGACGTCCCATGACGGCTTCTCAGAGCCCCTATGCACGTCGGCGGCAGCTGGATGACCATGGCCGAGGCAGGACAACCACGGCCAAGGTGTGACTCACACCCAGCCGTGTGCGTCCTTGCAAGCGAGTCAGACGTGCAGGAGGAACTCCGCAAGTGGGACTTGAGAGACGGACCGGGTTCATGCATTATTTTGTCCTGAGGAGAAAAACCTTAATGTTCCATTCATAAAGGCAGAGCTTTTGATTGCTGACAGTAATTTGTTCTGTTAAATTGAGTTGCTTCCCTTTGTTTTTTGGCATTTTTCTCAAGTTGTGTGTTTGTCTCCCTCACATTCCACCCCGTTTCCCTTCTCCTTTACTCACAGTGTCTCCTGGTGCCTGCAGGGAGGACACTTGCTGGCCTGGTGGCCTCCAGACCCACTCCCCGCCTTTTCAGCACCTCCTCCTCTGGGACCCCAGCAGGGACAGTGACTCAGGTCCTGGACCTGGGCCTTATGCTCCAAGGCTAGAGACTAACCATTTTTCCTCCATGTTTTACAGCTTTGACAACTACTCTGCCAATGTTATGGTAGATGGAAAACCGGTGAATCTTGGATTATGGGATACTGCCGGACAAGAAGACTATGACAGATTACGTCCCTTGTCTTATCCGCAGACAGTAAGGATCACAACTGATTTGTAATGCGTTCTTTACAATGCACAACTCCTGAGTGGTTAATCATTGTGTATCACCTTTGCTTTGCTTCTGTTACCATCTCTTGGGCATAGAGGCAGCCGAGCAGATTCCTTGGGTTCAGATCCTGCTCTCCCTCTTACTAGCTGTGTGACCTTGGGCAGCTTTCTTCATCTCTGGTCTTGACCTCTGTACTTGTGGGACTGGGTGAGTTGGACGGCACGTGGAACGGCCCCAGGCACGTCGCAGGCCCTGCAGTGCAGCTCTGTCGGGAGTCCTCTCTGTTCCCAGGTCCGTGCACTGATCGATCCGGAGACTCCTCAGTTCAGAGCCAAAACCGATTCGTGAGTTAGTTGTCCATCCTCTCAGCGAGCCAGGAGGGCCAGAAGTGGTCAGGGTCAGGGTCATGGAGACGTCCAGAGAAGGCAGGCTTTGGTCCTTTGATTGACTTAATCGTCACTTTCCCAGTTGTGGGTCGTGTAGGTGAGAATAACTAATTGGTTCCAGTCTGCCAAGTCTTTTTTGTTTCTGCTTTTAGACAAACTTGCTGTTTGGTAATGATAGTCTTTAACTTCTGAATACAGCCTTTTCCATGCCAGTCGCTTTCTTATTGTTTCCTGCTGGAGGAACTGCCGGATGCAGTTTCTGTGTGTTGACAGTTTTTTATTGTTCTTTAGCTGAATTCTGGTAACAGACCAAAACTATAAAATGGGAGATTTGAATTGCATGGTTTTTGTTAATCTCAGCTAAAAATTAACTGTAAGTATTAAAAACCAGCCAAATGTCCAAATGGTGTGAATTCAAGGTGTTTAGGAATCTATTCCGTACCACTGGGTGCTTAATAATTCCAGACTTTGAGTGGATTGGCAAACATACCAGGAGTCTCCTTCCCCACTGGATCCATCTGGAAGGGTGGGGTGTCACTCAGCCACCTCCTGTGACGCAGTGTAGGTAGGGCGTGGCCGCCTCCTTTTGAGAGACTTGCTCCTGGTGTGTCAGAGGTGACCGGGCGGGATTCCCGTTTTGTGTGCTAAAGGTCACAGAAGACTGACGGAAGCAGCCAGCCCGCGGCGATGAGGGCTGGGACCTGCACTTCGTATGTCCTGTTCCACGGGAGGGGGAAGGACGGCTTGCCTGTCCGATACTGAAGCAGCTAAAAGGGGCAGGTGTGGTTCTTGCCCTCAGGGGGCTCACGAGGACCATGTAATAATACAGTGTCCCAGGTACCAGCTGGAGGTGCTTAGGGACGAAGAGGAAGAGCGCACCCGACTAGTAGTGCCAGGCGTGCCAGCCTGCACTCCGTGGAGCTGAGGGGGGAGGGCATCCTGGCTGCTGAGGGGCCGGCCCCTTCCTTTGAACTGTGCTGTCCCGCCGAGGGGAGCAGGCCTGGGACGCACTGGCTGCACCCTGAGTTTTTGTTGCAGAGGGGAAGGGACTCGGGCCTTGCGTGGAGGGAGCACGTCTCCGGGTGCTGGCTCCCTGGGTCTGAGGGCTGCTCCCTGGGGCTCCCCCGCAGCTCTGCCTGCGCCTGCCCTGGGAGGGCCAGGTGGGAGGCGTCTTTTGTGGTGCCTGAGAAGAGACGTTCTGTTTCCTCTGGTCACGAGAAGCTGGTGTCCATCTCTGCTGGGTGGCTCTGCGTAGCTAAGAGGAGTCTGTTTAAACCATCAGCTTTTACTTTGTTCTCCTAAAGATGGTGAACAGGTAGTCGTTTTCAATATAAGCTGCTATTCCAGTTTAACTTTTCTAGATTACATAATCCTTGGGGCTTTCCCACCCTCCAGTTAACTATCTTTACATTTTCTTTAAAAATGTGCTGTAAGTTCTGCACGTTCATCTTCAACTGGTGTGCTCAGAGTCGAGGTGTGACTGCCATGGCGCCCAAGCCCAGCACCTCTCCCTTGTCTACTCACCTGTGCTTGCCTCCCTGCTCCAGCATTTCGTGGTGTGAGTGGGAACAGGTGTGACTTGCCATGGTCGCAGGCCTGAGCCCCGTGTGTGCACCGGGAGACTCAGCTGTATGGTTGGCTTCCTTTGCTGCACCTGCCTCTGCTCGGGCCGGCGAGAACCCTGCTGTGTCACGCGGTGTGTTCCTTTTGTGTGCAGGCTCTGGCTGGGTCACTGCAATGTCAGACAAAAAGCAAGCCCTCGGTATTTGGTGCAGCTCTTCTGATGTTCACAGGGCTCGAGCTTTGCTGGGTGCTGTTGCAGCCTCAGTGTCTTCCAGCCATAGGTCACGAGAACACACCAGTGGTTGGCTGCACAGGGTTGTCACTGTCTGGGGAGACACGCCCCTTGGGGGATTGGTGGGTAAGGCCGGGCAAGGGCTCGGGGAAGCGGAGCTTTGCTCTGGCTCAGGTACTGGCAGGAGTCAGGGTGGTTCGGTGGTTGGGTCACAGTCAGTCTTCCCTAGAGGATGAGGATGCAGAGTCCGGAGCTGTGATTGGCACGGAGGTAGTTACTCTCCTTGGCTGGGAGAGGGGCCTTTGGTGTTTTGTAGTTTGCACAGTGCCTTGTATTTGTGCTTAGACAGGATGGTGGAGTGAGCGATCTTCCATTCTTTTTGGGTCTCAGTTTCAGCGTGGTCACACGGGACCTCGTCTGCCGCCGGTGCCCTGGGACGTTGCTTTACCCCACGCAGACCTGCTGTGGCAGAGCGGCGGGTGCCGGGCGAGCCCCAGGCGTCTGTGCTCCCTGGTCTTTTTTTTTGCTGCGAAGAACGCCCGTATTAAAAACTGTTACAACCCTGAAAGTAAAAACCAGGTGGAAAGCATTTGGAAGAGCGTAAAATGAAAGAAAGAAAAATGATAGTGCTTTTGGAGCAGGGAGCTTTTGGCCCACTCTCCTCCTGCTCAGGGCGGACTTGGCTTTTTGTGGGTTGTCCCACTAACCGGTACAGACGTGGCAGGAAGAACTGCGATGTTGACCAGTGGGGATGGGCTGTGCAGTATGGGAGTCATGAGTCACCAAAGGCCTGCTGGGGGTGGGTGTGCTCGAACTGCCCTGCTGCTGTAAGGGAAGTAACAGTGAAGTCCATAGGGAAGGTGGCCTGTGACTCCAGAACCACCCCCATGACCTGTGAGGAAGGGAGAGGGTGGCTATGCCAAAGGCGGCTCTGCTGGGGGCTTGGAGCATCGCGAGAACAAGATAAAGAGGGGACCCCAGGCCGGGGAGAGCAGTGTGAACACTGCGTGGGCCTCAGCGGAAAGTGAGGGTCTGGAGAACTGATGCTGGGAGGTGAGGGTCGGAAGCACGAGAAGTGATTCCTGGTGAGGCAGTACCTCGCTCATGTGGGGGGGAGGGGGCAGGTGGTACCGCGCTCATGTGGGGGGAGGAAAACCCCGTGACTCGTCAGAAAAGACGTTCTTAAGAGTTGAAAGGGTGCGACGGATGCCGTCCGAGGACACCTGAAACGGCGCCTCTGTGGCCAGCCCCTCGCAGCCCCCTTGTCACAGAGAGGACTCGGCTCCGCGTCCAGGCCTGATGAGAACAGGTCTTCAAAAACAGCTCACAGGCTAGACCTGGATGTTCACGGGAACATAAATGGTCTCAAATCGGAAACCAGAGGAGCTTGAACAAGGTCAAGTAAAAATTCTCTCCTTTGCCTGTCTCTTAAAAGAACTCCAGGGCTCTGTGTGGCTGGAAGAGCAAGTCTTTCCCTTTTTATGGGGACAGAGATGAATGGAAGGCATTGTGACAGACACTCAGATGCTGTCACTTTGAGCCACCACATCGAGATTCACAGGGGAGGGTGGAAGGTCTCAGCATGGCAACACTGCTCCCCGAACGGGAGGACACACGTCCTGCCGTGGCCCAAAGCCCTGGCCCCGCTCTGGGGCCCTTTTCCCCAGGCCTGGCCCCCAGGCAGGTGCTTCCCTGTGTGCCCGGCCTCAGCCGGGCCCGCGGCTGATCCTGGGACGGAGAGCTGCGAAAGGTGTGCCCATCACTCGTGGGCACTGGTGGCAGGAGGGACGTGTCCAAGGGCCCTCTGTGGTGGCTGCTGCGGGACAGGGTGCCCTGTCTCCTCCCAGCCTGTGCTGCCCTCTCTCTGCCCCCTCCGGCCCCTTCCCCAGGTTGGTGGACAGTGTTTCTGTGGCTTTGGCATCATAGACCTGTTAGATCCTCCCCTGCTTTAGGTCAGAACTCTGGGGGAGCAGAGACGGCATTCTGATGAGGAACGGATGACGGGCTGAGTTGACTTTTGTTCTCCGTTTTTGCTGCACTCAAACGAAGTTCTCGTGCGTTACTAGGTCGGAGAGACGCACGGTAAGGATATGACCTCCAGGGGCAAAGACAAGCCGATTGCCGTATGTAAAACTTTCAGTCGACTTCGGTTTCCAGCTTTATCTGTCCTCTCCTTTCTCTTAGTTTTGCTAGGATTTCCTGTTCAGCCTCACATTCCTTGAGTGTTCTATATCTAATTCACTCAAGATTGGGGTTTTGCTTAATGAATCATGCTTGTATTAGAATGTGACAATTTACCTACTAGCTTGAATGAAAGCCGTTTGGGGGTGCTTCTTTTCCTCCTAAGTAAAAGGAGAGGGGCTTTTATGAATGGGGCTTTAATGGCAATGTGGGGGCTCCGCCAGGAAGCCCACCGCAGGCCCTGAGCTTGGCTGAGCAGGACTAACCAGGGTTGCCTTCTCCTGCTGGTGTCGGTGCCAGAGGTCTGTCCGGTGTGGCTGTGCTGAGCTGACCCACATGCTTTGACTTGTCGTGATCTGCACAGGTGGTTCGTGGACGACTCGTGCATGCGCTGGTGTAGGGAAGTGGTGTGCGTGAAAAGCCGCTGCGTGGGTGCTCTTTCCCCTCAGGTCCCGGACGCCGGCTGGATGAGCGAGAGTGCTGGCTTGGCAGTCGGGCTTTTCACAAGTAGCATGATCACCTTTGTCCAGGAAATATGCCTTATGAAGTTAGCATTTTAGAAACTTTCAAGCATTTTTAAATTCAGGCAAATATTGAGACTTTTTTACACTGTACAGAATGGATGGGAAAACCCCGATATTTTACTTCTAGTGTGAAATTCTTCCAGGTGTTTATTCTGCTCCTCCCATTCCTTTGACTCTGCCTCAGCCACACCTGCCCCGGTGCTGGTTCCCCAGGCTGCTTGGCTGTTGGAGCTCTGACATCTGGGAGACGTCACCTGCACGTTGGCCCACCCCGCTCATGGGGAACGTGCCCATGTAGCAAACACTGGAGGCCCACTCTGTGCCAGGGGCCGATGGCGGTTCTTAAAGAATCAGTAAAAAAAGTTTACTTGGAGTCCAGTGATCATCTAAAAACTTCGTACTTAATGTGCAGATGAGGAGCTTAATGAAAAGCGTACATACCATTTGTAGATAATGTTTTGAGAAGCAGACCAGGTTTTACAGAATAAATGTTCAAGTGGCACCTTGACGCTTGATCTTTGCCCCCAGGGAGAGGTGGGAGTGATGGAAAGAGGCCACCTGGGCTCTGACCCGAGGCCTCTGGAGCCTCTAGTGGCTTGTGGCTCACTTGGCCCTCTCGCCCCTTCTCTCGGTAACAGGGCGCTCCAGGGGCTGCTGGTGCAGCGCAGTCTTTGTGAGAGCATCTTCTAAGCCCCGCCCTGTCTCCTTTTCACAGGACGTGTTCTTAATCTGCTTTTCTCTCGTGAGTCCTGCGTCATTTGAGAACGTCCGTGCAAAGGTAAGTGGGCGTTTTTTAGAAAAATATTTGGTTATATAATGTCACTCTCAGGAAGAAACATTGAGAAATAAAATACCATTTACTAACTGTGATTTTCAGTTAACTTGGTTTCAGTAGTTCTGTTAAGGTAAAGAATTACTCTTCTAAGTGTGTGGCTCGATGTGCAGAATTCCCAGGCTTCGGGGTGACTCAGAAGCTGTGTGTCCTTGTTAAACTGATGGGGCGCAGCCCGTGCCGCCCCTTCTGCGTCTTCCCCACTCTGGGGGAAGGACGCTTGCAAAATGCCCGTCCTGGGAGTGCTCAGTCGGGCGATGGCGGCAGCGCCGAGGCCTTGGTGCACCCAGTTTGGTCAAGTCCCCGCATGTCCGGGGTGAGGGCGCGAAGCAGGCTTCTTCATCACTGTTTATGGTGCAGTGTAGCGTTGGTATCGCAACTGTAAACCTTTTGTCAACCCGTGTGGAGTGTTTTCCGAGGTGACCTAAGAACTTGACTTGTACCAAAAATGACGCGGTATTTTTTGGTGGGGGGCTTTTTCATACCTCACACCCCCCTGCAAGTAGCTCCGGTTCGCTGTTGAACCACAAAGCCCAGCAGGAAGTGCTGTGCCGGGCCCAGGCCTCACTCGGGTCCATGAGGGTGTTGGTTGGAACGGAGGACAGCGGTCCCCGGCCTTTGTGGCACCAGAGCAGGTGCAGTCCTCCTGCATGAAGGTCCTGTAGGGTCACAGTGATGAGGGGCGGCTGACATTTTGGCGGCTGTGGCTGTGACTCGGGTAAGGGAGCGTGTAAAGGAGTGTGTCACATCCTTGTTCTCTCTCTGCATCTGTCTAGTGGTATCCTGAAGTGCGACACCACTGTCCCAACACTCCCATCATCCTGGTGGGGACAAAGCTTGATCTCAGGGATGACAAAGACACGATTGAGAAACTGAAGGAGAAGAAGCTGACGCCCATCACCTACCCGCAGGGCTTAGCCATGGCTAAGGAGATCGGTACGGACCCCTGTGGTTTTCATGTGCCTGGTGCAGACTGGATTCCAGTCTGCGGAAGTGGAGAGCACGTTCCCCCAGACCAGGGTCTGGCTTGGGAACCAGCTGTGTGAGTCCTGTAGTGTCCAGTGTTCGGGAGGAGGCAGCAGGGTTAGGGGTTGCTCCAGCAGAAGGCGGCAGGGCCTGGGGGAGCAGCCTGGCCTTTGTTCTGATCGGGAACCTGGCCGTGTGGCTGTAATTACAGGCTGTGTGTCTTGGCAGGTGCTGTCAAATACCTGGAGTGCTCGGCTCTCACCCAGCGAGGCCTCAAGACAGTGTTCGACGAAGCCATTCGAGCCGTTCTCTGCCCACCTCCCGTCAAGAAGAGGAAGAGGAAGTGCCTGCTGTTGTAGACGTCGGCCGGCCCCCGCCGCCCGCCCGGGAGCCTTCGTACGCTTTGCTCAAGAACGACGGAGCCTTCGCACTCAATGCCAAGTTTTTGTTACAGATTAGTTTTTCCATAAAACCATTTTGAACCAATCAGTAATTTTTAGGTTTTATTTAAACAAATAAGTGTAAGAGTTAAAACTTTCATATTCTATTAAAACGTAGCCCTAAAATGATAAGCTTTCTTAAAGCCTTATTTTTCAAAAGTCCCTATTCTTGCTCAGATTAAGAGTTGCCAAAATACCTTGTGAACTAAGTTGCATTGTTGTGCTAAGAACACTAAGCACTAAACCGTTTAAAGACCTTTGTCTTCAAGAAGACTGCAGCTTCTGCAGGTGGGGAAGGCAGGCACTTTCTAACGAGTTTCGCACTGGAGAGGTTCTGCTTCTCTTACGAAATGTTGCCATTTTAATGCATCGGTAATTTATCAGCCCATGTTCGTTACCTAACGTTGTACTGTACATCATAATGGAATGAGTGTAACAGCTCAACCCTTTGGATCAATCTTTTTGATTTCAGCGTGAGAGTTTTTAAAATGTTAGTGTATCAGCTTTGGCTGAGATCTGAAGCAAACTCTCACTCACGTGTCCCCTCCGAAGTGCTCTGCTCTAGACGTGGGCGCGCAGGGGTGGGTGCGAGGAGCGCTCGGTGTGGTTGAGGGTGAAGACAGCAGTATTTTGACAAAATATGAAGTGGAAATTAATTTACACTACATTGTACACGTACTAATTAAACTGAGTAACAGTGTCACGGGTAAAATTTTAAATAGGTTAATTTCCGTCAAATGTAGTAGATGATGAAGAACGTTGGTATTAATCAGTAAGTGTCTTCTTAGGCTTTTCCTTTTTCTTAAACCTGCCGCCCCTCCCGGAATTGGGCATTTAATTCGTCTTTGAACTGGTCATTCCTACGGTTACTAACTGAGAAAGTGCTTTTCTTAGAGAATCCCTTCTCAGCAGGCAGTATGCCTCCTTGTACAAAATCTTGATACGTTTTTTTTTTTTTTTTTTAGATTAGTAAAAGTGCATTCCTCTTTTCATGTTTCTTTATTCAAAGCTAATAAGTGCTTTCCTTAATTAGTTTTCTAGTAACTAGATGTAAAAATCACGTGTTGCATCTTTACAGTTTTTAAGATATTTTAGATATTCTTACTACGGACCTTCGTAACATCACTGTCTTGCCAGATCCCCACCGCCGCACCTTGACCGATGCCGGCCGCCTCCCCCCGTGGACGCGCTTCCCCTTGCTCTGCCTAACCACGCCCCTTGGGGTGTGAGGTTCTGCAAGTCCCGTGCTCGTGCTAACCAGGTTCTGTGCAGCTTCCCCACTGGTGAGAACACGAGGCGGGGCCTTTCAACCACTAGAACAACATTTTTTAAATCGACAGTTGCAGAATTGTGGAGTGTTTTTACATTGATCTTTTTGCTAATGCAATTAGCAGTATGTTTTGCATGTATGACTTAATAAATCCTTAAATCATATGACTGTAATACTTGAATTCTTTTTTTACTTTTTGAGATTGTTTATTCAAGCTGGGGACAGGGAAACGAGGGCCCAGGACAGAAGCAGCATCAGGGGAGCCCAGATGGGGCTCCTTTGGCTCACTGGGAAGTCAGAGAGGGGAGGGGGCCCTGGAGACGGGTCCACGGGTGAGCTCCGGATGCACCGCCACTGCCCATTGCTCCCCTGGTTGCAAGTCTTGTGGGAACCCTTAGAGTTTAGGATGGCGGCCCCCAACCTTTTCAGCACCAGACACCAGTTTCACAGAAGAGAATTTTCCCACGGAACGGGGTGAGGGGCATGGTTTCAGGATGCTTCAAGCGCATCCCATTCAAGCTCACCTCCCGCTCTCCAGCCCAGTTGCTGTCAGGCCTGGATTGGTAGCAAGGCCCAGAGGTTGGGGACCTGTTTTGAAGATACACTCCTGAGGAGGAAGAAAGGCGTGGGTGTGCCCTAGGACTTGAATTCCGGAGACCTGGGCGAACCGTCTCCTGGGGTGTTCAATGTGCCTCACTTGGTGTTCGTTTCCCCTGCGTGCTTCTGTGTTGGGGGCGCAGGGAGTGGCCTCTCTAGGGGGAGACATGGGTGATTAGGACTGTGGGTGGTTTGGTTTCGGACCAGCTGAATGTGAGACAGTGTCCACCCTGGGACACGTGTGTAGTTGTGTGCAGTGCACATGTGCATTGCGTGTGCATCTCGGCCAGGGTTCTGGGCTGAAAGTAAGGTGGCGGGACCCAAACTGGCACTGTGGAAGGGCGGAAGCTGACGGTATGACTTTAAGATTTTCCTGAGGCCTGAAGTCGTGCTGTGAATAGTTGGTGCTAGAATCCATTTTCTAAACTCTTGTTTATTGCTTTGAGTATTTTGAGTTCCCTTTTGACCAAAGATAAATATGTTTAAAGATAAATACTGTTTAAAGACCAAATAGGGAAAAATAGATTAAAAACTGTACTTGAAAAATAACTAAATAAAATTATTTAAAAAAAAAAAGACCAAATAGTTCTAAAGGTTTGCTACAAAAAAGGCAGCCTTCCCCTTTTATACCCTCCCCAGAGCCAGGGGCTTTTGAGATCTTTCAATTTGTTTCCTCATGTGTATCTTTTAATTTGCTACTTATTTCCACATGTGTAATTCATGCTTGCTTTTTTTTACTTACTAAATCACTGGCTTATTAGAACAGGCTGTGACTCGGCCAGATGTTGCGTGGGGCCAGGGAGCAGGGTTTCCGTTCCCCACCGGGGCCACGCGCCCCCAGCCTCCACGTGCTCCCCAACACACAGCCCCGAGGACCCACTTTCTGGGATTTTACGAGGTCTTGTCACACGAGGGTGGATTAAACCTCTTGGAGATAAACAGCCAGCCTCTCTGCAGGGCTCAGTCTAAATCGTGCACTTTGGAAGGTGGGTGGATCTCTGTTTTTAACCCTCCTCACTGACATGCCCACTGTGGGAGAGACGAGGGCTTCCTGCCTGCTGGCTGCACCCGCGGGCTCCCAGCACCTTTCCCATCGCCTGGGCACGGGTCCTGTGGTTGGCGCTCACTGTTCAGTGTCTCTACTTTTACTGCGTAAAAGACACCTGAGCCGCACAGTAATGCAAGTTGGCCTTTCCCTAAACAATTTTTGGATTTTGAGAAAACTTTCATTTAAGGCTGTTTTCTATTGTTGAAATCTGTTAAGATGCTCAGGTGTGTTACACGTTTCATCAATTTTCATTTTCCTAAAGTCTCAGGACCCTCCAACCACCCTTACACGTTGTTGCCTGCACCTGACGCTGTTTTTTTTAATATACTTCCTCATTTTGGTGAACAGGTGCTCCAAGAGCCAGCCCGAGGAGTGTGGGAAATTGCTGTTTTTGAGCCCTCGAAGCTTTGAAAATCACTTCCTCCCACCCTGCTATCTTTTGGCTGAGTCTGGAAGGCCAGGCTGGCCCTCAGCTCCCCCCGCCCCCTGGGGTTTTGGAGGCCCCTCTCCAGGCTTCCTTAGCCATGCCCACTGCACAGGGATTTGGGGAGACTTTCCCTGGGTCTTCTGGCCTAGGTTTATTTTTACAACCCTTGTGGTCTGGAACCTCATGACTCCCATTATTCCTGTGTCCATTTCTGCTCATGTCCTCTTTCGTGCTTTTAACTTTGGGGTGCGGGGTTCTGTTTTAATTCCCTAGAGACCCTCTGGGCCTCGTGGGTCAGTTCTGTGGCTGCGGCACTTCCTGCTGCCTGCAGCTGGGGCGGTGTGCAGCTTCTGCACCTGTTTCTCTTGGCCCTTGTTCCTCAAGATCCTGGCAATCCTCCGCTCGTACTTACAGGTCAGGAACCTCGAAAGCAGAGAACACGGAGGACAGGTGAGTCTCTGCAGGATGGTGCTGTTCAAAGTGTGTCTGAGATCTCTCATTTTCGTGCCGAGAACGTGCAGGAATTAGGTTCAGAAAACAAAACTTGCAGAAATTGGACATTACGTGGCATTCCTAGCCAAGTGTTAAAAGGGCCCTTCGCAGGTTTTCTGAAGCTAAGGAGCTCTGGCTGTGACCACGGAGTGGCCCTGTGGCCTCGTATCACTGCAGCCAGCTCTCCCTGGTGACTGACTGCTCTCCCCGAAGGTTTCCGGGGGCCAAGTGGGAGGAGGGAGGAACCGCACTGTCAGTGGAGGTGTCAACTGTACTTGTGCTCCATCCCCTGCTTCCGCCCCAGAGCAGACAAGGGCCTGATTTCTTCAGCTTTCAGGTAAATCCGTCCCACTTCGGCGAGGCCCGGTCTGCCCCCTCCCGTGTCAGGTGCGGGGGGGCCTGGGTGTGATCTGCTTCCGTTGACCTCCAGCCTCCCGATTGTCCTGTGCCTTCCCCTCCTTGTGGGCGTTGTTCTTTAAAGAAATCCCTGCGCCGTCATTTTACTGGCTTTGCAGCCTGGGGTGAAGCCAGGTGTCCTTGCACCTCTGCTCCACAGCCATGGGGCCAGGAAGACTTCGACTGCCCTCTGCTTATGGTGGGCAGGAGAACACCGCTGAGACCACCCAGGGAAAGAGCGCTTCCTGGGAGCGCCCAGCAGGAGAGCACAGCACCGCGCAGACCAGGGACATGTGTATGTGCTTTATTTCTTGACGCCCTCTAATTCCACTGGCCAGCCCCAAGAGTGTTCCCACCAGCGGGTGTTGATGAGACACTGGATTGTGTGTGTAAACAAGGACCAGGCTGTAGCCCGAGGGGCGGGAGCTTCCCCACGCACTTCCCTGGTTTCGTCTGGGTTCCCGGTCACAGCTCAGGGCTGTCTGTGCAGCCGGGAAGGTCCGTGTGCTGCATGAGCCGCACACCTGTGTGCCCAGTGCGGCCTCAGCTGACCGGGGGCCGCCAGGGAAAGGGGGCCTTAAACCCAGCTGCTGCAGTCCCGCCCTTCCCCAGGCAGTTCTCAGAAGCCCAGGAATCCGCAGGCCACCGGGGAGAGGGGCTTCTGTGGGGCTTCACCCACATTCAGTTTCGGGAGCCCCCCCACCTCGGTGCCCTCCTGACTCCTGGTGCTCAGATGCTGGGGTCACAGCTGGTTCCCAGAGCAGCCCACCATTCAGACCACCAAGCCCAGTGCCTGTCCAGTTCCTACCGCTGTCCTGGCGTCATGGGCTTCGCTCAGGCGTCGAGTCACAACGGTGGAAGTCTGTCATCAGCGTTGAAGCCCCCTGGGGCAGGACAGGAATCGCAGACACTGCTGTCAGACACCACACTGTCCAAGGCTCGCATCAGGATGTCCGGCATGTGGTCCGTCAGCATCTTTGGGCCAATGAGGATCTTGCTGAATTCTGATTCGTGCGCCCACCTGGCAGTATACTGAGAAGTATAGCAGGAAAACCTGGAGAAGAAAACCACCTGTTACTAGCAAAGCATCGCTCTGGGTTCCACTGCACACACGTGTTTCTGTTACTGTGGTGCGTGGACCGTGCCGCGTGAGGGCCCTGCGGCCCGTGGCTCACCTCCTGGAAGTGCCTTCCTCCTCCAGGTGGATGATGCGGCCTGGAGGGTAGAGGGGCGGGTACTTGGTGGGGGACGGCAGCGGGGAGCCATGGGTCAGCAGGCTCTGCTCCCCGAGGAGAGGCTGTGTCAGGTCTGCACGGTCGCCGCCGTCCAGCTCGGTCGGAAGGCTGTCCGGGCTCCCTCCGAACAGCTCATACCAGCACCCGTGCAGCAGGATCTTGTACTGAGAGCAAGACCGAGAGGGAGGCGCCGCGTCACCCAGAGGCTCTGCAGGGCCCCGGGAATCCTGGGACCTGAGCCGGGGTGAGGGGGCAGCGGCTCAGCCGGGACAGGTGCCGGGCGGTGTCCCTGCTCTGAAGTCACAGATCTCAGGAGTGTGGGGTCACTGGGCCTCCACTCGGGTGACTCCCGGGCAAAGGAGCCGTCACACTAGATGCGATATTTAAAAGCTGAATCGTACACATTTTGAGGGCAAATTACCCTTAATTCTGTTCAGGTGACTCTGCCAAAACAGCTTTTCTCTTCCCTTCAAGACATTAGTGGCTAGTATTTTAAAATCTGGGGTGGTGGCTGGTAAGTAGAAGGTTTATTTTAAATTTAAAATTTTTGTTCCAATTAGCAGAAAAATCTAAAACTGTCAGAGCTCTAAACTAAATCCCATTTTGGTATTTATTTTGGTCAAAGCTCACATCTCATTACCTGCTCCCGGCCTCAGACCTCACCTCTAAGAACCATTTCTTTTTTTTAAATCTTTTTTAAAGATTTTATTTATTTATTTTTAGGGGGAAAGGGAAGGAGAGAGGGAGAGAAATATCAATGTATGGTTGCCCCTGGTGCATCCCCTGCTGGGAACTGGCCTGCAACCCAGGCATGTGCCCTGACTGGGAATCGAACTGCGATCCTTTGGTTCACAGGCCCACGCTCAATCCACTGAGCTACACCAGCCAGGGCTGGTCCTCTGCTTTCTTAGACATCATCTGTAGGCACAGATGTCTGGGCAGCAAAGCACCACCTGCCCTGGGCACAGAGGCCTTGAATTCACGAGGCATCTTCCTCCTGGGGAGGCCCCGCCCCCGCAGCCCCCGACGGGCACCAGTTACCTTGGGCTTGTTGCAGTGCGCGATCACGCGCAAGATCCTCCTCTTCAGATCTTCTAGGTTGGTCACGCTTAACCTGTTCGTCACAGGGCAGAGTGAGGCCCAGCATTCAGTCTCTATGGCAACGCCCCTCCCCGGACGAGCGTCGGGCACACCCACCTGGGAATCACGTCCTTGCCCAGGACGAGTGACACGGTGAAGTCCTTTGAGTACTCATGAAGAGATTTGCTGAAATTTAAAGAACAACTGGTTCTATTTCCTTCCTCCGCCCTGACTGGAAAGACAGTGTGCACCCCCGTGTCCGTCGGTGCAGCAGCCAAGACATGGGGAGCACCTCAGCGTCCACTGCAGAACGAGTGGACGAAGTGTGTGCGTGTGGACATACACACACGATGGAACATTACTCAGCTATGAAAACGGATGAAATCTCGGCAGCACTGGAGACCTCACTCCCTAGCACATGCGCTCAGTTTGGCTCAAATAAACCCTTACAAAAGTTTTCTATATATAATCGAAACCTTACCCATTTGAAACAACACAGAAGGACCTTGAGGGCATTGTGTCCAGTGAGGTGAGCCCGACAGATGCATGTGGGTGGCATCTAAACAGGCTGACAGGGAACAGGTTGGTGGCTGCCCAGGAGTGGGGCTGGGGGGGGGGTGAAACAGATGAAGGGAATGAAGGGGTCAAAACGCCCAGTTACAAAGTAAGCACGCTGCCTGTACGTAGCGCCGTTTGCATAGTTGAAGGTTGTTGCCAAGAGTATCAAGGTCCTCATCACAAGAAAGAACGTGTGGTGGTGTTCACCAGACTGGTGGTCATTTTGCAACAGGTATAAATCGCTGTGTTGCCTGTCACACAGCACCATGTCATTTAGGAAGTCGAAGCCATGGTCAGACAGACCTGTGAAAGGCTGCTCAGTCTTCCTTTAACCAAACAGTACTGGGAAACAAACTTCTGGGGATGAAAAGTTAAGCCACCCACAGAAGACCAGCCCTAACCGTGACCCACCCGCAGCGCCTGTCCCACTCACAAGCTCAGTACCTGAGTAGCCCGTGGGGCGGGGAGAAGGCGTAGCACCTGACGTGCGGGTAGGAGCTTCTGAGCATGAAGGCCAGCAGGGCCGCGGCGCCCGCCCCCAGGCTGTGCCCCACGACCACCAGCCGGTACTCCTGGGGAACAGACAGAATGAAGAAAGGTTAGAAAGCCAAACAGCTGGTGGCAGAGAAAATGGAAGATAAAGAAAAGTGGCAATCTCACGGGAGCAACGCTGAAGGCCTGGCTCAAAATCCCGTCGCTGACCAGTCGACGGTACACGTACCTGGCAGCTTGGGAGATCCCCTGAAAAGACAAAGGAGGCGACTCGTGACTGTCAGACAAGGCAGGTGCCCGCCCAACGACGGATGACAGAACTACGCTGTGCACACTTATTGGCGACTCTGTCCCTGCTAAGGGAGAAGCATCTCAGGCAGGGCCACCCACGCCCACCACTCACGGTGACATTCCCAGCACCTGCGGCAGAGAGCCCGGCGTGCCGGCAGGTGCTCAGTACACATTCCTGCGACCAAATGGGCGCCACCAGCAACACCTGTCCTCCTCAGTGGGTATTTCCAGGGCATTTCTGTGACCACACTCTCCTGCCATTTGGGCATACCATGGGTTAGTGCAGCCAAGTCCCTACGGTTGGTCAGATTTAGGTCGCATATAACTGAGGTTTCGAAACGACACTAAAACAATGCTCTGAGTCAGGGGCACTGATTCAGCATCCATTGTGCCTGCAAAGGCAAAACTTAGAGCTTCAAAGTGAGTTTTAGGGAGGTCAGGTTTTGCTTTAGTTTCAACAACTACCGTGTAAAACTTCCGCATAAACACGGCTGAGCAGTCCCCCTGGGAGAGACAATGCTCTCGGCACACGTCAGGGCACTTCCTTGTGGCCGGACGGGGAGAAGTTCTGGGCACGACGGCAGCCTCGCTGGCCGTCTCCGGAGCTGCCGTGCATTCTGACGCCAGGCCTGTAATTCTGGCAGCACGGCGCTGTCCTGGCCTCAGAAGAGAAACCAAAAGGTGGCTTGACACATTTGCCATCTTGGGGACAACGTGACAGCACTTCCTGACAAAACAGCTGGTTTCCCTTTGCTCCCTGCAAGTGCGCGGCGCTGTCGGCTTCCTCCAGCCCATCCTGGGTGCCAGTCACAGGGCTGGCTCAGGGCCCCCCCGACTAGCACCGGAGCCGCTCGGACCGGAGCCGCTGTGGGGTGTCTCCCGGCTCAGGCCTCGCACACACAAAACGCCAAGAACGTTTCCAGGGCAGAGCCTTCCACTCCAGGCACCGTGGACAGTGTCACAGCCAAGCTCGGTGCAGCCGGAGCCAAGAGTAGAGGCCTCACCCCGGGTGCAGCGGCCGAGGTCACACAGCCTGGGACAGGCCTGCCAGGACTGACCTCAGCCTCTCCTACAGACTCTGGTGGGCGGGTCGGCATGTCTGTCATGGGGCATGAAAAATTTTCAAAGACGTGCAACAGTAAGATGGACTCTTGTGACTTGAGGGACAAACATGTAGCGAGGGTTAAAGGGAAAAAATTCGCACTCGGGGCTGTCGGGCTTCTAACTGGCGGCCGTCGAAGCCCCAGTCCGCTTCCTACTAGAAACCGGCCCCGGGAGGACACTGCGGCTCCTGACCAGCAGCCACGCTCGACTGTGACCCACACCTAATAAAAGTTCGGCATTTTATTTAAAGAAGTGATTACTACGGAGGTAACACGTGTGTCTTAGTTAAAGAGCACATGAAGTGTATAAACCAGCACGAGGCCCGCCCTGCCGTCCTCTGCCCTGGGACCTCACCCTTCCCGGGAACCACAGGCAGAGGCCACGCCCACCCCCACAGAGGCTGCCCCCACGGAGAGAATGGGAAGTGTGGCCGTGGAGAGAGGGAACCCTGACACTGGCCGGTGGAATGTAATTGGGCAGCTGTTAGAAAACTGTGCGAGTTCCTCAAAGTTAAAACCAGAGACTCCCAGCAACCCACTGCTGGGCTTACGCCCAAAAGACATGGGAGCAGGGACCTGAACACGTCTCTGCACGGGAGTCACAACAGTCAAAGTACGGGCACCGCCCTCACTCCGGCCTTCAACTGAGCAGACCAGCCTGGAGGGCGCGCTGCTGAGTGAAGCAAAGCAGAAGCAGAAGGGTGCCACGGACCATGCGACCCTCCTGGGTGGGGGCTCCAGAACCACCAAAGCCACGGGGGGCAGAGAGGGGTGCTTCCCAGGGGCCGGGAAGGGGAGTCAGCGTCACGTTTGGGAGGACAGAAGCTCTGGGTGCAGACAGTGCTGAGGGACACAGCATTCTGAAGGTGCCGATGCTGCCGAATCGCACACTTACGGACGGTTAAAATGGAAAGTGCGGCGTCCAGCAGAAGTAACGCCTGCTTGAATGTGGTTGGTAGGGTAATACCATGGGTGTAATAATTTACAGTTTTAATTTGAACATTTCACCTAAAGTGTCCCATGGTGGTACTGTTATGTTGCAGGATGATGTGCTTATGATTTTATAATGAAATCAGGGGCATTACTTCTGCCGGACCCTGTATTAGGCTACTTACATTTAAAACAGTTGAAAATAAGCCAACAATGCTCAGGGCAGGCCGTGTCACCCACCCACCCACCCACCCACCCACCCACCCACAGCACAGCACTAGCAAACCCCAAGCACAGGCCGCGGCGTGGAGAAAACGCCGGGAGCAGCACCCAGGAAAGTGCCGGAGCCTGCCTTCCAGAAGAGGGGCCGGTGTGCACTGTGTTGAATGAAGGCCATTTCTCCCGCCGTCGGAACATACTGCTTTAACCACAAAGGAAGAGCATGTTCGACCAGGGCTCATATGCCGACTCTGATACTCATTCCAAGGGCTGAGTGGCTTTCTGGCAAGCCACTCTGAACCTGCTTCTCCTCAAAGGCTGGGGTGGGAACTGGCACCGTGGGGACACAAGCGCCCACTGGGCGTGGCACTTGGCGTGTGGCAGCTGTCTGTATGTGGCTGGAGTGAACAGGACATTCCGCAGGGGGAAGTTCTGACCCCATTCACCCAGCAACACCCCAGACCCCAGGGTTTCTACCTTATGGGCCAAACGGTCTTGCACATCACACTCCAGGTCCAGGGTCTCGCTCTCTGCTGACAGGTCCGTCAGGATGTCCTGTGAAAGGGCATCGGGAGAAGAGGTGTCAGCGGGGATGAGGCGGGTCCCTCCCGGGCACAGCGGGGCTGGCATTCTCCTGGGTCAGACCGTGGGGGCCTGAACCCGTGAAGCCGGAACTCAGGAGAGAAACCCAGAGGCCAATAGCTCCAGAGAGTCTTGCTGTAGGACCACCTCTGAGCCAGGCATGAACAAGAGAGAGGAGGACTTGGGACCTGTCCCAGACACACCCTCTGTCCTCCATCACTGCACATAACCAAGTTCCACAAAGCACCCGTAAGCCCTGCACTGGGACTCGGTCCACGGCTCACTGACAAGTCAGGGAGCAGACGGAGCAGGCAGGGGAGGCTTCCTGGGAGAAGTGGCACCTGAGCCGAGAACCCCCCCAAATACTTGATTTTAGGAAGCACAAAACAGGCGCTGTCACCTGACGGAGCTGCAGGACACAAGACAGAGGCATCTACACGGGAAGCAGGCAGTGGGCCGGGCTCACAGGAGCCCAGCAATGGATGTGTCAAGGGGGCACCGCAGAGAGGTGGCCTGTGGGAGGCAGGCGTGTCCCCAGGACCCAGGGCAGCACCTGCCCCAGGCTGAGACCCCAGTGCCCAGGGGATAGGTCTAAAGCGCCAACCAAGCTGGGGCCAGAAACATGAACTCCGTGTTCAAAGCAGCAGGAAATCACTGGAGGTTTCTGAGTGGCCAGCTCTGACCCACGTTCCCAAGAGTTGTCGACAGTACTTGGGACAGACTAGGACAGTGAGAGACTAGAGACAGGGACCAGGGTAGAAAACGTTTCCCTAGCCCAGGAAAGACAGGAACTGGGACCAGGACAGGGGCCACGGCGCTGGGGGTGGCGAGGAGATAGCCAGAGAGACTGGGGCCCTGGCAGGGCCGCACGCACCCACGCTCAACAGCCTGGGCAGTGGGCGAGGAAGACCAGAGGCCCTGTCCTCGTGTCTCCATGCAACGGGGCAACAGAAGGATACCACATCGGCGGGGGTGGAGGTGGAGGGTGGGGAGGGGACAACAGCATGATGTGACTTTGACACACTGCTTAACTATTCCTTTCTGGCGCTGGAAGTAGAGAATTCAAGGGGATGGTCTCCCAGGCTGGGGGCCTGGCCAGGCACATCCAGGGAGTCAAGTGGACGCCCCCGTAGAAGCTCCTCCAATGGGCAGCCCACCCCACTGGCGTCTACGTTTCTGGCATTTCCCAATTAAAAGGAAATAACTTCACCCGTTTTTCGAAGGAAGTATCTCACAACCCAGGATTCACTTCCCCTTTTCCCGACCCGGGGTTTTCCTCTGTGTCTGATGCAGGAACTGGCTGGGAAGGGCCCCAGGCGTCTGTGCCCCTTGTTCCCAGGCCTGTGTCGGGCTGCTCACCTGCAGAGACATGGTTCCTCTCACAGCGACCACCACAGACTCCTTCCTGTGATCCAGGGCCACTATGAAGGGAAGCTCGTAGACCTGTGGGGGGAGAGACGCGTGAGGCCTCGGGGAGGACAGCCACTCTGGCTCTCTGTGCACCAAAGGCTTTCTTGGCCCACGCCTTCGTTCACCTGAAAAACCCTGTTTCCCCCGCCCACTTCCCTGCCCTCCCGCCCGTGCTGCACGGCTGCGGGGCTACAGGCTCACTGGGCCTCCCGCACTGTGGCCCAGCTTCTGTAGGGTCAGTGGGTGAGTCCAGCGCCGTGCGGACCAATGGCAGTCATCCGTTCGGGTCAGGGCTAACAGGCCAGGCCAAGGCCAACAGGTCCCTTTTCCCCAACTGTCTTAAGGTTACCACCACCCTGTTTGTCACCCACAGGTGGGGTGGGGCCAGCTTGGTGGCGGGACCAGAGCCCCTGTTCTGTGAAGTACGAGCAGGTGAGACATCTGGGCCAGGTAAGCATCACTCTCGTCCAGCACCAAGCATCCGGGCTCTGGCCTTCGCAGCCGGTCCTGCAAGGACACTGAGGGCGTCTCCAGCTCCCACTCTCCTTCATCTCCCAGGGGATATGGTGGCACTAAGCGCTGCGGGTTGGAGTGCAGATGCAACACCCAGCCATGGACGGCCAGGGGCCAGTGACAGCGATACTGTGATAATGGCCACTGGCTCATGGTGGACGTTCTGTGCTTACAGCAGGCAGGAAGGACGCCGACTTCACGCCCCACCCCGGCCTGCCCAGGAGAGGAGCCCAACGACAATGACCCTGGGGCCTGGCAGGAGCTCCCAGAACAGCCCCCAGCCCTCCGAGACACAGTCTCCTCTGAGACGCCGCCATTTTCCCCGAGGCCTGCACACGTGGAGTCGCACGGAGCTCATCAGAGTCGTGCCTCGTCTCCCCTGGCCACTCGGGCTCCCTGGGAGCAGCCTGTGACCTGGGCTGCTGGGAGCCGCAGGGCAGGATGCTCAGCAGTGGCCCCGATTCCTGCCCACTGGACCCCCTGGGGGCCGAGAGCTAGGGCCACTGCCAGGGGTCTGACACAGTGGACCCGGGTGTGGCCTGGGCCTGTGGGGGTTTGAGAGCTCCCAGGAGGTCCTAGGGGGCAGTGCACGCGAGAGCTGAGAGACCACTGCTCCTTAACCACAGCACGGGAGGGCCACCAACTTCCCGGTGCTCCTGGTTCCCTGCAGAGTGTGAGACCCACTGCCCCACATCTCTGTGGGTGCAGCTCGGACCCCAAAACCGGGACTGACCCACCCCAAGCACCTCTGTGGGGCCTGCCCACACGGGACTCCCCCCTCTGCAGTGACAAAAGGACCCATGAGCAGGGGACACAGCTCTCTTGGGAAGATGTCCTGCTCCAATGCAGGTTAGACCGGTGTGGGCTTCTGGGGGGTTGAAAAGCCCCTGAAATGACACGTAAAACTTGGGGGTGGGAGAGTGCGTGGTATGTGTGTCTACACACACCTTTCCGGGGGAGTAACTGATAACTTCCATCAGAATTCAACGAACGCCAGGGCCCTAGAGAGGCCAGGAAGTGCTGCCACGCCCCACCTGGTCATGGAAGCTTATGTGAATGAAATCCCGGTACTGCAGCCCCGTCGTGTGCAGGATGGAGCCAAAATGGCAGTGCAGCTGATCACCTCCAACCACGTCGTATTCTGTAGTCCGGCTTCTGCAACTAAGCACAGGCACAGCCGAAGCTTACCACACTGGCAGCACTGACGGCACTGGGGGGCGGGGCGGGGGCGCGCCAGGCCCCATCCTGTGCAAAGACCGCGTGCTTCGTTCCTCACTAGAGTGTTGACTTCTGGGATCTTGGGAACGCTTCACGTTTTCAAAAAAATGAACGAAGTCAGCAAGGACAGAGAGGCCCCAGAATCACCCGAAATGGGCCCAACTGCCACCACGTGTCTTCTCTGTGACGAACCACGAGGGACAAGATTCCTCACAGAGCGTCCCCACTGGAGGTGTCTGGCGTGCACGCCGCCACGCGCAGTGAGGGCCAGTCTGCAGCCCAGCTGGGCCGCCCCTTTCACAACATCAGGGTCAAGAAAGGTGAAAAATGGCGGAGAAGCGGCTCCGAGTTGAAGGAGAAACGTAACTACATGCGTCGTCCCGGATTGGAGGAAAAACCGCTATAAAAACAGTATTGGGACGGTTGGGAAAGCTGGCACACAAGTTGTAAAGGGGCTGAGATTCACGGTAAGTTTTCTGAATTTGACAACCGTACTGGAGCTACATGAAAGAATGTCCGTGTTCCTACGAAGAACAGGACACAGTCACCAGAGATAAAGGGACTGATGCCTGCAACTGCAGCCCGGTGCTCAGGGGAGGGCTGCGGAGAGCGACCCAGCCCACGTGACAAAAATGAGTCCCGGCGGGTGCCTCCAGATAAAGGAGATGTGGGAATGCTTAGTGCTGTGCTTGCAGTTTCTGAAAGATTGCAAAACAGAAGGCTTTTTTTTTTTTAAGGGAACTAGGATGACTTTTACAAAATAATGGGCGGACAGGAACGTGGGGGCCCCCTTCCATCCCTCCACCGCCGCCCACCAGGCGCGGCCCCCTGAGCCTACCAGTCGCCGCCGATCCTGCAGAGCCCGGTGAACGGGTTCCTGTAGACGTAGAGGGGCCACCCGTAGGCGGCCGCTGCGAACTGCATGTAATGCCGGCAGTGCTCTAACTCTGCGTACAGATCGGCTTCCTGCAGGGGAAGACGGCCGGCTCTTGGTCGAGGGGAACCCCTTCTGGAGTTCCTTAGACCGGAACTCAAATGCCTGATCTCCCCTTTCTCTGCCCATCCAACAGACCTCTCAGAGCACGTCCACGGGGAAAACAAGTCCTTAAACTCGGGCAGGACGCTCACCCTACAGCGTGCAGCGAGGACAGTGGGGTCAACAGCAGAAACCCCCAGCATCCCCCAGGCTCCTGGTGGGAGGAGCGGGTGACTTCCTGCCCGACACAGGAGCAAACCAGATTTTCAGGCCACGGCAACAGACCAGCTGAGAGCTAGGTGCCGAGTAAGAGGGACACATGCAGCTATGCGGAACTTTCTCTTCCAAAAGCACAAAGATCTGTGGCAGGAAAACTGGGATCAAGCAGAGCTGAACTGTTCCTCTCCCCAGGCCCAGAGAAGAGGGCCCCTCCGCTGGACTCACAGCCGATTTCCTGGAAGAGGATGCTTTAAAAATACAATGGATGTCGAAGGGGCCAGGACTGTCCTCCTCCACCTGACTCCAGGTGATGAGAAGCTGCCCCACCTAACAGGTGACAAACCACAGCCAGCACAAGCCACAGTTCTGATTCCAAGCCAGCTCCTGGCATAGCTGCTGGCTAGTTTTCTTTATTTGTTTTCTTAAAGACTTTATTTATTTATTTTAGATGAGGGGAAGAGAGGGAGAAAGAGAGGGAGAGAAACATCCATGTGCAGTTGCCTCTCATGTGTCCCCTGTGGGGGACCTGGCCTGCAACCCAGGCATGTCCCCTAACCGGCGACCCTTTGGCTCACAGGCTGGCCACGTTTTTTTTGGGAAGGTATTTATAAAAAAAAAAAAAAAAAAATGGCTGGGTGTTTTTAGTTGAGCCAGTCCGGGTTGTGTTTTAAAATTCCGGGAAATTTAGTTTTGAGCCAGGTTGGGGGGTGGCTTGTTTTTTTTGGGGGTTTGTTTTCTTTCAAAAAGATTTACAAATCAGTGTAAATGTCAAGACTGTGCAACTCAACAGAAGCATGCGCTTACCTGGGAGGAGCCTGGGGAATGGCTGATCACTTCCTTAGGCTCCTGGTTGTTCCTGATACTGTCCTGCTGCTGGTGGAGAAGGCTGAGGCCTGCCGCAATGTCACTGGGCACCAGGTCTGTGTCCTGGGTACGAGACCACAACAGCCTGTCATATAACTCGGCGGGAACTGCCTATGAGATCCTCAAAATCAGCTTTATACAATTCATGTGTGCACACACACATATGTGCATGCACAAACACACACAGAGGTAGAGTTATATCTAAAAAGGTGTTTAAGAAGTGTTTTCCTTTTGGGGCTCCTCCTGTAAGTGAGCTTAATGTGTTTTATTACCCTACCTTCAGACAAATTCACTGGAGAACATAAAAATTTTGTGGGTCTCTATTTTCAAATTTCTCTTCCATGGCTTAGCTGTTTTTAATGTACCTCCCATCCTTTATAAGGCTGGGGAGTAAAGTGGGCAAATTTGCCACTTTCACAGCAACGGCCAATTCTGGCCCCAGTTTATACTCTGTGTTCAAGGTGCTGTGAAGTTTCTGTTGACAGGCCCATGTAGGGACACAGGAGGCTGGACTGGTGGGCACATCGCGTGTGGAAGAGTCCTGAGCTGGGAAAGCAGCCGAGTCTCTTCAGCCTGACCTGCCCCTTCCCTTCCAGGAGGGCTAGCGAGCCGGCAGGGGTCGCACTGCCCACGAACACGTGTGGTCCAGAGGAAGGGGCTGGTGCCGCCCCTGTGCCCCAAGTTCTCCAAGTGTGACGCAGGCGGTGCCACCCTCCGGGAAGGGCCAGGTTCTCTTCTTCCTTCTCTCAACTGGCTCCAGACTAGGCGGGAGCACTCTTTTACAACGGCCTGGGGGGCACACTCCTCTGACCTGCACGCGGAGGCTGGGGCAGTGGGGCGACACAGAGCTCGGCAAAGGAGCAGGGGAGGGCAGGAGAAGGCCTCTGCCCCTGCCTGGGTCTCAGCCATGATTTCCGCAGCAGCCCGTCGGAGCCCATCACAGGGGAAGACACACGGTAAACACGACAGGAAAACAGGTATCTCCAAGTTGCTGACGAAAGCACTCTATAGAGTGGTGATGGCCTCCTGCCTGGCTATGAACAGCGGCGGAAGCCTGCCGTGCCCGTCATGCCCCGGAGCAGTGAGGAGCCGAGGCCTGATGGCACCTTGGCTGCCTGACACTTGGGACACAGTGTCTGCCGGGCACTGACCGAATGGAGGGCGTGAAAAGACGGCAGCACGATTCCCTAAACACACATTCTGTGGGATCAAAAATGAATTCAAAACCCGTGTTGACACCAGGGGGCGCTGACCAGAGAGGCAGGCTCTGCCAGGGCAGGGCCCTGGGTGATGCCTCCCCCCGCCCCGCCCCCGCCCTCCATGCGCATCCTGGGGAGCGACATCACTCCCCAGATCACAAACTCTCAAGGGCTATTTTATGGCAATGAGGGTCGAGCACTCGTCTTAACAGGAGCAATGCGGACTCAAACAGGAGAAAGGGGCGGAGCCAGACCCCGCGGCTTACTGAGAAGCAGGTGGATAAAAGCTCCGCTGTGCTGGAGAAGGCAACGCGGGTGCGGTCGTCCTTCCCAACGCAGCAGCACAGGAGCTTGATCCGCGTTTCCCACACGCTCGTGGCGGCCGTCCTGAGGCCAGTCAGGAACTGGCTCGACTCGTGACTGTCCAGGAGGCTGGGGCCAGCAGCGAAGTGCGGAGCCATTTTCCCCCCCAGGGGGTCAAAGACAATGATAATGGTGACCGCAGTGGACACGATGATAATCCAGCTGCAAAACAGAGAGAAAGCAGGTGATGACCGGGGCCCGACGTCAGAGGCTGGTGCCACAGGCTCCCTCCTGCGGCTTCAGTGTTCACGTCTGCACAACTGTGGCTCCGGGGACGGGGGAGACGCGGCTCTCCCAGAACCTGGCCAGGGCGTGCAGCCTTGTTTCTGGAAAGTTCCTTATGAGGCCCCCCAAAGAGCAGAGCTCTAACAGTAAAGGTCACAGAGGAAAACAGGAGCAGAGTGGTGGCCCCCTGACCACGACCAGGCCCTTATTCCTCAGTGCTGCTTCTCAGTGAAACCGAAGGAACCTTTCCCACAGCGCGAGGGCTCTGCCAGGCCTTTCGCAGGCCGTCCTCCACGGTTGAGGCTCTGTGGGCTCCTGACCCGTGGCTGCCTCCGGAAGACGAACCTCAGAGAAGGCACTCGGCTGCCCCCGGTGGTGAGACCCAGGAAGGGCACCGAAAGCATGAGGGTCCATTTCCTTATTTGTAACACAAGGGATGCAATTAGATCTTTCAAAAATGTTGAGCCTGGAAAATGCAAAAATCTTCTCCAGTGTATAATTCTGTTGCCATTCCTGACACGGTATTTCTTCTCATCCTACATTGACTTTTTTGTCTTTGTTGGGAGCGTCAGATTTTCTTCCTTCTTGTACAGAAAAATGTATGAGAGCTGGTCAGAAAGAAAACTCCATCAACAGATGCATAATGGGAGATGAGTTATTTCTCGTGTACCAATGGGTGCCTCTAAATGTTTACGGTTTCCTCATAAAGGCCCACCTTCTAACTCTGTTAGGAGCCTGCACGGTGCGGGGCCACCTGTCGTTACTTGGAAAGGTCTGTTCACCCACCTTGCAGACGCGTCTGTGACAAGAAACCGAAAGGGACGATGGGGAGGCCTCACCTGACGACGACGGTGGCGATGATGCCGTTCACAACGATCTTGTCGCACTGCACGCTGTCCGCTATCCAGGCGGCGCCCAGAGAAGCCCAGGCCATCTCGGGCAGGAAGAGCGCCAGGCGGATGTACAGCAGCCTGGACATGGACTTCCGGGGCCCAGGGTTGCAGATGGTCCCTGAAACACAGCACATGTTCGAGCTGGTCACTGGCCCCCTCGGAGATGAAGAGTTTCCTTCCTGCGGGAGTGCAGCTGTTAGGGCCGCTGTGGTCCTGCACGCATGCCCACCCCTGGCCTCTTCCACTTGTGATTGGTAACCAGTGCCTGAGATGGACAGCAAGTCACAAAGGGAGGGATGGGAAACGTGACAAGAAGCCTCAGATTCACTTCTTAGACTTATTAGGGTTTAAAAACACTTTGGGGTTCTAACTAGGCTGACCATGTGAGGACAGTCCTGGCTGGTGTGGCTCAGTGGTATGAATGCTGACCTTCGAAATGAAAGGTTGCATGTTCGATTCCCTGTCAGGACACACGCCTGGGTTGCAGGCCAGGTCCCCAGTTGGGGGCGTGGGAGAGGCAACCAATGGATGTTTCTCTCGCACATCAATGTTTTTCTCCCTCTCTGTCTCCCTCCCTTCCCCTCTCCCTGCAAATGAATAAATAAAATTTAAAAGAAAAATATACAAACAATTATGCTGGGACAACCAGTGTAAAACAGAACTATCCCCTGCAAACAGAGATGCAAGTCTGACAGACAACAGCGTGAGCTCCACCCTGCACTGCAGCCCCTGCCACTCCAGGCACCGCGAACACTGGGCACCCACTCCTCCACGGTCCTCGCGGCGCCTGTGAGACGGTCACTGTCCCGGTGTGCAAACCAGGAGCCCGAGGCTCCGAGAGCTACACAGATACTTTCCAAAACCTAACGCACGTCTGTGGCCTCAGCTCTCTGCTGCCCCAATGCCCCACGGTCCCCACTTTTGATATATGAACAGGTCTGATGTTCACGACCACTTACAGAAGCCTAACGTTTTAGACACAACATTCTTACTCTCTTTGCAAAATAAACCCAAGAACCAACAGAGACCTTCTGTATGCTTCAAGTCTTGATGTAAAGTATCAACAATCTCCCTTTGGTAAAAAGTTGTGGTAAATGCTAATTTAACTAACACAAAAATACCATGTGATCAAGACAGAGCAAATCTGAGTTCTGAAGAATGATTTGGTAAGGGAATTGCTTTTAAGGTCCAAAAATGATCTGCCATCAGAAGGAATTACTCGGAATCACATGTTAAAATATTAGACACTATGGGGACTCATTTCTGGCACAAAGACAAGAGCTCATGAGGTAACTGAACCAGCATCCGTCCGAGAGACGAGCAGGCGTGAAAAATCAGTTCTATATCTGGAGCCTGTTGTTGTGTAACAGCCGAGAGAGAAACAGGAATCACTCTGCGCACACCCACGGCTTCCTGAAGGGCTGGGCTCCACAGGAAGGCGGACCCTCACACTCAGCACCCCCGGACCTGAAACTCCGACACGCTGATGCTGCAGTAGTGAGAAAAAAAATAACAGGGATAAGGAAGCAGGAAATGGAGTTCTGGTTAAGATTCCAGGAGAGAAATACATTCTGAAAAAGTCTTTATACAGTACGCCTGCCCAGCGAAACACTTTTATCTGACCAAGGTACTTATTTTCTCCCCCAGGGAAAGTGCTGCAGGTGTAGCCCTGGCTGCTGCAGTGGGCGTGGCGGGGCCAGCACCCCCAGTTAACAAGACAGCTGTGTCGCTGAAGCTCTGTCCCCAGCAGTCCCGGTGTAGTAACCCCCCTGCCCTTCACTGGGCACAGCCATTTAAGTAAGTGCCACAAAAGGAAGGTCTGTGTCGCGGAATCTTCGGACTCAACACCTCGAGCCACTGTAGCAACCTTCTCCGGCCTGGGAGGAGAGACAAGCTTTTGAGAGATAAAGACGCAGAGATGCACGATGCCCGATAACCAAAACCAGACGCAGCGACTGGCAGACCTTGTATGTCGAGGGTGTTCTGTCCGAATGTGCTCATCAGGAGGGTGGACCCTCCCCGGTTCCACCTCCCACGGGGCAGGAACGGGAGGGTTTCATCAGGGAGGTTCCCGCATCAAAACTAGAAACAACCACGCTGACATCAACATTCTTCCCAACCAAGCTACACGGCTGACCAACAAACAGAGGACAGGCCAGAACACAAGCTGCAGGCTTTCGAATACAAAAGGACTGAATTCCAGCGCTGGCTGGTGTGGCTCAGTGGGTTGAGCGCCAGTCTGTGAACCAAAATGTCGCCAGTTTGGTTCCCAGTCAGGGCACATGTCTGGGTTGTGGGCCAGGACCTCAGTGTGGGGGTGCGAGAAGCAACCGGTTGATGCAGCCTTCTCTTTCTCCCTTCCCCTCTCTCTGAAGAGTAGGTAAAATATATTTTTAAAGGACTGAATACCCTGTGTTCCACCTGTGCTCTATCTACCACTTGTGTTTCTTTTAGAGAGAAGTCATCCAAAAGCTAAACAAATGTGGTCTTTCCACTCAAAAGACAGATGAACTATTGAGGTGACTGGGTAAAACAGAGGGGGCAATGGAATGCATCCAGGGATCAAGAAGAAATGTGTTAACAGTTACTTAAAAATATACCTAAAATATACGATTTGTAAAAAAAAACAAAAAACATTCCTTGATTTTGTGCAGGTCATGCAGGTAAAAGGCAAAACGTTGAAATAGTTCCAGCACCTTTCTGCACCTTCCTAAAGATAAACAGGTGCAGTGGAGGCCTCCCAGAGAATGCACACCAACAGGTGACATGGGTACACACCCTGGAGAAAAAAAGCAGCCAACTCAGACAGCACGCGGCCCTGCCTCGGCTCGGTGGGGACCCTCCCTCGTCTGTTCCAGCATTTCTCACTGCCTTCCACAGGCGCACAGCGGGCCCTCGTACCAAGAAGTCACAGCCGTCACTTAACCAGCGGCCTGTGGAGTTTGCTCCGGTCTTTCTCGCCTGCGAACAGCAGTGCAGGGACCGTGCCTACAAGTGCTTCGCACACATTCACGTAGACAGGAACAAATGGACCGACGCACACACGCAGCATCTCCGGGTTTCCAGGAGACTCGACCACATCCGATGCCCGCAGCCCAAGTGAGCTGCTCGTGTCTGCGCGGCACCACTGGCTCGGTGTGCCGCTGGGGCGGACTTTTATCGGGCTGAGGCCGAGCAATGGAAAAGTTATTTATACTCAACCGTTCATGATCTTTACCCATTGTTTCTACCATTGGTCTTTTTCTGACCCATTTTATTTAAAGACTTTATTTCTTTATTTTTAGAAAGAAGGGAAGCGGGGGGAAAAAGAGAGAGGGAAACACGGATCAGCTGCCTCCGGTATGCGCCCCAACGGGGGACGGAACCGCAGCCCAGACGCACACCCTGTCCTCGCTTCGCAGGACGACGCCAAACCACCTGAGCACGCCGGTCAGGGCTTCTTCTTATTTGTCACAAGACTCCTTATAATTAAGGATACTGGCTCTAAGTCTCACACGATGTTAATCGTTTGTGACCACTTGGCAATTACATGAATTTGTTTTTACAAAACACTATTTTCAATCCAGCTGTGATGACTTGCCACAGGTTACGACAGGAAGCCCAGCTCAAACCCGCACGCACACCAGGAAGCCCTGCCCTGACTTAGAGCCGGGACAGGCACCCAGGCTCCGGGAGCTCCTCACCACTCTGCCCTCCTGTGCGGGGGAGGGGTGGGGTGGGGTGCCCGTTGAGGCCAGAACGCAATGGGATTCAAGAGCTCATCCAAGCACAGAATCATCCTTGATGAGGATGATGGTCCTAGGGGAGCAGGGAAGGACTTCTCCAGAACTTCCCAGTAAACTCCCTGAGTTTCACTGGCCCCAGGGCGGGTCACATGTCCATTCCTAAGCCTGGCAGAGGGCCAGCTTCGAGAACACATAGCCTTGGTATGTGGAAGGCTGGGGGAATGTCCCAAGTTAACCTGGGTGATGTCTGGAGGAGGCGGGTGACCCCGCAGCCTGTGCCAGTGGAGGAGGCGGGGCCTGGTGAATCCGGCAGCCGGCACAGGCATGCGAATGCGCCCTGACAGCTTCAAACGTGTCTGAAGGGAAGCACTTCAGGGGAAAAACCTTTACACTTACTGCTCAGATCTAAACCCACAGTTAGACTTGTAAACATGGTGTGTTAACCAGAATGTGACCTGAACAGAAAGGACAAATAAATCAGGTAATGCTGTATCTGAAATGAGACCATTTTCAATACTTCATCTTTCAGGAATTCTGACTTATAAACAACTTCATAATGCCACAAACGCCACACTGTACACACTCGGTTCCTTTCCTTCATCATCCAGCACCAGTGACAATCCAGCCTCGGGGACTGACATGGCCACAGGACGGGGACCTTCTCTGAGCCAGACCCCAGGCGTCGCTGTTTTCAGAGGTGTCACTAGAACACACAGAGCTCATTTCCGTAGCTCGCCCCAGGACGCGGACACACACACCACACTTCCTGGTCCTCCAGACCCAGAGGTCTTTGTCTCATGAAACACTTTGCCACCGACACTTTTCTCTGTATCTCTCCCCGAGAACTAGCGTTCTTTAAGTTTCAGTCTATCATCCCAAAGCGCCAAGATCTCGCTCTGACACCGCCACGTCGGCCATGCCTCCCAGGCTCGCCGCCCTCTCCGTCTGGAAGCCCGCCTCCTACACCCACTCCAGCAGAGATAAAACGCTCAGTGTGCTGGATGGGGCATGCCCTGCCTTTGACGGAGGCGTTTTACCCCCTAATCTGTCTCTTTATTAGTCACCAGAGTGCTCAGCTCATCCTATGAACCAGAGCAATCGACAGGGAAGGTTTCCAGCATTCTCAGCTACAGTGGCTACATGTTGTGGAAAATGGCAACATGCAGAAAAAAGTATCATTAAGAACAGATGAAACTCTTGCAACTCATTAGTGAAAGGGCAAATAACCCAAGTAAAATTGGGCAAAGGATCTAAATAGACACTCTCCAAAAATGGCAACAAATGGCCAATCAGCACATGAGATGATGCTCAGTATCTTGAGTCATCAAGGAACTCAAATCAAATCAACTGTGACAGAACCGTTTCACCTCCGTGCGGACGGCTATGATGCAGAAAATAACCAGGGCTGCCGAAGATGTGGAGAAACTGGAACCCTTCCTTATAAGCTACTGGTAGGAAAGCAAAAACGGTGCAGCTGCTTGGAAGACAGTCTGGCAGTTCCTCAGGTTAAACAGAGTCACTGTAGCAGTTCTGCCGAAGGTGCACATCCAAGAGAATCAAAAGCATGTGTCTATACAAAAGCATGTAGGTAAATGCTCACAGCAGCCTCATTTGTAACAGCCAGAAAGTGGGAACCACCCAAATGCCCACCAACTGGGGAATGAATCAGTAAGACGGGATAGGTGCACACAACAGAATATTACTGAGCCATAAAAGGAATGAAGTACTGATACATGCCACCGCATGGGTAAACCTTGAAAACAGTATGCTAAGCTAAGAAGCCAGACCAAAAGGCTACACACTCGTGATTCTACCCCCATGAGGTCCGAAACTGGCAAACCTGAGGAGAAAAAGTGTGGCCTGGGGCTGGGGAGAGTTAAGGAGGGCCTGCTACTGGGTGTGGGGTTTCTTCTTGGGTGATACAAATGTTCTCACAAATGGGCCGCAGTGATGGTTGCAAAACTCTGGGAATACACCCAAACCCACTGTGTTGCACACTTTAAATGGGTGAGTCAGATGGTGTGTGGATTACATGCCGATAAAGCTATTACACACTCGAGGTGTGGAACAGAAAAGGCGGCCCCTTTACCTCTCATGCTGACACCCACGATGGCCGACACGGTGCAAATGATAACCGCCAGGAGAACGATGAGGACGATCAAGTAGCTGCTGAGCAGGACCCCTCCGGCACAGTCCAGCCTCCCCCTGTGCCTGACATACAAGGTCACGATGCCAATCCACCTGTTGGCAAACGGGGTGGTGGTGGTTAGAAATGCACCCCAAGGAGCTGCTTTGTAAAACATGATAGGAAGCAAGAAAAGGAGTCAGTATTTTCCAAAACAAGGTGAGGTTTGCTCTGAAATATCACTTTCATCAATAAATGAGTTTTCCACTTCCTGTGCTTACATGATTGTTCTCATTCTGCGCCTGCTGTAATACAGGAAAGGCATTTATAGCTGTAGGAAAGCAAATACAATCTGGGCAGCTGGAAACAGCCCCCTGATGACTCAGAAACACACAGCTGGTAAACCCACAAACTACATGCTTGCTAAACTATTAGCAAGAGAATTTTTACTTCTGTGGATTCACAAGAAATGATAAACACACACTGTGCCCCGGCCGGTGCCGCTCTGTGGACTGAGTGCCAGCCTGCGAACCAAAGAGTAACAGGTCTGATTCCCAGTCAGGGCACATGCCTGGGTTGTGGGCCAGGTCCCCAGTAGCTCAAGAGGGACAACCACACATTGATGTTTCTCTCCGTCTTTCTCTCTACTTTCCCCTAATAATAATAAATAAAATCTTAAGCACACACACACATTTTAATCTACTACGTGTAATACAAAAAAAAAAAGGTGTGGGAAGCAAGTTATGCAACGACGTTCTATCCCACACATTGATAAACTTGAAAGGACAAGTGCTGTCCACTCACAAATATGTTCTGTAATTCAGAGCATAATAATGAAAGGCAGCACTCAATAGCGCCAAAGTCATGGCCCTATCACAGGAGTACTTCAGCAGAGGGGTCAGCATGCCTGACGAGAACCCGGTATTAGGGATTCATGCGCAGGCCAGGGATTCTAGTCCAAGTGGAAAAGGACTCCAACATTTTTTATGCTTTTGTCAGCTCGGCGATAGTATGACCCTGAATCTAGAAATAAGGGAAAACCATCTGGAAAGGCTCAGCTCCAAAAACTATGAAACCACGGAGCAGCAGCTCCTAACATTCCGTGTGTTTTTCTCTTTCCCATCAAGAATCTACTATAATAATGTGTTGCTCCTTGTTCATGCCCTGAGAGAACAGACCTCGGGGCCCCAGTGCCTACAATTTCACGCTTTGAAAAACAAGAGCGTATACACGCCAAGCCTGTCCGCTTCTCGTGGAATTCAGCCACACCCGGCTCAAGAACGGCACTGAAAGGCGCTATTTCCCATCTTTCCTTTGGCAGGTACCAGATGCTGGACCGCGCGCGCGCGCGGAGTGCAGGAAGGATGCAGGTGGCTGCTTCTGGCTGGAGGAAGCAGGTCCCCAGGCTTTGGATTTCGGGAGGCAAGGAAGTCCCGGCGGCTCCCACAGCCAAGCCTCGGACCGCACGCAGGGGCCGGGGGAGGGCAGCGCTTGCCCCTCAGCACGCGCGCGTCCCGGCCGCCAGCCCCTGCTCTGGGCCTCAGTTTTGCCGTCCGCAACACGGGAGAGTAACAGCACCTACCTCCTCGGCCGGTGGCGAGAACTAGGTAAGAGCATGCAAGGCAAACTCTGGACCCTGCAGTCACCTGACGACCGTCCCTGCTCTCAGACTGCACGCCACCCCGCCCTCTCGCTCCTCCGCCCGGGACGCCCGCAGGCATTGAGGGGAGCCCAACGTCCTCACCACAGCACACGCAGGAACAGCTCGAACAACCCGGGGAAGACCAAGTCGTCGCTGGCGATGGCCCAGCGCCGGCCGAACAGCACCATTCCCGGCATGGCGAAGGCCCCGCCGCGTAGCCTCGGCACTGCCGGCCGGCCTGCAGCGCGCCAGGCTCTGCTACTGAGCGTCCCTCACGCTCCCGGCTGCCTAAACAAACTGACCGCATCTCCGCGCAGGCGCGCGAGAGGGGAAGCCCAGCCCATGCGCATGCGCAAGCCGACGCCATGCCAGGCGCTCGCTGGGGGGCGCTGCGCTCGTGCCGCTGAGCGGCCCGGGAAGGCGCAGGCCGCCTTCATCGCAGGTGTGCTCGAGCGTGAAGCCCATCCCGCTAGTATTTCCATTTTCTGGATGAAGACCCATCTGACCCGGAGGGATTGGTCAGCCAAGAGTCACACGGCTGTTAATGCGGCTCATCCCCGCTCTGTGGGGCTCCAGGCCTGTGCGAAGTTGAGTCCTCTGTGCATCCCACGGTCCGCAGGAAAGAACAGGGGACCTTTCCCGAGTTGAGGGCCAGAAACCGCCTGGCAGCTTGGGGCAGGGGGCTGGGGAATAACCTGCCCTGCCCGCCCTCCTCCCGGCAGGCCGTCATTCAGTGCCTTAGGTCCTGACCACGTCTTAGCACCTCCACTCTGCTACCTGGCCCGAGCCCCCTTCATCTCGTGCCCGACCGGGTCTCCCCACTGTTCTTCCTTCTGCCTTGCTCCCCCTGCAATGCCTTCCCCATCCAACAGCCCCAGGGACCTCGTTGCACCGTCGGACCAAGCCCATCCTCCGCTTGATCTTGCAAGGCTGCACTTCGTGTATAAAAAAATACTAGACTCCAACCGCCTCGCAAAGGCCTTTCCCTGGTAGTCACACATCACAAGTCCGTAAAGGAGAGTTTGTCTGTCTCTCCGAGTTTGGGTTACTACTCTCCATCACCCCACTGCCTGCGGCCGTTTGCTCCTCCCTGAAACTCATTCTCGCCCTGGGGCTTTTTACATTTTCTATTTGCTGCACCAGGGATGCTCCACTCACCTGTATCTCCGTGTCTTTCACTTCATTCAGGCCTCAGCTCAAGTGTCACTACCTCTAATAGACCTTCCCTGGCCACCTTATCTAAAACGGCACACCCAACGGTCCCCATTCACTTTCCCAGCTTCTGTCTCAACCTCTCCCTGGCATTTATCACGTGATTTCCCTTTCTGCTCCCACCTTCCCATGTAAGCGGTATGAGCTAGGCACCCTGTCTATCTTGTTCACTGCTGTGCACACGATGGAATACATTAAATGGTTGATGAATGAATAAACAAACCCACTAAATGTCAAGATTTTCCAAGTCTGAAGTTCCTTTAGGGGTCTTCTAAAGGGCAGAATTTCGGGGTTAAAAATAACAATACTGAAATTGACCTGATAGTTGTTAAAACGATATAAGGAATTGTAAATAAAGGGAAGTTTTGAGATTTTTATAGGAGAGAGCCATTCACCCATTCATAAAGTTAATATTTACTGAGCACCTGATTAGGTAATGACAGGTCAGGGAGGATATTCCTGAAGAAGATATTAAAATGAGGTTTGGAGAGAAAGTAGGAGTTAAGGTGAGGGGGTGATTCAGCAGTTAGGGTAGGCCTGTGATCGCACATATTCTTAAATGTAATTATGCCCTTTTGAAAACAGGATCTGTAAGGCTTTGCAATCAGATAATTTTTTAACATAAACTTTTGTCGGTAAAGGTAGGGATTGTGAAAATATCATTATCAGTAACCACCCACAAAACTAAGTTTCAGAGGTAGTGTGCAGATTTAAAGAATAATGCATTTTGTGTAGATCGAATCCCTGTGTGTTCCACCCTTCCCCTGTAATATCAACCCACTAGTTGAATTAAGCCCGTTTTAAAACATTCCGTCGTACAGGTATCTCATACAAAGCATATTATTTCCTTAAACACTGGTTTTCAACCTTTTTATTAGAATGGCTATTTGAAAAGAGATGTATAAAAAAAGATCTATCTTTGAAATGTTTCATGTTTTGTTTCCAAAATGAAAACCCAAGTCAAAGCACAGCTCTTGAAAAGGCAAATGACATGTTGTGACTTTTTTTTTTTTAATGATGGAAATTTTCAGAGATGTGGGACACTGGAGGGCCCACCATCCGGATTTAACGACGGATAACATTCTGCCCTGTTTGCTCCGTCTTGTATTTTGGGGGGCAGACATCTTAGGTATCCTTCTCTGCTGTTGTTTTGAGTTAGCTTCCCTATATATGTGCAAACAATAGTAAGTATTCCTCAGAGACCTTTCTGGCACGTCATTTTATCTTCGTATTAACTTGGAGAAAACTGATCTTTACTCTTTCATTTTCCCAACTGATTCATCTCCTCTTTTCCTCCCTTGAGGACTTGATTTTCTTTGAGTAAATGTCTGTGCCCCAAGTAAAACAGGCGTCCTTGCATTCAGGGTTCCCGTGATTGTTTAGGTCAGTTGGCAGTGGGCCGTTTCAGGCAGGCGTTGGATCCTGCCTGGCTTTTCTTAAGCATTCTTTACAGTCCTGAGATCTTCGGTTTTAACAAATCACTTTTTTGGTTTCAGGGCACACCAGTTTTCCTGTTACAGAACCATTAATTGTCTTAGAAACCTTGTAAGTAGTAAATACCAGTAGGGTCTGTGTTTCCATTGTTTCAGTAATGGAAGAAAGTATTGTGTAGTGTCGTGTTTGCCTGAAGACCTCACCTTTTAAGTGCCCAAGGTGAAGCTAGGAGTAGAGACCTGGAGTATTCTAGTATGATAAAAAAAAAAAAAAAAAAGTACCCAGGTCATCACTGAAAAGGGATAGTGCTCTTTTGTGCTTCAATTTGCTCTTAAACTTAAGGGATACGGGGGGATTGTTTCAAAACTGCAGGAGAAATGCCCACAGCACCTTAGTAGTCCATAAAGACCACGCTGCAAATGGCTAACCCAGTGGGCGGGGGCTGGAAGGCGGGGCTGGGGGGCGGGACCTGGCGGCAGGTCGGAGCTGAGCAGAGCACACGTTCCTTGCAAACTCCACACTTAGCCACTAGAGGGCGAGACACACGGAAAAACCCCACCTGGAGTCCCAGTGCAATGGGCCCTCCGCAGAACTCACTGGGATGGGTGGCTGGGAAGGCACCCAATGTATTTCTATAGATGCATCGGTCCCCCAACAACGACACAGCTGCCCAGTGCCATCAAGTGGGCCACAACTGATCCCACCGGCTTCTGAAACAGCTGTCCCAAGCTAAGCACAAAAGGGAAATGGAGGCCCCTGGGGTGCTGAGCACTTCACCAGCACGAAGCTGTGTCCTGAGCTTCACCCACATGGGCTCATTGCCACCCCACAGAAATTTTACGGCAGGAGACTCCGCATTTGAGGGGGGACAGGGCACACCTGAGGTCCAGGGTCACAGGCCTGGAGTGTGGGGAGCCAAGACTCTTAACACAAGGCTGACCCCTGAGCTCAGCTTTTCTTACTCAGGGTTCCCACAAATTACTTTGGATTGAAACGAAACCGTTGCTTGACCTTTCCAGGCACTTGTTCCACCTGGTGACGTCACTGGAACAGCTGGATCTTCTTGCAAGACCTTCTACCTGCACTCCCCCCTTCCCACAACCAATTTCTCTACTTTATCCTCTTTTGACCAGACTGTAAAAAAGCAGGAAGTGCTATTCTGAACGCAACAGAGCTGGGCAGGGAATGGACAGGAGTCTGCGGGCAGCCAACGGCAAGCAGCTTTGCAGTTATCATGTAGCGGACAATGTGCTAACTATGCTTTCTCTCTCTTCGTGCTTACATTAAAAAAAATCTCCACATAAATAAAACAGCTCAATAAAAAAAATCTTAGTTACCTGACCACCTTTATTCAGGCAGTTACTCTGAAACGGGGCTTCATGAGGGGCGTCGGGCCAGGCCTCCGTGTCAGGCCTGTTTCCGGTGTGGGCGAGGACGCTGCCAATCCCATGCCGCGGCTCAGGCAGCCTATTAAGATGCCATCCTGGTTGGCACAGTGTGGTGGTCACATCTCAGCCAATTTTATTTTTACTTGGGCAAAATGACCAGAGAAGGAAGGTATTTCAGAAACCGGACGGCCTGCTGAGCTCCCAGACCCGAGCCCTGTGCACTGTGCTGCCCCGTGAACCAGCCCCACTGGTGTCCGAGTTACGTGCACTGAAGCCTGTGAGAGCCCCCACCCTGTCTCCAGTCTGGGCCGCAAGCAGTCTGCTCCACTTACGGGGGCTTTCTTCCCTTCCTCAAGGTTCTCAGAATCTTCCGGGGAGGATGAAAAGAAGCTAAACGAACACGAGGATGCTGGAAAGGGACACTGATCCACAAGAGCAAAACCATAAGGGAGGGGGCAGCAGTAGAAAGAGAGAGGGACAGACAGGAGGTTGAACCGCGCAGCCACACAGCCAACTGAGAAAGACGTTCAGAGACACACTGGAGAAAAACAAAGCCCAGCCAGCTCCGTTTCAACGCAGCAGGTGAGCCTGCTACACCCCCCTCTGGTAGGGAGCACTGATGGTATTCAACACTTCGACAGTCACAGTGCATTCACGTGCTTTTGCATAAATCAAAAAAATGTAGCAAATCAACCTCATGGCAAATCAGAAGGAAAAATTCCAATTTTCCCATAAAACACAGACAACAATTGTTTTCAGCCCCATATAGAGCTTTGGTTGCCGAATGAAAAACAAACAAAAAGATCATCCTGCCATAGGATGTTCCGAAAGCCTAATTCATGAAAAAGAGACCATTTAGTTTATGTTTAATAAAACGTTTATTAGGGTGGTAACACAAGATAAATCATGCAAGAGCTCAGTAAAAACAAAACAAAAAACAAAAAACAAAAGTAAGAATGTGAGGAATGGTAATTCGTTCTGCCAATTTAAAAATATATAAATCATTTCTGTCCCAAGAGTACTTTGAAAAACTGTTTGAATCTGAGCCGGGCATGGCTGTGTCGTCTTGGAGAACTGTAAGCCAAAGTGACGACGGCTAAGTACTTGTGTCCTAGTCCTCAGAGGAGTCGAGTCCCGGATCCAAAATCATCATTAACGTCCCCGTATCCCACACCTTCACGGCAAACAGCCAGAACCCCTGCCCCCCAACCGAGCCCTCTGACGCCCCTGGGGCAGTGTCAAAGGGATGCTTGTAGCAGGGCGGGCAGGCGCGCCGGTGGGCACCTTTGGTGACTCTTAAATGAGACTCTGTCCACACTCAGAATCTTAAAATTTTTGGTAGCGAAAACCATAGTACTTGCATGTCACCCTTACCAGCCTTAAACGTAGTGTTGTGATGTCCAAGGGAGAGACTTCCATATCTGAGGGGAAGAAATTTGAACAGATACACCGAACTGACCGTAGTGTTTCAGATGTCAAACAAATATGAAACATCTTTTGGCTAAAAATAAATAGAGTGGAATGCAAGTTTGATAGATGGGCAAACATATAATCTACCAACTGTGAAGGAGTACAATTTCATCACAGACATTTCAACAATTCAAAGAATTTAAAAAAAAAAAGTTTACACAATTTCTCACAAAATCATCACTTTTGGAACTACCCCAATTGAAGCTACACACTGAATTTATTAATACAGCATTAAGTTTCTTTGTGTAAAAAAATCTTTGTACATAGTAATAAAAAAAGATAAGGCAAGATGCATTAAACAGAAACCTCTGGTTCTCCTCGGGTCCTCGCAGAGCCGCCGCCGACCGGCTGCAACAAAAGGGCTGAGTTTCTGGTTTTCCGGGTGGAGCATCTCGTGCCTTCACTGTGGAAAGAAGTCTGTCCGAGCACCCTGGGGGACAGATGCCGGGGACGGGCTTTGGCACTTACGCTGGCAGACTGAGCTTCTTCCCCTTGAGTACTGGGACCGGAGAGAAAGCAAGAGGTCACCGCACAGACAAGCTGCAGCCCCTTCCCCCCACCCCCGAGGTCTGTCACACTCAGCACAACACAGGGTGGGGGCAAGGAAACAAGCTTCTGGCAACCAACAGTCACTGGATTTGGGTGTCAATAGAAATACAAATGTGACTGAAATTATTGCTAAATTGTAGCAGCTTTCTGTTATCATGACTTTCTTCCCTAATCAATACACAGTAAAATGGACTGTCTCTACGTACAGAGGGCTATACAATCTGAATATTAGAAGAGAGTTCAGACACATATGCCCTGGAACCATAAAGTCCACTGGCAGGAACTTTGCTGTAATAACAACAGTTCCTCGCCTGCGGCCCACAGCTGTGGTGCAGGGGCTCCTGAGCCCGAGGACGGGGACAGAAATCTGAGTGCACACGCACAAACACACACTTATGCCCATGCAAGGCCCACAGCTGGCGCCGGGGCTCTGCGGAGCTCACATGTTCCATGCTCACATCGACGTGAACACGTGCAATACAAGGACGCCGATGGAAGCCCTGGATTTCCGTGCAGCAGGACAGTGGTCACGGCCTGAACGTGCACAGGTGGACGGGAGTATTGTGGGGATACACGTAATGAAACACTGTGGTTTCTGAAAACCACGGAGGTTTCCAGTGACTGACATGAAAAGCCGTCGGTGGGAAAGGAGCAGCTGATCATGTGTCTGCCTATGTCTGCAGAGACCTGGAGTCACATTCACAGAAACAGTAACAATGGTCTCTGAGTGGCAAGGTTTTAGGTGACTGTCTGTCCTGAATTTTTCTGCAATGAAAATATGCCATTGCAAAAGACAATACAGTCACAGCCAAAGAAGATGAAGAACCTGACCCGGAACTGAACTGGATGGCTGCTGAGATGTTTTCCTGCAACCGGTTCTGCTGCGTGAAGCGAGAGCCAGCCCGGAGCACGGGAACAAGGCCGGCCGGGCAGCCACGTACCTTTCGTGATGTATAAGTAGAAGAAGTCGCAGTACAGGATGGTCTGCACCACGCCAGCCACCACCGCAATGAGGTCAAAGAAGCCCTCAAAGTAGAAGCGCCAGATCCAGTTGACGAGATAGAGCGCGCGGTAGAGGCCCAGGAAGAACAGGTAGTGTGTGGTGATGGTCTCCGCCTCCCCGGTCTTGCTGATCATGAAGAGCTGCGGCAGGATGGCCACCGACTCCAGGTAGATAGAGAAGGTCCACAGAATCTGCAGGGGAAGCACGGGCTTCCGTCAGCTCCCAGGGCCCACGCGGGTCACAGGAAACACCCCTGCCCCACCCTGGGGCAGCAGCTGAGCCCAGGATGGAGGAGCTGAACGCCTGCACGAGTCACAGACACTGCAGCTGCATCACATTCCCAGTGACAAGCCGGGTCACCTGGGCATCTCCACCTCTCTGAAAGTTCATTACCATGTCTCTCCAACACCACCCTCCTCCCCGCACAAACCTCTGGGATCTATGTGTGTCCCAGTGTGGATCAGGGACGCGAGTCGGCACTGCTTTCTGCCAGGGCGACCACTCGGACAGCCAGGCCCCTCCCCCGCCCTCACAGCTAATTCCCCCACCAGCTGCTCTCCTTTCCGGACTCTCCAAATCGTCTATTTGTCTTACTCTTTAGGCTTTTTCCATGCAGTTAAATGCAAGGTTATAAGAAACCAGAGCTGTAACTACGCACACTCTGCCCGACAAGGTCCTCTATTCACACTGACACAGGAGGGCTTGCAGGTGGCCCCTGGAGCGCTGTAAAGGCCCAGGCACTCAGAGCCCCCCCAGAGGACGAAGAGCAGCGCGGGCAATGAGCCGCAGGGTGTGGAGGGCGGGGCTGGCACCGACAAGCGGCCGAGGCCTGCACGGTGCTGGGTACCACGCAGACCACGTTTCCTACAGCAAAGAAGTGTGGCAGCGGGGTGGCTCAGGGGGGTCACAAGCACAGCATCAATGTGCGACACCTGTCCCTCAAGGGGAGACAGAGCTGGGGAGATCACGCTCATCAAACCCTCAGACAGGCCAGGCCCACATCTGGGGCCACAGAAGCCAGGCTGGTAGTGCAGAGGAGTCAGGCAATGGCCTGTCGTCAGACACCAGAACACTGGTGGGCGTGACTCCCGCCCCCGGTTTCTTTAAACCAGTCTGTGCTGCACCAGCAGCTCACCCACTAAAAACGAAACAAAAACCGAAACAGAGCAACCCCAAGTTGCCTGCAAACAGGCCCAGCTTCCCGGAGAACAGGAAGGACCCACTAAAAAGCTGCTTTACGAACCTCAAGAGGAGAGAAGTCGTGATTGACGAGGAACGAGAGGCCTCCCACAGGGACCACCAGAAACTCCACTCGGAAGGTGTCGTGGTTGCCGTCGTACGTCGCTTTGAACTTCATGTAGATCAGGTACACTGTGGCGTAGGAGCAGGCGATGTAGATAAGCTACAAGCGAGAGAAAACCACCAGGCCATCAACACCTCACAATGCTTCCAACTCGCCTGGCTTTCTGCAGTGTCCATATACCTTTTTTAATTTAAAAATTTAAACACAGTAACATTCCCTCTGGGAGCCACATGACCACCACCACAATGAACACGCGCCTCAGCACTCTCACACGAAGAAGAACCGCTCCTGCTGCCCCTCTGGGGTCATGCCCCCCCGGCCTGTCCCCGGTCTCCGCAGCTGTGACTCGGTCTCTAGAACGCTGCACAAGCAGAGTCACACAGTTTGTGGACCGAGCAGCCAGCTTCCTTCAGTCGGCCACCTGCGCCCGAGATCCCGCCACGTGGCTGACGTGTGAGCAGGACCAGCCGCACCTACCGTGCGGACACCAGTCTGCTCGCCCGCGTACCGGGCAGACCGAGGCTGCTCCAAGCATTGTGTGCAGGCTTTTGTGTGGCTTCTCATTTCTCTTGGGTATGACTACCTAGGAGTAGAGTCTCAGGTCGTATCTTAAATGTAAGTTTAAGTTTATAAGAAACTGCCAAAGAATGTATTTTTAATCCCACTTTAAATTTTTAGAATGCCGCTTAAGGTAAAAAAAAGACTCCAAAGTTCGATGTAGTCCAAAGCCAATGTCCTCCCTTCCAGCACCATGGCACTTCTCGGGGCTAAGATAAAATAATGTAACTCGTGTCAAACTGTACAGTAATGTCTTTACTTAAATCACGCTGCTTTAACACTGAACATTCAGCAGCTGCTATGACACTCTGTCTAGTAATTTAATAAGAGCAAACCCGAAAGTAAGGGACAGTCTGTAAAACGCTGCTGCCCACGACAGGAGCGACTTCAGCCACACAGCTGAGCGGCTCAGGCTAGCAGGGCGCCGTGACCTAACATGTCCTGCCCACTCGAGAGGCCCTCGCCATCGATTCATCTGACCCCGAGGAAGAGTCTGACCTTTGGAAGCTGCATCGACTCCCGGACTGCAGAGCCGGAGGCCCAGGAGCCCAGGAGCAGGTTGGCCTGGGGACCCAGACAACCGGGACGCCAGCCGCCCTGCTGGTGCGACTTCCTAGGAAAAGCGCCTCACAACACTCAGTTGGGCAGCGTGTGAGCGAATGACCTGGGGCAATGAAGCAGTCATTAAGCCCTCACACATTTCAACACAAACATAGACACCACACTGTCCCTAGCACTTCATGAGTTATATCTGCAAATAGTCAAAAGGTATAAAAACTGTTGGCCATACCCATCCATACACCAAAGAACAACCAAAAAAATCAAGAGTAATATCTGATACTGTCAGAGTTCTCTCCACACACAAACACGTGTACATGCGCACACGAGTAAAATAACAGACAAAACCAATGTACAGAGTCCCCCACGGTGGCCAAGGCACATGGCAGCCGGGGTTCCCTCCCCAACACCCAGCCCATGGCCTGCCCAGACCATGTCCACGAGGCCTCAGCAGCCACAGGGGACAGAACCCCCTTCTGCTCTCACCAGGGCTCGGCGTTGACAGTAAAGAGTGGAGCACATAAAACTTGACTCACACCCTTGACTTTTCAGGTGTGCCACCTGACGGGGAGGGACAGGGCTCCTTTCTCACGCCCTTCTAATACCTAGGGTTTCAACTTGCCTGGACAAGCAGGGACACAGGCATTTTTAAGCCAACTTCCTGATGACTGGGCTCCCATCACTCAGTAATGAAGGCTGGAATGATCACAGGCAGCTCAGATTTGCTTCTCAGTAAAGGCAGCAGACTCAAACACTGCTGTCTGATTTGACCCGGGCGTATGAAGATGCTTTTGGGCACTGCGTGTTGGGGAGCTGTCTGAAATGCCACACCAGGGGGCTTCGGTGTAAACATCACTTCCTTGGTTGTGCCAATAACCAAGTGCTCACGACCGCGCTCTACACACATGTACCCACTGGGTGTTTGGAGAGTGAACGAAAGCAAGAACCAGGCTCCTTTAAACATCCCGGAGACACACTCTTCCCTCACAGCGCCCGCCCCAAACCGCAGCCAGTCGTCTGGCCCTGGGATGACTGCGCTCCCCGACCAGACCGGGACCTCTGCTTGCTCTCTCCTTGGGCGCCAGGGAAGTGCCCGCCCTGTGAGCCTTCAATGCCTGTGACGGAACTGAGGCTTCTCCGAGTGTGGGGCGTGTCCCACCAAGTGCTACACGGGATGTTGGGTGTGCGTGGACATTCTGTATTTGAATAGTTACACGTCAGTTTTAATGTGGGCTAGGCACCATGGATCTGATGCTGAGGACAAATTAAAGGTTTAAGACACGGGTTCGGTAAATTATGGTACAGATGTTGTAGAAGCTTGGCAAGAGGAATAAAGGCGGCACACACAGTAGAAGCTCAAGGAACGTGGACCGGGTGGGAGGGAAGGAGCGGACCCGAACACAGCACCTCAGCAGCAAAACGAGGCGTGGAGCGAGGGACCTGGCTTTTGCTCCTTGTCCTGAACCGGGAGGTCAGTGATTTCCCACTGCTTGAAAACTCACAGTTACCTCTCTTTCTTACAGGGTTATCAAGGGCATTAGAAGTTTATCACAATCAAGGAGCTTAAGGTTAAAACATTTCTAAGTGCAAAGCATTTAATTAAAAAGATAACGCTCTGAAATGGAATAAATATACTCAATGGTAAATTTCCACAAGTCTGTGATTTATGAGTGAAATATATTCCACTGGATGCCATACCTACCTTCATAGATGTGTTGTATAAGGAAATAAATGAAGTAAAAAGATCCAGGTAACGAGTTGTGAAGACCAGTGCAAAGAGGAGCTGGCTTTTCCCGGAAATACCTAAGGACACAGAGGAAAGAATCAGAAAGGCCTGAGGAGCTCTGATCCCAGAACACTGCGCAGGCGCTGTGGTGGGGAGGGCGGTGCCCGCCAGGGACACAGGCTGACGGCGGGGCTGACTCTGCACAGGAGTGTCCGTTTTTCTTTCCCTTAACACCCTCGCACCTGCTCCCCTGGGAGGCTCTGTCGACTTTTGCCTTGGTGTGACGGGGTGACTACTGCCCAGTGACTTAACTACGCCAGAGCCCATACCAGGCTGTATATTGCTCAAAACAAGATTCATTTCTCAGTTATGTCACTTCAGGTCAGAAATTCTGCTATTAGTTAGTGTTGTCACCTGTCTGTCACCATAGGGACACCTTTCTTTCCATCAGGAAACAATAACTGGTGGTGACAGACCTTCCGACGATGGTGCAGGACTCTGATGGCTGAGTTGGGGACACTGCTCAGGAAGGGCTGAGCACCAGCCCCCCGTACGACCTCCAACATGACTTTCTGTGACGGCAGTATACACTTGGGCATGTGACGATGTTTAAAAATTCCACCTCTTAAGATTCAATGCACAACCAGCCTTGCCCCTGCACAGCCAGTCTTCAGAAGCAGCAGGCTTTTTCCTGTCCCCCGAACCTGTCCCCACCTCCACCACCCACCCACCGACCCACCTCCGGAGCACCACGGCCGCACATCTGGACTCGGTGGGGGCCGTCTAGGTCACACGGTGCGCACTGGGCCTTTCCCACACCTACCTCGGGCCAAATATTCATGACGAAGGCCAAGCACTCAGGGCTCCAGCTGCTGGAGGCCGAGCGAACGCACTAAGGCACCCGGGCGTCCCCAGAGGTCAGAAGCTGCCCACCCTCATCTACACTGGGAACCTCACACCATCAGACCTATTTAAGCGTGTTTTCAGCAGCTATGTCATTGTAACCCCAAAACCACGTTTTAAATAACAGTACTTTACAGAACAATTTTGCAGCTTGTTGAAACTAATTGCCTGGATCTAAGGATGTTACTTCCTGTGTTTGATTACTTGCAGTTCTAGCCTGCTCATAAAAACACCTGAGTAGAAACTGAACCTGGACCCATCCACAGTAACCGACCTCAAGGGCTAAGGGTGGGGATACGGACAGTAAGCTGCTATTTTTTCCTGCAGAAATGAAGATTTTTACTTTCCTACCAAGGACCCCCGTTCCAAAGGAGAACCAAGGAGGCTGCAGTGGACACGGAAAACGAGAGACAGGATGGGACGCGGGAGAACAGGGGGCCCATGGTTCACATGTGATGTTTGCTGGAGCCTTGAGAGAGAATTTTCAGTTAATTGCCTATTTGGTTCTTTCCAATATTTTAACTAAAAAAACGCACAGGGTACATACGGGCAAATTTTGTGCAAAGGGTCCATTCCAATGGAACTCTGACAGCTAGGCAGGTTTGACACCCTGTCCTCATTTTCTGCATTCCCATACTACACCCCAAGGACTACCAGGGCACCTTTGCCACTCCCCTCTGCCACCCAACTCACACATCACTTCCTCTGGGAAGTCACCTCTGAAGACCCACCCTCACCGCTGTTTATTCTGTAATGGGAACTGCTCCACGCCAGCTGCTGTGGAGGCTGCTAGGACACAGGGGTGAGTGAGCTGCTGACCTCCACCCCCACTAGACACGGAGATCTCTGAAGGCCGGGACCTGCCGTATTCCACCAGATGTACCTGTGCTGAGCACTGGGCCTGACACACAGCAGGCTAAGGAAGTGTCTGCCGAATGAATGAACAAATGGACAAAGGAAAATGCAATTCATCTTACTTTCATGTCGTGGGGTAATTTCTCCTTTTGTGGTATTTTGGGGTAATACTTCCAAAGAGTTCCTAAGTCACACTGTGTCTCTGTGACTGCCAATAGGTAATGTGCTCCGGGCTTTGCCCTAATTTACCGCCAGCAGACGGTGGGAGAGCCCCCTGATCAGAGAGAGCATGGGCAGAGGACAGGGACAGGCAGCGTGTGTCCTGGAGTGTGTCCCATGGGGCAGAATCCACTCAGGAACTGCCATGGGGGCATCCAAGGGCACTCACACAGCCACCTTCTTATTCCGGGCCTGGGACCCTGATAAGCCAGAAAAAACAGAAAAGCTGCTCTGTCTTCGCGGGAAGGCAGGAGTCCCAGCTGAAGACGGAGGGGCAGGGGCGAGAGTCTCCTTCCTGGAGGAGCACCTGCTAGGAAGCAGGAGGACTCCTAGAATCAACTTCTTGTTTTGAGACCAGAGCATGTGAAGACTATCAGCTCTCAAGAATGCTCACTCTGGAGTATTCCATGCTATTTTATTAAAAATTCCAACTGGGCTAAAATACATGGAACAACAGGCAAACAGACCTTTTTAACACCCCTCCCACCTGCATTTTGAGTGCGAACTTCCAGGCCTTTCTGAAGCCCCCTCCCTAGCTCCTCCTTTTCCACAACTGTGCAGTGCTCCAGACCGTGAACGCACCAACGTTCGTGCAGCCACTCCAGTAAGAGACATTTCGGTTGCGCCCCATTTGTTGTTAACGTTGCACGAACATCTTTGTATATACAGTGTTTTGTACTTAGCAGATACAATAAGCATCTTTATAACTCATCGTGGTTTCTTCACACGCATTACAATTTCCGCTCCAGATTCCCTAGACCGCTGGGACGAGATGTATGTAACTGTGAGTGTGGCACACTGTCAGACTTCCCCTGGAAAGGCTGTGCAACTCCCATACCCACCGACACCAGCTGCGAATACCCTTCATTTCACACCCCGCTGACATCGGGCGCCCAGGGCACTGCCGTCTTCCTGCCCAGGCTCCTAACTGCCAGTGAGGCCGGACATTCTTTCATGCTCAGCTGGCTTTCTGTCATTCTTCTGTGAACTGCCAACTCTGTCCATTTTTCTAGGTGGTGTTTTTTTTTTCAATTTGTACAACTATCTTACTATGGGTATGAACACTTTGTCACTTAACTACACTGCTGATTGTTTCCCTCAGTTCATTGTTTTTTAACTTTGATGATATTCTAAGTAAGTTAATCTGGGGAGACTACCACCTTGGCTGCCTCGCCCATCCAGCAGCAGGAAAGCACACTCAGGCCAGCGTCCATGTCCGGCAGCGCAGGTGTAAACCTTTGCTCGGAGAGGTCTCACACGCCGCTGGTGGGACAGCAGGAGGACTGTCTGGGGTCCTTCCTGCCACTTCACATTCATAGAGCTGACTGCTTATGTAGTTTAATGTCCTATTTTTAAAATCTTCATATATACATATATATATATATCTTACTATCTCAACCAAATCACAGCTTTCTTGAGAGCAGAAACTGATACCTACAAGCTGCTGCTCTGAATTGTGTCCCCAGTGCCTTGCACATAGTGGGTGGTCAATAAATGTCTGAAAGCAACAAATACTCGAGAGGCTGGCACTCAGAAACCAGAGGTGACAGCTGCTACAAAGAGGGGGGCTGGGAATGTGATGCGAAAGCTTCCGGAAGTACTCAATGACAACAAAAGACTGGGTGTTTTCCATTTACTTCAGCAATAAACCATGCAATTACGAGAAACACAGGAACGCAGCGCGATCCTGGCATATGTGGTAGGATGAAAAGTCTACAACCTACACAGCAACAATCTAAGCAACACAGAGGGAGGAGAGATGGAGGACTTGAAGAGGGAGGATTCCGCTAGCAATTTCAGTGTAACAGACACAGCACTATTAGTAACTAACTCTCAGCCTACGGAAAACGCGGCCAGAACTCCTTCATCTACAGACCCAGCCTTGTTCTTCTGAGGCTCCGCAGTTCAGTGTGTGGGACAGGGATGAAGTGATAACGTGAGCACCCTGTGGATCCAGTTGCAATGATTGTTTGGGAATATGAGAAACTCACATTTCACTCGGGCACCCCTCTGTGATGACAATGGCAGGCATGGACACAGGACAATGCCAATTCAGATGGAGCTAGACTGAGACCAGATCCTCTGCCCCCACTTTCCAACTGGTCTCGTCAAGCAGCCCTTCTTGAACGAGCCTGTCAGAAAAGCGAGCTCCAGCTTCCTCACCAGCCTGCCTCAACCCTTACCTGCAAGGTAAAAGCTCCGCGGTTCTATAGCTGCAGGTGTGTCCAGAACAGGTGCCAGATCCCCACCGTGAACCCCAACACGGGTATTTTCAGAGTGAGAAACACGACCTGGATATCCATGTCTCCTGTTCCAGTTATTTGAGAAACTCATATCAAATTCTGACTCTTTCGAAAGTCTCTAATCAACTTTTATCACTGAGGATGGAAAAACAAATCAGCTAGACAAATTTAGCATTTAATTCTGAATAAATAACCTTGGTGATTCTGATTTTCAGGCCCTGAAATACCTAATGCATGAACTAAAATGCCCCTAAGTCTGACAGTGAGAACAGTTTCACAACACCCTGCAACTATGGACTAACTCTAGGAATACTTGGCAAACACACACAAGCTTAATTCACTGATTTACCTTTCTAATTCCTTTGGTGTTTTATATTTTCCTAAATGCTCCTCAATCTCCCAAATGAAAACACTATTAAAAAAACAAACAAACTAAAAGGGGAAAAGGACTCAGGGACAACAGTGTGGTGATTGCGGGGGGAGGGGGATAAGACTAAATGGTAATGGGTAAAAAAAATGCAACAAAGATTAAAATTTAAAAATTTTTTTTAAAAGAAATTTTCTGTCTGGGGTTGCACCAACTTCTCCCCGACACCCTCCTTAGTTCAGATGCATGCCGAGGAGACATTGCGCTCCACCCACACAGCCTGGCAGCAGTGGGGTTCCGAGAAACACGTGAAAGAAGATGAAGAGACGTATCTGAAAATGTTGGAGCAAAAATAAAGATTAAAAGTAACCTTTCTTGTTGAGGGGGACAACATGGGTGATGGTGCCCTAAAGGTACGAATTCCTGACTATAAAGTAAGGAAGGCCCAGGGACATGCCGTGACAGCACTTAGTGATTCTGCATATTTGAAAGTCACCAAGACAGCAGATCTTAAAAGTTGTCATCCCAAGGGAAAAAAATCTACCTACCTGAGGTGACAGATGTTCACTAAACTTATTGTGATAATTATTTTGCAAAATATACACATATCAAGTCATTACAGCTGTACACATAAAACAAATACAATGGTGCATGTCAATTATATCTCAATAAAGCTCCAGGGAAGAAAAACATCTAACAAAAAGGACCTGAACAACTGGTCTGGCATCAAATGTTTAAACTGAAGTTACTTAGGACAAAATAGAGAGATATTTCTTCAAAACCCTTAACTGCAAGTCACTGATTGCCTATTTGGATCCTGGCTCTCCCATGGTTTTCTCACCCTCTGTAGACTCGGTTCCCTCATCCACAGAATGGGAACCATGGCGCCCCCTTCATAAGGTCATTCTAAGGACTACACGGAATGAGCCATATAAGACACTTAGTTCACGACCTAGTATACAGCAAGCACTTAAATGTCAGCTACCACAACCGCTGTGATTACTTTGCTGTCACTGGAAATCATACAACTGAATGACCCTGAACTACATACAAATTGAGAGATCACTTTCAAGCCTGACACACTGGTTCAGTCCCTGGACTTTGTAACATCCATTTTGATTGCTCAAAGGTCTTTTTTGTTTTTGCTTACTTCCTGGAGCTCAGCTATGTTCCAGGGAGAGAGGTGAGGCCTGAAGGTGGCGATCAAAGATGTGGTGTTACTTTAGACATGGGAATTTTTAGAAATCAATCAGGTAAATGGAATCTCTGTCACTCAGGTCCTTTAGGACTCCATCTTTTACTGCCTCCGCAAAAACCAAGTTCTCAAATTCATCAAAAGTTATTTCACTCTGGCCATGGCACCAAAAATAAGTTTAAGGAAGCATTTTTTAAAAGTTGCCATTCTGAAGCCCTGGCTGGTATGGCTCACTGGACTGAGCGCTGGCCAGCGAACCAAAAAGTCGCCATTCTGAAAGTTTTAGTGTTAATAAAATGTAAAACTTCACAGCAGCAAGACTTGTCTCACTGCCTCCCAGCACTGCGGGCAAGAAATGTGTACTCCTGGGAGGGAGTCGCCAACTCACTGGTGACGTGGAGTGAGGAATTACAGGAGACCACAGGAGACCTCCGCGGGGTTCTGCAGGCGCGGCAGGTTTCAGAAAACCCGTTATTAGATGGAGGCACTTGCAGCTTGACAAACTAGTGGGTTTCACAGAACTGCATTAACCGTTCCCAAGAAGTTCTTCAGAGACCTCCCCACACTATCCCCCATAGCAGGAGTGATCCTGGACCAGAGAACTGGGGGTAAAGCCCGCAGAACTCTAAGGACAGGCCTGACTTGATACCCTAACCTAAAGGCAGTCCTCAAATGGGTAGGGTTCGGAGCGAAGTGACCTCTCCACATCCCCGCCCCACCTACCGCACTCGCGCTGGCCTGCCACGTCAGGCAGAGGCGTCCGCGGTTCGTCGCATCCTCCTCCCGCCCGTTCCATTGATTCGCAGGGTCCTCGCACCTCCCGACCCTCAACCAGGCCCCGGCCCAGGCCCTCGCTCAGGCCCGAGGGGAGACGCCCATTAAAGCCAAGGACCGCGGGCACGCCTGTCTGAGCCCCCATCCCGTCCCATCATCCAAACTTTTCAGGCAGAACAGGGCTCCCTGTTGTGGGGTTGGCGCCTTCTGCACCCCGACAGCTCAACTTCTGGAGCGGACCAAGTGTGGAGTGGGCCCAGGACCACGACATCTCGCCCCGGCCTGATAGCCCACCCGGAGGGGTCGCAGGCCCCCTGGGTCCCGCCGCCCGCCAAGCCGCCGGGGGGCGTGTTGGAAAGTGCAGGCCTGCTGGCGGCTGGCCGGCCGAGGTCGGCGGGTCCTCCGGACAACCGGGTCTGCGACCCGGCCCTCGCCCGCTGCTCACCGGCGCAGGAGCGCGTCTTCCAGATTTTCAGCAGCAGGATGACGATGGCCGCCAGGTGGGACAGGTCCCCGGTCAGCCGGAAGATGTTCATGGCGGCGGCGGTCGGCGCGGCTGCCCCGGGGCTCGGCGGCTTAGGCTTAGGCGACGACCACTAAAAGGAAGCGACGAAGATGGCGAGAGCGGGCGCGACGTGGCCAGGGACGTGGCCAAACTGCCGGCGCGCGCGCGGGGCAGCCTGGGAAAGCTAGCCTCCGCCAGGCCCCGCCCCGCCCCCGCCCCTTAAAGGGGGCGCGCCCCAACGCTGGCAGAGCAAGGAGCACTTTTTCCCGGGCTTCCTCCGAAGGACCCCGACTCTCCTCCAACTTCCCCCTGCGGGAAGCTTCCGGCTTCTCCTCGAGTGCCAGCGATTTCCTTTAATTTTTGAAATAACACTCCCTTGTGAGCGATATTTTCCCTCCCATTAATCTTAAAAGCTCTACGGGCTTACTTATGAAAAAATGTAAGAGACAAATAAAAAATAATCTGTGATGGCATCTTTCAGGATAAGATCGGTATTGGGGGTGTCCGGGAGGATGCGGCTTACGAGGGGGTCTGAAGATTTTATCATGCTGGCGATTCCCTTTGAGAAAGTGTGCAAAATTAGGTGGGAGAGTGAACAATTCTGTGGGATGAAGGAGTAAATCCCAGGAAATTCCCAATGGAACGACGCTGACGCACGTAATCCTGAACCCCTAGTTCGGAGGAATAACACTTGGTTTCAGGTGACTTCACAGGTTCCCCACAGAAAACTGGGTGGTTCCTGCCTTCCTGTGACTAAAGGGCCCATTCAGCCCTTTGTGGTTTTCCTAAAACAAAAGGCATCTTCGAAGTAAGTCATCAGCATCCTGCCATCCAGAACCGCCAAGTGGCCCCCCAGCACAGCTCCCTTGCTAACGTATTTGCATCGGGTCCCTTTTTAGGGGGTCCCTTCTACCCCAGGGCAGAACGAATGCATTAAATGATGCAAATGTTTTATTTCAGGGGTCACAAACAAGCTGGGCTCCACCTGGCTCGCACAAATGTTTTCTTTGGTTCATAATTGAGCGCCTCGTTTTAAGTTTTGAATTGGTTGCCAACATTTCATCGGGACATTTAAAATAAAAATCTTGGCCCTGGCTGGCGTAGCTCAGTGGATTGAGCACGGGCCTGCGAACCAGAGTATCGCGGTTCGATTCCCAGTCAGGGCACATGCCTGGGTTGCAGGCCAGTTCCCGGCAGGGGATGCATGAGAGGCAACCACACATTGATGTTTCTCTCCCACTCTTTCTCCTTCCCTTCCCCTCTCTCGAAAAATAAATAAAGAAAATATTTAAAATAAAAATCTGGCCCTGGCTGGTGTGGCTCAGTGGGATAGGCGTCATCTCTCGAACCGAAAGGTCGCCAGTTCTATTCCTGGTCAGGACACAAGCCTGGGTGGCAGGCCAGGTCCCACCCACCCCACACTGTTAGGGGTCTGCGAGAGGAACTGATCAATGTTTCTCTCACTCTTTCTCTCTCTCTCCCCCTCTCTCTAAAAAATAAGTAAAACTCTGGATATCCGGCTTCCTTTGAGAAGGTCTGAAGATCAAGCTGCATCCCGAGCTATGTGGAAGTCCACGGCTGGAGGGATCAGAGGCTCCCCCTGCAGATTGCATCCACCCTCCAGCCCTCCCTAATGTCTTTCCCGTGTTCCCCCAGTGTCAGTTACCTGACAGCCTTGTCCTTGTGTCACTGTTTCCTTGCCTCCCCCACATCATATATTTGCATTGTTCATCTGGCCCCTGTAGATTTTTACTTTGTACTCCTGGTTTTAAGGGTCTGGATACAGGTGACCAAACTGTTTCATAGAAAGGAGATGGTAATTCTCTAGAGCGACTTGGTAGCCCTCTACCTTGATGTTATTTGGTTTGACTTAGTGGGCAATTATTGGGCACTTGCGGTGTGCAAAGTCTAGAAACAGCTGGGCCCATGGGAAATCAAGTTGCTGGATGACAGGGTTATCGGTGAGTAGACACCTGGTAACCAGAACCTGGGTGTGTGAGAATTTGCCAAGGGAGGGTAAACAGTGCCCAGAGCTGCTTTAATGAAGGTCAGTTAAGATAAGGACAACAGATCCTTCTTGTAGCTTCCTATCGGAGGCCATATCAGCTTCAGGGGGCGACGAGAGGCAAAGCCAGGCCCTGCCATATGCTGAGAGGTGATTGGATGGTGAGGATGCAGAGCAGCCGGTGTGGACAACAGCCTGAAACATTTGGCTCTAAAGGGCACTGGCCACTGAGGTCTAAACTGTTCTCAGAGGGCTGCAGTGGCAGGAGGGATGTTTGTGGGGGACAGGGCAGAGTCCATGGGGAGAGTTGTGGTCACTGGCCCATGGAGATGCCTGGGAGCTTGGGGAAGCAGGAATGCTGTGAACTGGAGTGAACGGGAAGGCCTGGACAGCATGGGATGACGGTGAGAGCAGATGCATAGAGATATGTGCAGAAGGGTAAGGCGAGAAAATCCTGCTTGATGGAACCCTTTCTCGCATCAGCTCAACCCAGTGATCTCTGAACTGAGGCCTCCTTCAAACTGGGACTGTTTGTACCCCTGGCACCTTGATAAGGAAGTGTGATGGGCCGAACTGGATCCCCTCCCCAATGTTGAAGTCCTAACCCCCAATACCTCAGAATGTGACTGCATTTGGAGATGGGGCCTTTAAGGCAGTAATTAAGGTCAAGTGAGATGATATGGGTGAAGCCCTAATCCAATAGGATTGGATGCCATCCACAAGCCATGGAAAGCAGCCTCAGGAAAAACCAAGCCTGCCCCTACCTTCATCTTGGACTTCCAGCCTCCAGGAACAACGAGAACATAGATCCCTGTGTTTTAAGCCACTCAGTCTGTGGTATTTTGTTATGGTGTTCTGAGCAGGAACAGGAAGTGGTAAGAAAGGAAGTGAGGGCTTTCTGTTGAAGTCACTAGCATCTGCGGCCCTTGGAATAGTAATATTAAAATTTAAAACGCATGGAAACGATGTTAAACAAAACAAAGAAGATATTTCCGCTCAGAGGATAGGCTTTGGGTGTAGACAGACCCAAGTTTTTGTTCCTGCAAGTCACATAACCTTCCTGAATTTCAGACTTTTTATTTGTAAAAAGGAGATAACAAAACCCAGGGGGTCGTATTGTGGAAGTACAATGAAATGAAATGTGTGAAAACCTTGAGCACACTACCTAGCAACCATTGACTGATGTTACCGGGGAAGGCGGTGTGTAACTAGGCTATGGCATTGTGTTAGCATTCCTGGGAGACAGCTAGGAGGTGGTGCAGGGTGTGATGCATATACTCACTCACATTCAGGGCTTTGCACCGACTCGGCTGTGAAACCCATGACATACAACCTCCTAGGAAACCAGACTCAGAGAGGCTGACCTGTAAGATGTTTGCACCCAGCATTATTCCTGGCACAGAGGAGGCAGTCAAAAGGTATTGGCGAATGCATTTATGAATGAAGAGAGTTCACTGAGAATGTTAAAAGACTGAACATCTATAATCATCTGTTGATGGGTGTGTTACTCAACCCTCTTAGTGTTACAAGAGACAGAAACCCATTCAAACCAGCCAAAGCCAAAAATAATAATAATAAAATTTTAAAACTGACTTGGAAACTGACAAGTCCAGAAACCTGCTTCAGGCAAGGTTGGATCCAGGGACAAAGGGGTGTATGGAGCAATCTCGGTTCTGCCCTTCTGTATTAGCTTTACACCCAGGCAGGCACACTCTAGGGGGTGGTCTGGGCAGCTCCTGCCAGCATTCTACACTCTATACGCCCAGCAATTCATCCAAAAGAGAGGAAGCCTTCCTTTCCAAATAGTTCTAACTTGACTCTTGCAGTGACCCTGAGCCACCCAGCCAGAATCACAAGACCATCCTTATCCAGTAGGTACCACTCCAGGGCATGGAAATAGGGGAGGGATAATTTTCCTGAGGGAAACCAGGGAGTGTCCCCAGCGGAAGGGCCACTGGTTTCTCACCAGGCACAGACCAGGGCTGCCCACTGGACTGAGTGTATCTAGAGAGGTGTCAGCTCACTCATGGGTGACCAGGTAGGAGACAGCGAGAAGCATGCCACCTGGAGGAAACATGAGGATAGGTAGCCAGAGCTGTGCTAGGTCCAGGCAGGACCAGGGACACGGAGGCATTTAAGGAGACTGGGATCTGTACCAGGTGCCTGGCCAAGGGGGCAAAGTGGTATACTGATTGCAAAAACAGCCCCGATTCTCACCCACCCCCGAATCCTCTGCAATGTGATTTTACAGCATCTCTCATCAAGAGCGGAGTGTATTTCCCTTCCCCTGGATCCCAGGCTGGTTTTGTCACTTGCTCTGACAATAGACTGGGATGGAAGGGATGGTGCGCCAATTCTGCGCTCAGGCCACAAGGGCTCTTCCGCGCCCTTGCTGCGAACCATCCTGGAATTGGGCCGGAGGCTGGGAGGCCACGTGAAACCATCCCAGCCACCCCGGCCTGACTCGGGGGAGAGGCCTGTGTGGTGAGCGCGGCAGCCTAGCTGACTCACAGGGGGCCAAAGGTGCTCAAGTGAGTCCACTGAGCCCAGCTCAGAACAAAACTGCCCGGGGACCCACAGACTCATGAGCAGTCGGTGGCTGCCATTTTAAGCAACAGAGTTTTGGGAAAGTTTGTTACGTGGCATTATGCAGCAAATGGCTAACCAGTATAAGGCATGTTAGAGAGAAAATCTAGCTAGTGCCCAGCTTGCCGACCCGTGCTCCCAGGCACAGAGTCGGATCTACCATGTGTTTCTCATTTGCAGGAAAACGCCATACGGGGTACCTGGGCTGCGGGGTCACACCTGTTCACAGCCTGCTGGACCTATAATCTCTAGCAATCACACGTTCCTCAGAGATGTGGTTGTGGAAATGTGTGGACATTATCCAGCTTGAGCTGCTGGGGAGACATGTACACCACTACCCATATCTGGGTGTGGCCTTCTCCACCCTGGGTTTATACGTTCTGGTTTAGGCATTTCTACATGGTGGCCACGAGTGGAGAACCCAAAACAAAAAACATGGCCTCAAAGACGGGCTTGTGAGAGACTGGCAAGGACAGGAGCAACATGGGCCGTTTGAACCCTGCGGGAGGAAAAGAATCCAAAAGACGGGTTTAGAGCCCCGTTCAGAATTTCCTGGAAGAAAGGTGAGGAGAGAGGTAACAAGGTAACAAGAAACTGCCTGATGCCAAGAGTTGCCAGCTGGAGGCTGGAAAGGATGAAAGAAGTCAGCACGCCCTTCCTGACCACAGCTTCTCCTGCCTACTCCCCCGCCCCGCCCCCCACATCCAGGTCACTCTCTCGTGGGGGACGGCCCCTGGTGTTTCCAAATACGTCCTAGATCCTGTCATTTGCCCTTAAGCTTTACTCAACCGGACCTGCTCCAGGGACCATGGCTCCGCCCATCCCCAGCAGCCACCAGCCCCGGTTCATTCACCACCTAACATCTCTCCGTTCTCCCAGCCTCCGCCCTGATGATCCCCATCCCACTCCCAGACTCCCCACTTCCAAGTGACCACTTCCAAATGGGATTGATGTTAGTCCACTGGATAAAAACCTCAATTCTGCAATCTAACACAGAGGGTCTTGCTCTTCTAGTTCTTCGCTATTTCTCTCCCCTGCTTTCCCTCACCCCCACCCCACCTGCCCTGCTTCTGGGCCACAGCCAACTGCAGTCTCCTCCAGCTTCCAAGACTCAGCCTGGGTGCACACTTGTGGCTCTCCTTCCTGTGTTCCTGCTGCCTTCTGAGTGGCCCCAGGAGACCCCGGCTGGATGAGGGACCACCAGGTCTCAGAATGCACCATGGTGTGGTGTGCCGTGTCCAAGAGCTCTGCCTCTCTCTTCAGGGCGCAGGGTCCTCAAGGTCTGTGCTCCATGATCACGTCCCCCGGGGCCCACTCTGAGTGGGCCAAGAAATGTTCGGACGTCCTTCCTCAGCACCTGTGTGCTCTGGCCACGCCATGACAGCAGATGCTGCCCCAGGGCCGTGGCCACTTCTCAATTCTCCTGCTGGTTGCAGTCCCTCACCCCTCCCTGGGTTCCCCGTGACCTGAGGGCTGGCTGCTCTTGTTGGTATCCCTGGGAGCTAGGCAGCCAAGCAAGTCAGGGGAACGTGGGGTGCAGCCAGGCTGGGAGCAGTGGATGGTCCTTCTGGGGTGAGCACACCAGCGCCCATGGCAGATGTGGTTCATTTTCCCTGGGAGTCCTCACCCACTTCTGCCCCATGCCCTCAGCGCTCAGGGCCAGGGGTCAGCTGGGAGATGGGGGTCCAACCAAACCCAGGACCTTCACAGTGGCGGAAGTTCAAAGGCTGAGGTAGCTGGAGACACAGGCACGACAGCCCAAGGTCCCAGGGAGGAGGTGTGGGAGGGGCAGGCATGGCCCAAACCTTGGTGGCACACAGGCAGCCCACTTGGGCACAGCCTCTGGTGTCCCTCTCCATGCCTGGGCTGAAGGGGTTGTAGGGCAGCCGCTGTCACCAGGCCAGGGGCGAAGCCATCCCGGAGCTGCGCACACCCTCCCCAGCCTGCAGGTCGCTGAGCGCCCGCTGGGCAGGGAGGAGCAGATGGGGAGGATTTGGTCAGGGGTTCCAGGAGCCACCCCAGCAACACCCGCCCTACCTCATCCCACCACCCAGAGCCAGGGCAGAGACTTACCACCCCCCCCCCCACTGGGGGGATGTGCCTCTCACTGCGGGTGCTTTCCCAAACCCTGCCTCACAGAAGACCCCCTCTTTCGACCTCTGCCCCTGACCTCTCCTGAGGGGCCCCTTAGGCCTTCCACCATGGCTCACCTCAAACTTGCTCATGAACTCTGCAAAGATGCCAAAGAAGGCCTCAGAGGTGGTGGCTTTGGAATCCTCCCCAAAGAAGGCCAGCGCCTTGCTTAGCTCCTCTGTGGCCTCTCGCTGCAGCCCGTCCAGTGCCCGCAACACAGGCTGGGCGGTCTCCAGAAATGACTGGTGGGCCTCTGTTCAGGAAACTGCAGACCCACCGGGCACCCCCAGGTTCCCGGGCAGTGACCCCAGACAGCAGCCAAGCTGCCCTGTGCCTGTCTTCCCCAGACCTAGTGCTCAGCTGGGAACCATGCCCTGCTCAGGGGCACTGGGCCTGCTGCCCCCAAGTTCATCCTGAGACCAGCTATGTGCAGCCCAGCCACAGCCATTTCCCTTGCCCCTCTTTGCGGAGTGACTGTCTCCTCCCTCCTGGCTCTGCTCAGCCGCCACCGCCCCTTGTCCATAAGCATTCACTCGGGGTGGTCCCCTGTGCCTCTCCAGGCCTACACTGTCTCTCCTTTTCCATGGCCCTTGTCACTGTCTCTGCTCAGCAGGAATGTTCCTCTCTCCCAACTGTCTCCTGGTGGGCCAGGGCCCGACAAACCCCTTTCTGTGCCTTGTAACTTAAGTCTGGGCTCTCCTGGGGACCATGACAATGGGATAAGGCAGCAGCTTTGGGACAAAGAGCTCCTTCCAGCTACACACAGATTTGGCATAAGTGCTTGGCTGCTAAATGGCCCGGGACAGACCCTCTTCCAGCACCCCCGGACACACAGCAGCCCCTGCCCAGGATCTCTGCAGGGAGACAGGGCCCACAGTGGTCCCTGGAGCCACAGCCAGCTCTACCTGACCACCCCAGGGTCCACCACAGCACTGGGATGGGCTGCTCAGAGGATACTGTCATGACCATGGCAAACTTGTCCTCGCTGCAGGGGGACATGCTCTGGCAGGCTGCCTGTATCTCACTAATGGTACAGTGGAGGTCATCCAGGTCACTGGTCAGGGCCCGTTGGTTCACTGCAGCGAAGGGGACAGAGCCTCATGGGGCCATACACCCAGGCCAGGACAGTAGCGCCTCTGCCTCCCGACCCGCCCACCCGGCCTACCTTTGGCAGCCAGGGGCACAGTAGGCAGGTCCTGAGCGAAGCCTAGGAGCTCAGGGAAGTGCTGGCTCAGCGATTTGGCAAGGATGTGCAGGAAGGTGGACTTCCCGTCCACTGTCTTGGTGGAGTTCAGCTGCAAGTGACCCCCAACGCAGACTCCTCAAGGTCCCCATCAGGTTCCCGATCACACGGCCCTGGTACTCTCAGCCCTGCTCCTCCCAGACTGCGGCTTCAGTTCCTGGCCCTCAACACTCACTAACTCCAAAGCCGGCAAACCGATGGCTAGTGCTGCTCCCTCTAAGGTCTCACCTGCTGGGACGCCACTGGCCTCTCTAGGAGTCAGGAGGTTCCCTGGCCTAGATCCTTGAGACCCCAGGAACCAGGTACGCCGCACCCAGCTAGAGGAGGGTCCTAGGCTTCTCTGTCTTTGTCGACGGATACAGCCCGAGAGCCTCTGACACCACGGAGATGGGGAGCATCGCTCATAGATCTCCCCTCTTGTGATGTTCTGGAAGCATCTGTGGCTCATCTGAGCCCCAGACGTTCTAAAAAAACCATTTATATCTACAAATGGGGTTTTTCTTTCTCTTACACACCAGGGAAAAGTCCAAGCAACACTGGGGGGAGGCTGGGTATCTGAGCGCTAACAGTGCTGATGCTGGGGAGGGCGCGGAACCCACCAGGTGTGCTGTCCTTTTCCTCCTGAAGCTTTCACTCCCTGCTCCCCACTAGTCCGTCATTCCAGATCCCAAGGCTTGGCTTGGAGGAGCACCCACGCCCTTGCCCTGCCCAACTTTGCTGCAGGCAAGCCCTGGCCTGTGGGCAGCCATCTCTTCCTCCCATGGGGGAAGGGCCCTGAGTGGCCACCCTGCTACAATCTGGTCAGGCCCGGCCTCCCCAGCCTCGCTGGCAAAGCAAGGCCAGCTCCTCACCTCTGTCAGGAAGTTGATTTTGAAGCCCGTGGTCTTGTTGGTTTTGGGCTGTCCATCGTTGAGATAGTTGCCCATGGCCAGCACAAACTGTGGAAGGGAAAGTGTGCAGGCAGGTGCTCGCCCCATCCCGCATCGCGGGGTCCCTCGGGATGCGCCTCCACGCTGGAAGCCCCCAGGGGAAAGGGGCAGGGAGTGACCAGAGAGATGTGCGCCCTGACCTCCAGGATCTTGGCCAGCTTCCGGCTGTTCCTGAGCTCCAGAGAGGCCTGGCGCAAGCACTCCAGGCTGCCCCGGATCTCTTCCGTCTTCTCCTGCAGGGTAGCCTGGAAATGGAGGCTGCGCAGGCGAGTTTTGTATTCCGGAACGGATAGCATCTGCCAGGAAGGCAGGGTCGGGATTATGCATCCGTCCATACAGGACGGCCGGGAGACCCACTGCCCCAACCAGCCTCAGATGGGGGACCTCGGAGCCGGCTGCCTGGACCTCGTGGGCCCTTAGGAAAAATAAGCACAACCTCTAGGGGGCACCCTTAACCCATTTATTGTGCTTTAGACCTACTGTGGGACCGGGCCATTAACGGTGTTGGCTAGGACTCAAGAGGAGTGAGCGTAGGGGGGCAGGTGGACCGATGCGGCCCCGGGACAGAGCGGGAGCCCGGATGGAGGCGAGCGGGGCCGCGGAGCACAGCCCCTGACCCTGGGCGGGGCCCACGGCCGCCGCACCTGCAGGACGAACTGGTCGGGCTCGCTGAGGCGGCCGGGCGCCTCGCGGAAGGCCTGGTAGCGCAGCTCCTCGTCCGCGTCCGGCGAGAAGAGCAGCAGCTGCGCCAGGTGCGCGGGTTCCAGGCGCCCGGGCTCCATGCTCATGAGCACCTGCCGCAGCTCCGCGGGGCTCAGCTTCAAGTGCGCCAGTAGGATGGCTGCGAGCGGGGCCGCCTAGGTGAGCCGGGGCGGGGCCCGGCGGGAAGTGGGCGGGGCCTCGAGGTCCAACCGGGCTACTGGGTGGAGCCGAGAGGTTCGAGGGGTGGGGCGGGGGAACCTGGGCGAGGCAGGAGCCCGCCAAGAGATGAAGAGAGTCCTTCTTCCCGGGGAAGGAGAACAGAGCGAGGGCGGGATTCCCGAGGACACAGAGCTAGATCTGAGTGGGGCCCGTGGCGGTGGGGCCAAGGAACCTAGGAGGGGCCTGGAGGCGGGGCCAGAACTGGGGCGCCAACAGGGGCGGGGCCTACGGGGGAGTACCCAAGGCCAGCACTAGTCTGGTGGGAGCTGGGAGGGGGGCCTTCACCTTGCTGGGCCGAAGGTACGTTGGGGGAGGGGTGCCTACAGCCTAATCTCTGTCATCCAAGGGGCGGATCCGTGGCTCTGCGGCCCAGGGAGGGCCGCCCCCTGCCCCCCACAACCCCTGAGACCCCCTGCCCCCTCACAGGTGTTGTAGGCCTTCTTGTGGGACAGGATCTCCACCACCTCCTTCTTCCTGAAGGGCTCAGGCCCAGGTACTGGCTCTGGAGGGGTCAGTGATGGTTTAATGAGCTGAGGGCCAGGCAAGGCTGCGTGGGAGGGTGCCGCCACCCCAACCGCTGGGATGCCCCCTGACCATGGCCTTGATGGATCCGCTCCCGGCGTTCACAGTCCCCACTCATGGACTCTGTCGCCGGGTCTAACATTCGGCATGCACTGTGCACAGCCCTCCTCCCATCCTCTGACCCTTGAATGGGTGGGACTGAGCTGACTGGGTCAGGGGGACCAGTGGCCTCTGGACCTAGCGGGCGCTTCCTGGAGGGACAAGGGCCTCCCTCTTCCCCTCCGGATCACTTTGCACACATGGGATCCCTGGCTGCCTGGAGCCCCACCCAACATCCATAGGGTGGAGGGGAGAGAGGGACAGGGGGCGGTGTCTGTGGGTGCCTTCTGCCCACCTGACTCTGGCTGTGTGACTGAGCAGGTCACTTGGGCTGTCTGTGCTCTCCCCTGGGAAGGTGCCAGGGCCACAGGATCAGTTTTGAAATGAGGGTGGAGGGTGTCTGGCATCTCGTAGGCATGCAGTAAAGCCAGATATTAGCATCTGGGTTTTGAGGTGGGAAAACGGAGGCTGGGAGAAGCTAACTCAGGGACACAGTAAGTGAATTAAGTCGGTGCAGACTTTTGGGGCTCTAAGCCTGGGACACCACAGAGACCTTGGTATGGGGGTTCCCCGGGGCCCTCAGGCCACTCACTCGCAGTTTTCTGGGTGCCGAAGTGGAGTTCCAGGTCGAGGTATTTCACCATGTCACTCAGCTTATCATAGTCAGAGTCTTCCCCGAGCTGCAAGGGAGAGGCAGGCCCAGAGTGAGGAGGGACCCTGACAGCTGGCTTGCGGTCCCCAGAGGGAGAGCCCCTTGAGGCCCTGGGGTGAACCCAGGGGCAGGAGGCTGCGGGAGAAGCTAAATCACGCACGCGCGAGCCGGCTCCTCTGGTGGTCAGTCACACTCACACTTGGAACACTCTCCACGCAGAAGCCAGGGGTGGGGGGAAGGGGCTGCAAAGGGGCTGCAGCCACCCAGGGGGCTTCGAGGTGGCCGAGAGTCTGGCCCTGTGTTGAAATGTCCTTTGCAGGGAATGAGCTCACCAGAGCTGCCCCAGGTTTCTGATGCAGGGGGAACTGAATCAGGGAAATGCCAGGGGCAGAAGCTGGACAAGTTCTCAATGCTGCCACCCAGGCCACCCCCCCCCACTGGTGCACGGCACCCTGGGACCCCAGGCCACCTACCTGACCCCAGATGGTGCCTTCTGAGTTCTCCACCTGCTCCCACCGCAGGCGCTTGACGCTCATGTGGCTGGTCTCGCTGCGGCGGTGACCCAGGCCCCGGGACAGCATGGGGGGTGCACAGGGCACGGGTGGGGGCAGGGGCGGCGGGGGCGGTGGAGGGACTGGATGGCTCAGTTGGGTAAGGGGCTTGGCCAGAGTCTGAGTGGGGCCCCGGGGACCGTCAGGGGTGCGGGGGATGGGCTTGGGGTCATGGAAGGGCAGGGGTGGCGGTGGAGGGGGGCTGAGTGGGGGTGGGGGGATGTGGTCGGATATGGAAGAGTAGGTCAGGGAGCTGCCCTCCTCACTGCTGCTGATGCACTCGCTAGCACTGCTCCGCTCGTTGGTTACAAAGCTGCCCTGGTCATCATCATGGAAGCTCATCTGAAGGGGACAGAACAAGGCGAGGGGAGGACCAGGCTGGGCTCAGGGACAGCAGCGCAGAGGGCAAGGTGAGGGAAAGTGGGGTGGCCTGGGGTAGGGGATGGGATGGCTTAGGGGCAAGGATGGACAGTCTGGGTGGTTAGCCCAAGGTTTCAGGGGATGGTCCAACAGGGTGCGGAGTACGGGACAAGGAATGGGGTGATCTGAGACAGGGGTGGGGCAGCCTTGAATGAGGGGTGTCCTAGCTTGAGTCAAAGGTTGGATAGCTCAAGCTGGGGGAGGGGGCTGACCTGGGACAGGTCCCCAGGGCAGGGAGCTCAGGCACAATGTCGCCCTTGAAGACCCCCACACCGCACCTGCTTCTGGCCCTCCGCCTCTGCCTGAATGCTCACCTCCTCATAGTCATTTTCCGGGCTCAGAAAGTCATCCCCGATGGGGACCCGGGGGCCCAGCTGCTCGCTCAGGGCATCCAGGAAGCGGTCAGTGTCAGCGTCCTGGCTTCGCACAGGCCGGGAGAAGGTGAAGAGCTTCCTGCGGCTGGGCTGGCGGGCCAGGTCGGGGCTGGGGGGGCTGTCAGAGTGGATGGGCCCGAGGCCTGGCTGTGGGGAGGGCGCCCTGCTGCTGTCCAGGCTAGCATAGGGGTGAGACTCGGAGCTGCTGGGGGAAGCCGGGCCCCCCGAGCACAGTGGGTAGTAGCAGGGGGAGGGCAGGAGCTGCTCGCTGGGCCAGGAGACGCCGGATAGAGTCCTGGGCCCTGGGGTGGGGGGGGCACAGGTGAGGACCCCGCTCCAGCCAGTACCTGGGTTCCAGGCGCAGGCTGGAGGGGAGGGGCCCAGGGTCAGTGGGCTCTGTGTCCCTGGGCCCCCTCCTTTCCCTCCCTGGACACAGTTCCCAGGGGGCAATCCAAATTCAGAGGTGGGGGCACTGTTCAGGACACACCCCAGCTCATCTTGGAGGGGAACAAGCAGTACCACCTGGGACCTGCTGAACACAGCTCAAAGGGCCCAGGGGCCTTCTACAGGCCTCGGACCAGCCTCACAAGGCACCTCACACACCCTGCCCACAGGAGCATCACGCAGGGGTCCTGCCTCTGAACTCCAGCCGGGTCGCTGTGTGTGCCCTGTGACAGCAGCGGCCTTCCCAGCCCTGCCACTCCCAGAGCAGGGCAGCTTGTCCCACAGCCACTGCTAGCCCAGGACACCTCTGTGGGCAGCCCTCTGCTTTCTAGATCCGCAGCAGTGGGGAGGGTCAGAGGGGACAGGAGGGACGAGGGCAACCGTGGCTCGGTGGTCCCTCACCATGAAGGCTGCTAGGGTTCCCCAGAACTCATTCCCATGGCCATGGAGCAAAGGGGAGACGCCCAGACAGCCAGCCAGCCAGATGGGGGCGTGCAGCCAGCCCTGCCCTCAGGGGCTGGGCTGGCAGAGCCCCTACCTGCTGTGCCTGCTGGGCTGGGCTCTGGCGGGGAGGCGCGGGATCTGGACGTGGCCCCCATCTTCCCTTTGAAGCTGCTGCTCAGTCTGGACTCCAGTTCCGCATAGACGGCCGACATCTGCAGGGAGAGGAGGCGGGAGTCCAGCCACCCTCCCCTTCCCCTTCCCCGAGTGGCCATCACACGGTCTCAGAGGCCAGGCCTGGCTGGCTTGGGAGGCAGGGGTCTGCCCTAGCCCCCAACTGACACCGCCAGGGCAGAGTGGTCTCACCATCTTGGGGTTGGGAGTCTCAGGGAGGGAGGTGCCATCGCCCGCCTGGCGCTCGCCTGGGACCAGAGGAAGGGGCATCTCAGGGAAGTCGCTGGGGCCTGCGGAGGGAGGGCAGACTCAGCTGTGAGGGGTCCAAGGTCTGCTTCCGCGCTCTGGCTCTCAGGCACCGGCCAGGGGCCAGGGAGGAAGAACCTGCCCCAGAGGGCCGCCACCCCACCTGTTTCTGGGGACTTCTCACTCTGCAGAGGGGAGCCCCTTGCACCCTCTCGTGCCTTTCGGTCTGGGCCTTACCGCAGCTGAGGCTGGCCTCCAGGCCCTGGGACCGCAGGCTGCGGCGGCACATGGACGAGGCCCTCAGGGAGCTCCGCCGCTGGGGCTCCGGCACCGGCTCCGGTGACGGCTCCGGCGACAGCTCCGGCTCCAGGTCCAGCGACGGTTCTGGCTCTGTTGTGGGACATGAAGGAGAGATGGGCCCTTGCCCCTCAGCCAGACCAGGAGCCACCAAACTCAGGCAAGGGGAGGGCAGCGGCCAGCTGCGCCAACCTGTGCCCCCAGCCTGCTTAGCTCTAGGACAGCTGCCCACGGGAAGCCTGGGGTGAGAACTGGGTGCCAAGGGCAGGAGCACAGGGTGGTGTTAGCCGGAATACAGGGTCTGGGGGAGGCGGCCATGGCGCACCCCACAGGGCCTCTCCTAATCACAGGAGCCCGGGGCCCCACAATCCGAGGTCTCAATGCCTGGCTGCAGCTGCCTACAGGGACGAATGGGGTGAAAGGAAGTCCAGGAGGAGGCAGAGTGTGAGATACCTGCACCCAAGACCTACTGAAACCCTGGACACTCCCCCTACTAACTGTGGGTCCCCAGTCTCGGGATAGTGAGCACACAGGGGCCAGCACGTAGACCTGCGGGCCGTGAACGGCAGGTGTGGAGCGCCTAGACACAATGCGCAGGGTTTCAACTCCTGTGGCCAAACACCAAAGTGCATGGTTTTGCGTGCACAGGGCTCTGTGACCGGCAGCAGCAACGACAAGGCCTGGCAGGCCCTCGTCAGTGCCACGCCAGGTGCGACCCGGCTGCACACTCACGATCCAGGTCTGCACACAGCACAGCCACCAAAGTCCCCCCAGCCCCCATTTTGTGGATGAGAAACCCAAGGCCACAGTGGTGAGGTGGGGTGTCTAAGGTCAGGCTGCATTTGATCCTTAAAGCTGGGAAGGTGCGTCTGAAGGGCCAGGCATGGGACCAGATGGCCGTGCGGGCACGAGTCTGCAGGGCGCAGGGGCACTTCTGTGCGGGGCAGGGAACCACGTCCGATGTAATACCTAGCAGGTGAGAACGGGTGTCCGGCCCGGGAGGGGGCGGGATGCTCACCTGCCAGGGCTGTGTAGCCCAGGAAGCAGGCGATTTTCTCCTGGCAGAGCTCCTGCTCCTCGTAAGTCAGCAGCTGGTAGACGAACTGCCAGAGCACCTGCTTGGCAGGTGTGTCCAGCACGGGGTAGACATCGACGATGAGCGTGTCGATGTTCCTGGGGGGCAGGTGCAGGGGCAAGGCGTTCCTTACCCTGGGCCTCACCTTAGGGAGCGGAGTGGGGCGGGGAGGGACCAGGGGGGCACTTCTAGGCCACAGATTCCAAGCTCGTGCCCTGTGCCCCCTTCCCACTGCCAAGACAGAGAAGGGGACAGGAAGGGAGGTTCTGAGGACAGGCCACCCAGGTTCAAATCCCGCCTCTGCCGCTTACCAGCCACGTGACCTTTCTCAAGTTACTTAACTTCTCTGTGCCTCAGTTTCCTCATCTGTAAAATGGGGTGAAAAGTACCATCTACCACACAGAGCTGCAGTGAAGATGGAAATAGATGTAGTGTATTGGGACAGCTGGGTCACTGAGTCAGGGATCAGCAAGTGGTGGCCCCTGGGCCAAAATCTGGCCCGCCACCTGTTTACATAAAGAAAGTTTTATTGGAGCACACCTTGCCTTTCTGTTTATGTATCGTCTATGGACATTTTCAAGCTACAACAGCAGAGTCGAATAGTTTCAAGAGAGACTGTGTGGCCCCAAAGTGCTGAAATATTTACTACCAAGCCCTTCCCAGAAAGAGTGAGCTGATCTCTGTATTATACAAAAAGATAACAGGGTCCTCGTATAATACCATGCATAAAGATGAACTCTGCCCTGGCTGGTGTGGCTCAGTGGATTGAGCACCGGCTGGGAACCAAAGGGTCAAGGTTCGATTCCCATTCAGGGCACAGGCCTGGGTTGCAGGCCAGGTCTCCAGTAGGGGGCGTGTGAGAGGCAGTCACACATTGATGTTTCTCTCCCTCTTTCTCCCTCCCTTCCCCTCTCTCTAAAAAAAAAAAGAAGAAAACATTTTAAAAAGTGAACTCTGGTTGGATAAAAGACCAAGGTGTGAAAGCTAAAATTATGAAATGAACAGGAAAGAATACAGGAAAATGTCTTTTGAGCGAGAGGCAGGGACAGACACAGAGTACTTGGTGAACAAAAGCCAGACAGAGGGTGGAGTACACAGCCCGGTGACGATGGAAAGTAAAAAACACATCGTGCAGAACAGCAACACCTGCCCACTTCCCAAGAACCCCTTCAGACAAAGGGGCAGACCCCACTGCACACATCAGACTTGGCGGGCAGCGACGGGGGCCAAAGGGAATGAAAGAGGGAGGCACCCACTGTCCACCAACTGATGGCTAGACGCACAACATGTGTGTCATCCACACCGGGGGACATCTGGCCCTAAAACAATGCAGGAGATGTCATAAAAGTGGGGTGAATGCTGGAAACACTCTAAGTGATGGAAGTAGACACGCGTGTCCGCATAGTGTGCCATTCTATTCACACGAAACGTCCAGAACGGGGAAATTCTAGACAGAAAGTGGACTAGTGATTGCTTATGGGGGGCAGAGAGAGAAGCAGGCAGGGGCGGGGGTGAAGGGTGCAGGGTTCTTTCTGAGGTGACTAGAATGTTCTAAACTTCCCGTGTGGTGACAGTTGTGCATCTGTGTACAATATACTAAAATATACTGAAGACCAGTGCACTGAATTGCCAAATGGGTGACTTGTCTGGCATGTGCATTATGTCTCAATAACACTCTTGCAACAAAAAAAGAAAAAGGACGAACAAGTGAGCAGCTTTGTGGCACCGTGACAATGACCCTCTGGGCTGAGGAGGGTGATAAAGGCAAGCTGCTGCCCCTGAGCTACAAAAAGACAGACACCAAGCCGAGCCCCAGAGTGTGTGGCCGGTGGCCAATGCCTGAAGGTGTGTGGCATGTTGGGGGCCTTGCTGACACAGGAAGTACTGTTCCTGTTGGACCCCACTGTCCACACTGCCGGTGACCAATCACTGTCTGCTTCACTTTGCAGACAAGGCCTTGACTCGTGCAGGTCGCGTGGCTGGGAAGTTTCAGAGACAGGTGTGCTCTGGTGCGGCCCCCCGCCCTGTCCCCACATGGGGGCCCCTGGTACCAGCTGCTGTGTCCTTTGAGCCTCCCCCAGAGAAGGGGGGTGAGAGGGCTCAGGCAGGGAGACCCGGAAGGTGAGTCTGGGCAGGATGTGGGGCCCACCCAAGGCAGGTGCCCGCCCCCCTCTGGCCTGGCCACCTGTGCTGGAAGAAGCTCTCGAGGGCCCGGCAGACCCCGTAGCGCTCGGGAGGCGTGAGCAGGTGCTCCAGCTGCTGGCTGAAGGTCCTCCCCTGCACACGGATGCTGGACGGCAGGATCTCCGCCACCCACTGCAGGGAGGTGAGCGCCGAGGATGGATTGGGGGAGTCCAACGAATCGGAGTCTGCAGGGCCACAGGCAAGATAGGCACGGTGACCCGATGTCCCCAGGCCAGGTGCTAAGGCTGATCAAACTCCTAATCCGTGGACTCAGCCCCGAGGCCAGGGGTAGGGGGGGAGGGGGAGCTGGGGCAGAGTCCCTGAGCTGGTCCCACTGGGTTCCACAGCGCCACCTGGGGAGGGATGCTGTGGGTTTGGGGGCAGAGCAGAGGGGCCCCCTCTAGGTCTCCATGGCCGTGGGGGTCTCACCGCTGGGGAACGGGACGGGCCCCTCCTCTACCACCAGCGTGGGCATCGCACCGCTGCCCTGCAGCATGGACACCACCTTGTCGTGGGAGCAGTTCCTGCGGAGCAGAGATGGCCCGGGAGGGCCTGGCAGGGATGAGCCCTGCCCAAGGCCACCCACCAGGCCTCCCTGTCCTGCCCGCAGAGGCCGTGCAACAAGTCCACCATGGGGCCGCGAGCAGGGGCCAGGGCCCTGCCTCTCCTGCCCGTTAATCTGCGCAGGAAAAGCTCAAGGCCCAGGACCTGCTGGACACTTCTGGGCACAGAAGGGCTCTCACCCGTGTCACCCCCCCTCCCAGGCAGGGCTTTCCTGGTGTCCTGTGGAGCTGGAGTGTTTTCTGGCTGGAAGGACGAACTGACGTCCTAGCTAGGGTGGGAGAATACATTCAAGAGTTCCCACAGGACGAGGAACAAACCCGGGGACCCACTGCTCAGAGGAGATCAGGACCATGGCCGAGAGGTCCCGAGAGGCAGCAGTCTTGGGGGACAGTTCACCGCCAAGCTCTGGCATCCCCAGTGGCCTCTGACCTCATGTCCAGTCCATTGAGGAAGAGGATCCGGTCACCCGACCTGAGGGAAGCGCTGTCGGCCGGGCTCCCTACGAGCAAGAAGAGAGGGCGAGCTGGTCAGCGGGGCAGGGCCACTCTCGTCTCACAGCCCAGAAATGGGATGGGGGCGGGGGGGGGGAGCCGCCGGGGGACACAGTGCCTCTCTGTTCTCCGCAGCTCCAACCAGGGGACGGTTCCACAGTGGTTGGGGTGGGGGTCAGTGCTGGGGACGGCGTGGCCACCGGTCAGCCCTGAGCCGTTGGGGAGGAGCCGACACGAAGGGGGTCTGGAGAGCAGCGTTTCTGCAGCACCTGTGCCCTGGAGGGCCCCACGCCGGACGCTGCTGTCAGCCCTCATCTGAAGGTCCATGGCAGAGACTCCTCTGCACCTTTGTCACCAGAAAAACACTGTCTGCCTGGAGGGAGGCAGTGCCCTCCCTCGGGGCTGGGAAACACGGTGTCAGTCTTGTGTTTTAGGCTTTGACATCAGGGGCCTTGCTGACACTGGACTGATCGACTGTCCCTCCCAGGGCCAGCTGACTCCCAGACAAAGCAAGTGACTGGGCTGCAGGCAAGCAGGCCCTTGGCAGGCAACCCCACCAGTCCTGAGCCCACACCTGCTGGCCTCCTTCGTGACGAGCTCTCACACCCTGAGCCACGGAGCACTTGCCCTCATCATCCAGGGCCAAGTGCCAGACAGCGAGGGACAGCCCCAGGCCCCCGAGCCCCCCTGGAATTGTTCAGCCTGCTCACCCTGCCGTGCCCATTCCGTCCCACAGAAACCACAGCAAAGGGCCTGCTTGTCCACAGTTCCCACTGGCTCCCTCCACCTCAGACGGCAGGGGGTTACCGGCCTGGAGGCTGGGTTATGCAGACCAGTGCACTTGATTTTTAACATGGCCCTAGGCCACGGGTCTCTGGCTGCCCACGTGGAAGAGGCAGGGAGGTGGCAGTGGTGCTGGTGGCACAGTTGGAAGGGACACATCCAAAGAGGAGAGAGTAACCGTTTCTAGAAGAAGCTGCCCAGAGAGCAGCCTGGGACCTTTTCCAAACAACAGTGTGTTGACAGCTTAGTGGCACACGGATTTGAGAAGACCCTGAACGCAGGGTTAGATCTCGGGATTCGCCAGTGGCTGGAACGGTGATGCAAAGGCACTGAGGCACCTTCCCGGGGATCAGAAGATGCCCGTCTCACAAGTCGTGTCCTGGCAGTGTGAGGGGCAGAGGGCAGAAGGGACGCAGCCGGAGCCCTGATGGGGATGTGTCACCAACAGCACCATGCTCGGGTGCTGGGAGGGGATGGGCACAGGCCAGAGCAGGTGACCAGTCCCGTGAGTGGTTACAGGGGAGTTCTGTCAGCACCAGGAGATATTTCTGGCCTCCAGGGACCTTCCACACTGGAATGAGCTGCCTCAGCAGACAGGAGTGTCTTCTTCCCTCCCCCCACGCCTGCTCTGGCTGGAGGGGCAAGGAGGAGCGAGCGGTTCCTGCTCTGCCTTCTTCAGGACGCCCCCAGTCCGAGGGACAGGAGGGGGCAGGCTGGGTGGGAGGAGGCGGGAGTCCAGACCGAGGGGACTGGGTCACCACAGAGGTCCTGCAGCCCTCACACCTCTCTGGGCCTGGCCTTCTTGGCAAATGCCCAGTTCACGGGGACTGAGGCACCCCACACGGGGCATGTTGTCTGAGGTGCAGCCTGGGCAGACCCCAGCTCTGCTCTGGCCGCCTGTCCCAGGAAGGGGCCCCCTCCCCTGTGGACACAGGAAAGGTCTGGTTGGAGAACTTGGTTCGCCTGGCTTCAGGGTGACCCTGAACTTGGATGGTATTGGCCCAACTCCAGCAGATGAATGATCTGGACGTGCTGCTGCAGGACACGCAAAGGACACAGACAATACGAGGTGGGGGGAGAGGTGCTGAGCAGAGGCCTAAGGGGGTCCTTCACCCCATCCCGGACAGCCCCCTACCCCTCACCAGGCAAGACAGACTCGATCCAGACAGGCCCGTGGCCGCGCAGTGTGAAGCCGAAGCTCCTGTTGCCTTTGTAAATTCGGACTGTCCTGGGGAGAAAGAAGGCGCGGGGTGGGGGTGCGCAGCGTACCCTGCCCTGGGGAGAAGGGGCTGGGAGACACGGGACCGAGATGTCCGGTTCCCCTCAACATCTCCCACCTGTTCACCCACCCACGCCAGGTGTCCATGCCTCGCGCCCGCGCCCTCTGTCCAGTCTGCGTCATGAGCGCGTCCAGGAGCAGACGGTATCTGCAGCCCATGCCCCGGCCCCCGTACCTGCGCACGCCCCCCGGGCCAGCGTGGCAGCCCAGCAGCGAGGGGGTCTTGTGCGGAGGTGGTTCGTCCGGGCGGCGCGGGGCGGCGCTGGCGCGGGTGGACACCAGGAGGCGCTCCGGCCGCTCCTCGCTGCGGCTCCGGCGCAGCCGCTGGGCGCTCTGCGCCCGCCGGGCGCGGCACAGCTTGCCCAGCAGACCCTGCGACACCACCTCGTCGAAGCGCGCCCGATGCTTCTTGGGGATGAAGATCCTGCCGGGGAGGCCGACTGAGTCGGGGCGCGCCTTCAGACCGTGCTCCGATCTCCTCAAACCGCGGCCCAAAGGCACCTCCTAGCAGGTTCCACCCTCGGCTCTCCCGCCTCTGCTCAGGGTTGCTGGGGCCTCAGCAGCCGGCACCCCAGCCTCCCCCTGGGTCTCCGAACTTGCTCTCTGGCTCTGCGATCTGGGCCAGCCAGGCACTGGGCTTCCTGCTCTCAGAGAAGCCTTCAGGAGGTGGTGAGAAGCAGGGGGGAGGTTCTCATTGTCCCCCTTGTGGGGACCCACACCCTGGAATGTTTCCTTGGTGACCATGAGTCTCCTCTGCGACCTAGAAAGCTCTCTGAGGGCTGGGTCTGTAGCTCAGCTTGGAACCACGGTGACCAGCCAGGCTCAGCCCATGGGAGGGACTCAGTGACTCGATAAATAGGGGTCCACCCATGGTCCAGCCACACCTGAGTGATGGTAGCAGGTAATACCCAGGGGGACTCCTCGGTCCACAGAAGAGGATTCTGAGGGTCCATAACTTTCCAGAGTTAACGCAGCTGGCCCTTGGCACGGCTGGGGTGGAAGCCCAGTCTCGGGGCCTCAGCGCCGTGGCAGAGCTCTGCCGTGGCCCCTGAAGGTCTGGTTGTTAGCAAGCCCCCCACCCCCACCTGGCTGCATTCCATGCTCCCTTCCCTGTTTTTTTCATACCAGGGGCGAGTACCAAGGGAATAATGGGGAGGGGGTGGGGGGATCGGTGGTCTTGCAGCCAACTGAAATGCAACCCCTCTGGGGTCGGCCCGTGGTCCCACTCAGTTCCCTAGACCTCTGTGGGTAGAATTAATAAGGCCAGGTGGGCAGGATAGCTGCCTGCTGGGAGGGAAGGGGCGCATCAGGACCTCCCCCCACCAGCCCCACCACACACAGTGAGTGAGCTCTGCTTCTGGATGTCCCCGGAGATCGGGGGACGGAATGAGTGGCCTACTCAACGCTGCCAGGCGCATCCCTGCCTGACCCGCTCCTCCCCACCGCCCGCAGCAATTCCCCAGAACCTAGAGTCTCAGCCTCGTTCCCCAGATGGTCACTCAAGGTCTCTGGAGCCTGACACCTCCATCTGCCTGGCCTCCGCCTCCCCCACACCCTCCTGCACCCACCACAGGCCTCGCACTCAGACAAAGGAGAGATGACAGGGTGGAAACTGTCCACCTCGCACTTTGGGCTCCAGCCCCAGACTCCAGAAGGCATCAGCCTGGGGCCAGCCTGGGCAGGGACCAGATGACCATCCCAGCCCTACCCTCCGGCAGCAGCAGCCAGAAAAGACCCTGCTGAACAGGAACCAGGGTGACTCTCCAAGTGCACAGGTGGGGGAAGGCTGGGTGGCCGGCTCCCTGACCGGTGTCCTTGGGGCTGAGCTCTGCCCCCGGCGCGGGGGTGGGGGGTGGGGGTGGGGGTCAAGTCTAATCCATCTCCAGGGTCCTTCCAGAGCTGCCCTAGGCTCTTCTCTCTCCATGACATGCCCTGACTTTGATTTCTGCCCAGTTCCCTGGACCAGCCCAGGCGTAGGAAGGAAAGAGGGCATTTTAATCCCAGCCGTTAGACTCCTGCCCCCATCCCTACCCCAAGGGCGGTGCGCGTCTTCCGGGCGCCCAACACGGGGAACTGGCCCCTTGTTACCCTTCCCGTTTATGTCCACCCTCCTCTGCCTTCAGACCCCAGCCAGGAGCGGGGGGTGCCCACCAAGGGCAGGAAAGCCCTTCAGTGCCTCAGCCCCACCCCCTCTCAGTCGGGCCGGAGTCGGGTCCGCGGAGCCCAGGGCGCACGGTTCCCCGGGGCCGGGACGCAGTCGGGAAGCTACCGAAAGTGCCGGGAGAAGCCCTGGTCCTTCCCCATCTGGAGCGGGCGACAGCGGTGCAGCAGTTGCAGACGGCAGGGGGTAGCTTAGCCCGGGAGCAGAGCTAGGGCGCCGCGACTCCTCGTGCCTCTGCCCGGCGAGCGCACACGGCCCCTCCCGAGGCAGCGAGGCAGCGCGGCCCGCGGCCGGCGCCCGCCCCCTCTCGAGTAGCCCCGCCCCGCCCCGCCCCGCCCCTCTGGGGGGGGCATCCATCAGCTAGCTCGGAGCAATCTGGGGCGGTTCGAGGCTGTCAAGCTGCCTCTCCTTGGGCCCCTTCATTAGTCCCTCCCGGGCGCCTGGCCTCCGATCTCCGGCCGGCCGGGAGCCCGTGTTCCTCGCATAGTGGCGAGTCTCCAACACCCGCTGCAGGGAGAATGAACCCGACAGTTCGGAGGAAGTCCCGACTGCCTCTTGTAGAGCACGGGGAGGCTTTCCGGAGCGGGTGGCCGTGGCGCTGGGCCTCAGGGGCTCAGTAGGAGTTGAGGTCAGCAAGAGGAAGCCCTCTCTACCTCTCCGGGGCAAGCTCCCACCGAGAAGAGGCTGGAGAGGGAGGCCTTGAATGCCACTACCAGCCGCTGAGACTGCACTGAGACCAGAGGGAGCCATGGGAGGGTCTAAGGATTTAAGGGGAGGTGGAGTGACACCAGAGGTTTTCTTACACCAGGGGAGGGGTGATGCTGGGAGGGCAACAGGAAAGGGTGTTGGGATGGGACAAGTCTCTAGATTCTAAAAACAGAGGAAGGAGAGTGAATGAGACCTGGTGAGTGAGTGGAAGGGAGCAGGGGGCTGCTCCCAGGTGAGTGGTGAGGAGAGTAGAGGGCCCCACTGAGCTGGGGGAGGAGAGGGGAGGGACAGTCCGGGGAGGGGGGAGATGACAGGAAAGGCCCCTGGGGACCCCAAGGCATTGCCCTTTCTCGCAGGTCTGACTGCAGGCCAGAAAGGGCTCAGAGTTGCCAGGGAGCAGGCCCAGGGCACCCTGGGGGCAGTGGCCCCAGGCTCTCTCCTCACCAAGAGATGGTCACCACCCAGAGCAGCTGGAACTGCAGAGGCAGGGGACCACTGTCTTAGTCATCGTGGGGAGCAGCTCCCATGGTCCTGCCTGCAGGTTCCTGCAGCCCACCATGGCTGCGGGTGGGGCGGGGGGTGGGGTGGTGACGCTGCAGACCAGACCTTTGATCTCTGGTCCTCTGTCCGGGCCCTACTACCTAGCACACCTCATCCCCACATTCCTGACCCCGGCAAAGCCACCACCCCACAGCGACCCCTCAGGCTGCGTGTCTCCCCAGCAGCAGCAGGAAACCAGAGCCACGTCCTCCCCAAGCCGTGTCCTCAGCCCTGCCAGGGGCAGACATGTCTAGAAACCTTCACCACGAGCCCAGCTCCCTGACACCCACAGTGCATAAGCGTCCCCTCCCGACGGAGCCATTTCTGGTCGATCTGTCCAAGCTTCGATGGCCCGGCATCCACAACCAGGCCTGCTCGGGAGGTCTGAACACGGCCCACCTTGCTGTGGACCGAGGAGACGCCAGCACCAAGCAAATGCTCCTGCTGGAAGCCAGATCCAGCCGGCCGTGCACGCAGTGCCTTGGGGCTGGGAAAGGCGCTGCCAGGGGCCAGCAGCAGGCATGGGGCAGGTGACTCAAGGCAGCAAGCAGTGGCTGGGGGTTGGGCAACAGCGGGCCTTCCCTGAAGTGCCTACCCCAGCGAGAGTACACCACCAGGGACAGATGACTGTAGGGCAGTAGCTTTCAACCAGGGATGATTTCGCTCCCTGGGGGACATTCGGCATGGCCGGGGGACAGTTTTGGTTGTCACAAAATGACAACTGGAAGGGGACTGTGCCACTGGCATTTGCGAGCGGAGGCCAGGGTTGCTGCTAACCACATACAGAATGGCCGGGCATGACATAGAATTATTGGGCTCCAAACGTCAGGAGTGCCATGGTTGAGAGACTCCTGTAGGGAGAAGGAGACCGTCCCCAGGGAGAACTGCCCTGAGGGAGCACGTAGGCATGCCTGCCACCGCCGGCCACCCGGTCCCACAGAATTCTCCTGGGAGCTTTGTATTGCAGCGTCCCCGGCACCTGTTGGAGCAGAAGAGGGGGGAGGAAGCACAGGGTTCGTCGCACCTCACCCCAGGTTCTCAACCAGTCTCTTTTCTGCTCGGGTGGTGAACACCCGGTATGCCACATACCGGCAATTTTCAACCTTTTCCATCTCACGGTGCACATACACTACCCACAGAAATTCTGTGGCACACCAAAAAAAAAACTGTATTTTTTGCCCATCCGACAAAAAATAGGTGTAACGTTGATTAGTTCACACTGGATGGTTATTGTTGTGTTGGCTGTTGTCATCTTTGTTTTATCTGACAATCTAAAGGCAAAGGGGGTCAGTGTCTCTGGCTAAATAGCCAGGCATTGCTTGTGCTACAAATTCTTGCGGCACAGATTGCAAATCGCTGCAGTACGCGTAACGTATATCACAGAATTCTACACTTGGAACCTATGTAATTTTGTTAACCAGTATCATCCCAATAAAATTAATATCTTTTCTGTTCGCAGGTGGCAGAGTTCATTTACGTGATTTCCTACCAAGAGCCCTGCGGGGGGACATGTAGGTATTACCAGCCCCTTTTACAGATAAATCATGGAGGTCAGTGAACTGCTTAAGGTCACACAGCCAGTGAGCACGCCTGGAGTTCAAGCCAGGTCAGTTGGGGTTACAAGTCTTCCACCACCTCCCTGCTCCCCCTCCCCCCCAGCCTGCCCCTCCCTCTCCCTCCGTATTTCCTGAGACACTAGCAGACCCCAGAGCAGACTTAGTTTTCCTGTTCCCTCCTGACCACGTCACACTTTCCACAGCCTGTCCTGTCCTAATTAGAAAGCCATCACTTCATCGCACTGGGATCCCTTTGGGGACAGACCCAAATTAGGCTCTGAGCCACGGGAGTAGCGCTGTGGTGAAGGAAGACGGGACCCTTTTCTGACGTGGCTGCCACTGACCTGAACGTCCCCTCAGGGCGGCAGTGCCAGCCCCGAGAACTGCCTGTGCTGATGTTCCCGTGCCCTGTCTCTAGGTCACCACTAGCCATGTGTGGCTGTTGAGCACTTGACCTGTGGCTAGTGACTCTGGGAAGCTGAAATTAAAATTTTACCTAATACACATTAAATTTCACTTTAGAGGGTGACATGTGGCTGGTGGCTACCGTGCTGCGTGGATCAGCCTCACAGTCTCACTGCTCCTTCTCCTTTGTCCCCAAGCCTTCGGTTTTGACCCCTGGGACCAGCCAGACCTTGGAGGGTTCCAGCCCCTGGTGAGCACCGATGCCCACACGTGTGCACACACACGCACACGTCTGTGAGACTACCTCTGGCTGCTCAGCCTCTCACTGACGGGAGAGGGAGGTCCCCAGGGCCACACTGAAGCTCTTCATGGCCCTTCACTAGGGTAGGAGGGCACACAGCCAGGCACAGTCGGGCCCCCTGTGTTGGGCACCCTTAGGCCTGTGTGGCACTGCCCTCACTTTGGCGCTCAGAGGTCCACCCCTGCGGCGAGTTGCCTGGTCCTGATGAACTCCCCTTGGGACTGTCTTCCCACCTCCACAGGACATACTGTCTGTCTGAACCACAGACTGGCCCCAGCTGCCTCCTGCTGGGAGCCCGCCCTGATTGCCCCTGACCGCTCAGCCCTGGGCTGTCTCTGCGGGCATTTATCCCCCCTCCGCCAACCCGGCAGTCACAGATAAAGGTGACTCCCCCTTGCCCCACTGAGCTCCCTTGGAAACGCGCCGCGTGGGGATGGGTGCACCCCTGGCCCACCAGGGCCTGGGGATGGGATGGGATGGGGGTGGGGCGCTGAAGCCACACTGCCAGGGTTGCCAGGCTGGGCACCGCCCCCTCCGCCAGCAGCCTCCCCAATTTTCCTGTCGCACTCGACACGCGCTGACAACAGAGGCTGCTGTTTCATGTTCCCCAGCGGCACCCCGGGGGTGCTGCGGGGAGCGGGCATTCCCACGTGTCCAGGGTTCCCAGTTTCCCAGGCTCTAAATTGCGAGCGCCCAACGGGGTGCCTCCTTCACCCCGGCTTTTCCCGATGAGCTGCCGGCGGCTCGGGGGCTGGCTGCGGCTGGGAACCGCAGGCGTGAGGGCTGTCCGCGAGGCAGACAGGCTGACCCGGCAGAGGCGGCGGGGACAGGAGCTGGGGCAGCACCGGAGGGAGAGGAGGGGAAGTGAGAGCTGGTGGAGCCCGGGTACTAGCCGTCTTCAGCCGCGTGCCAACTTCCCAGGGGACAGCCCGACGCCCTCGCCGCCCGGCCCAGCCCTGGTGGGGGGGCTGCCCATTCATCCCCTCCCCAGGGAGCCCTCAGCGCCAACGCCGCATCTCCGCTGCAAATTTGGCTCCAGGAATAACTTTTTTTGTTTCCTTTCCGGATTTCCCCGGCCCCTAACTCACCCCAGGCAGCTCATGGTGGCCGCTTTCGGTGGCCTTCTGTGCTCCGCCGCAGAGCCGAGAGGCTGTGCCCGCCCGGTCTTGGGGAGGGGGGGTGGCCAACCGGGTCCCTGACATTGGCCAGGCCCAGAGGGAGGGGCAGGCTGCGGGGTGAATGGCAGCGAGGGGAGGGGGCGGGCTGAGTCCAGGAGGGGGAGGGGTGGGGCTGGGGAGCAGACACCAGCTCAGGAAGCCGAGTGGGGAGAGAAAGCCCCACGGGATCCGGGCTGAGAACAGCACTCAGGCCCGCGGGCCTGGTCACAGCTGGGCAGTGCAGAGCAGTGGCTTCTGGCAGGAAAGGCGGGGACCGGGCTCCCGGAGGGGACTCCGGGAGGGGGCTCTGGGGACTCCCGGGCCGCTCCAGGCAAGGACCCACCAGGAGATTCTGTTTGTTTCTCTGAAGAATAAACTGAGATGGTCCAGAGCTGGGCAGAAGAGCAGAAAGTGCACAGCTGACCCGGTTGACCTTCCGTGCCTGCCACTCACTTGCTGTGTGACTTTGGCCAGCC